TCCCCCAAAATATTACACCAAACAAAAAGCACAGTCGAAATAGAATAAAAAAAACAATCTAATGATCAAAACATGGCTCCTATGAATACTCACTCCATTTACAAAAGCGACAAACTCGCCCCCCAAATTGAAGAATACTCGAAAAAAGCTGACCTGCGGGTAGAATTAAAAAACCAGATCATATCCATTTCCAGTATATGAATATGGGGGAGTGAATGAGAGGGAAATGCACAAAGAACCACTTACCTAATACTATGGATACCGTTAGACGACAAGGGTCACTGGCCAGAGAGCAAAACACAAGAAGGAAAGCTATACACTCACTCAAAAGTACCTATGTACACTTGGTGTATTTATTTCCAAAAACACTCACAGCCGGTTATGTCATGTCCATATGAAGTCCAATTGGGAGGGAAATTCTCAAAAATCGGAGAAATTCTTTATCCACTTTACATTGAAATTGTCCAACAATTTCCCTGCTCTCAAACACAGATTGAGTTTGAGTGAAATTTTATTGTAAATAAAAACTCTTTTTCCACTCAAACATTTACCGAAACAAATTTCCCTATCAAACAGAACTGTGTGTTTGATAGGAGGGAAATTTTGGTTTAATGACACTCAAATAGAACTCTGTGTTTGAGAGAAGGAAAAATATTGGTTTGAAGAAACTCAAACATAACTTTAGGTTTGAGAGGAGGGAAATTTTTGCCGGATGGCTTCTATTGTTTCGAACTGAACAAGAAAAGTTGGAGAGGAGTTCAAGAACTTGTGATAGATTTTTCCATTTTTATACTTTTATAGCAATAGACAGAATAGAGAGAAGACGCGATTCCGACCCCATAAACTATATATATTCTTGAGCATGAGCACCCGGATCTTGAATACTTTCAAAAGCTAAAGCTTTGGGATGTTTTGAAATGTTGTTGGAATTATAATTATAATATGTACATTCTTTTATATTTTATGTTATTAAAATGCTGCTTTGTTAGCCTTTAGTACTTCATATAATTTATATATTTATATGTTTCTTATCAACATCTTCAGGCAAGTCGATTTAAGCCAAGCCGATTTTCTTTATTTATCCAAATTAAATTAATTAGCTTACTACTATATTACAAAATTTACATTATCTTATCAGTCTTCTATAACTTATTATTCTATATTTTATTATATTATAGTATATTAAATTATATTATAACATTCACTACTTATTTGTTATACAAAATATAAGTTTTTAGACTTTTAAAGGCCTAAAAACCCCAGCTACAATGTCAGTTAATTAAAATCTTCCCTTAATTGATATTAATCACAAAAAATCCCGTCTTATCTGTTGAAATCAAACTCTCTGGACAGACACACCCAGTGCCAAAAAATCATCCACCTTTCTGCTGCTATCATTTAGAAGACGAAGACGCATAAATACCCCCTTATCAGCTGTTTTTTTTTGAGCTGCGCATACGCCAAGCGACTACGCAATGCACTTGAAATTGCTTCGAGAAGAACTCAGTTCCCGTTCCAGGTTCCCTTTGATTTTTATATTCTCCGGAACGCAGAGTGAGTGACTAAGGGGGAAATTTTTGGATTTGGAAAACGCTCGAGTCGTGACCCATTTTCAGTACAACATTCGGTGAAGAGTTCAAAGACCTCTACCGCCGGAGAGCGCTTACGACTGCTGGTGGACAACCCCAAAGGCCTATGGCTTATTTTCAGCAGTGCTTTCATGCTTTCGCTTTCGGTATCTAAATGAATTCTCCGCTTTTCCATTACAACAGCATGTGCAACTGTTTTTTGGGTGTTCCTATGTGGGCCTGTGGTTGGGGCCTGTGTCATGATGTCATTTGGCGAGGGTGGAAATGCATAATCAGCACTCTGGCTTTATGCTCACATTTTATGCGTGTCCCAGGCGGAGGAGGATTGCAAAGGTTCCTTCCCACTTTCAATTTTTCCCATTTCTAAAGGGGGGATAGACTATGGGATTCGGTTTCGGACTGGCTTGACCCATATACATATATGCCTGTGTATACCATATCCGCCACTAAGGAGACATCACCATATAACAATTGAAATTTAAATTTATTGGGTGAATTAAATGTGTTTACAACATTAACTTAATTATGAAGATTTGTGACTCTATCGCTGGGATTGATTTTAATTTTGTGGGTTGCATACGTTTAAAATAATTAAGAGGTGTTCGATAAAGGATCATTAACATACAAAAAAGTATATACATATAAGTTTTTACAATTTTATTTGACCAAAATTATGTTTTTAAAACGATCCTAAGACAGCTACTTATATGTTGTAATGTAGTTTTAAGATTTTAAAGTTGTATTCAAAAAATATATGTATATACTGTCATTAGGAATAATTTTCCAAGTACAATTTGAGACCATATTATGTTATAATGAAGTTTTGAGATTTTTAAGTTTTTTCCAAAATTACATAGTGTTATTAAGATAACCTTTATACCATTTTTAAAAGAGATTATGAAGTTATGTATATAAAGTTTTAAGGTTTTGGAGTTGTTTTTTAAATAAATATATATTCCAATTGGGTGTTACTTTATTATATTATGTGAGCTCGATTGATTTTAGAATATAGAAATATTCTAAAGAAATTGATTTTATAAGTTTGAATTGAAAAACTAGAAACTAGGTGATAATAAATTATACATAAAATGTATCTTACCATAAACCTTATGAAGAATACCCAAAGTAATATATTCTAAATGTTTATTATATTATATTGAATATAACCATATGTCAACAAAGTAATTTGGAAAACACCCATCAGGATTAGATCTAATACAGAACAGAGAACAACGGTCAAGCGGAAATTTTAATTTCTTCCTCTAAAAATCCTAGAACTAGAAAAAAATCCTAGCTATGGGCTAAAGTTCAGGAACCCCATGATGATTACAACGCGCAGACGTTGCCATCGACACAGACACCATTCCGTGCCATAAACTGGCTCACTGACTATGCTGTTGGACGGACGGACTTCCTCCTCCTTCCTTGCTTTTCCTGAGGAAAAGTCTCCCCCAAAGACTTTGCCTCCCTGCGAACGAAAATGAGTCTCACCTCCTTCTCCCCCAATCAATTTGTTGGCGCTGCAAAGGAAGTTCATTGAACTTGAGGAAGTTTGTAAAGCCAAGCTTTTGCCCTTGCTTTCCTTCCACAGAATTGCGCCCAGGACGAGAGTTCGGGGTTTGGGGGTAGTAAATACAAACAGGAAAAATACTCTTATTTTCATAATAAGGAAAAGTTTTTCAAGAAAATGGTAAATAGTATAAGTATTTAGAAAATAATTAATTATCATTATTTGCAAACCACGTGTGTACGTGGTAAGTAAAAGTAGAGAAATCATCCTGAAATATATAAAAAGTATCTATGAATTACTCTAAGATTATGTTCCCATTAAATTTAATAATATACTATTCTAGGTAAATAAATTTATATACATTTTTCTGCAAATAAATTCAACTGCAAGATCATTAGGAAAATATAGTTTGGGATAATAAATATTTTATATTTTATCGTAACTCTTACAAAGTAATAAATATACAATTAGCCCAATTAAAATAGCAACTCAAGAATTCAATAATAAAAAACATTTCATACTTTTTGGCGACTTTCTTTTGTTAAAAGCATATAAAAAGCTTTAAAATCGAACTTGTTATAGCTTTGCTTATTTCTTATTGTTTTAATTTAATGTGCAAAGTGTTCAAGAAATTAGGAAATTTATTGCTGATGTAAAAGCAGATTTTTTACTCAATCTGGAATATTTAAAAATAAAGAAGTATGAATCTGTTAAAATGTATAAATATAAAATATGAAGGGAAATGGCATTATAAACTCGAATCAAAAATAGCAATTACTTCAAAATCTTAAAAATTAAAGACTAAAATAAAAGTTATTTGATTGCTTTTTATCTGCAAGCCATTATAAATATAGTAAATCTTTGAATTAAATATAACTTTCATGGAATATAAAATTTACTCAAAAAGTTCTAAGATGGATGGTAGGCATTCTCTTTAATTTAAGTGGATGGTTTGTTAATAATAATAAATATAATATATAATATATATATATATAATAATAATGAACGAACCATCGAGATAAATTATTAAGATTTCCTGAGACTGTATAATATAAATGTTATTTATTATAATTATTACCTATAAAAAATACTATATTAGTGGTTTACTTTATAAAAATATCTGCTAAGACAACTACAGTATTGCATTAATAAGAAATTTGCCTTGTAGTCAAATAATTAGAGTACATTAATAAAAACCTTTATATGTTTAGTATATATCATCTGGCATATATTGTATGCTGTCCTTTTTTTGATTGACTTAATTTTGTGTTCTAGACAAAAATTAATCAAATCAAAGGTTTAGTTTGTTGAAAATAATAGGTGCATTTAATTTTAATGTTTGTTTAAAATCATGTGAATAAATTTGTTGGTTTGCCTATAAGGAATACGATTTTAAAGTAACATAAAAGAGAAATAAGATTAACTTCAAGAACCCCATGTTCGCACTTACCCATAGGATCGTAAGTTGGAATGTAAATTCAATAATAACTAAGACAAAAATCAATTAATCTCAATTTGGAAAGCTTTTCTGCTCTATCTATTATTGGCCTAACAAATCTGCATACTACTTTTTATAAATTAAAAACCTAAAATTTTAATAAAATTTTGACAATTTTAACGATGTAACCCCTTAAAATTTTTTGAATAAATGTCGGAAATTTATTTTTTTTTCGGACACGGCGAAATCGACTCAGCTGTTGATGCTGATCAGAAATGCTGGTCGGAAATGCGTTGCACTGATTAAAATTATAATTCCCTGCAAAGGTTTTAGAAATCACATTTAATATTAAGAATAAAATAAAACTTGCCACCTTCTTTTAGGATTTCATTTATTAAGTTCACTGTCTTTTTGTTTCCTTAGTAACATTTACACATTCATAAAAAATATACGTAAATCATCATTACTATTATCACCTCCTTCGGTCATATGTGTAATCAGTTTAATTAAATAATTTTGTCTGAGATTAATGATAATAATACGCGACGCTTTGATCCTTCAAAACACACTTGGTGTGCGGCAAACATATAATGTGTATGTGTGTATGTATGATCCAAAAAAGGAATAATGATACTCAGGAATTACAGTAATTACAATAGTTATAATTTAAACTAAAATGCCAAAACATTTTTTTATGGGAAAAACTAACTGAAAACTGCCTTTGCTTGATACGGCAAGGGACTAAACAAATAAAAAGGATAACCAATCAAGTTATTCTGATGACATTGTTGATTGTTGTTGTTGGTTGGTTGGTTGGTGTTGTTGGTCTCAATCCTTCTATTACTGCTGCGCTGGTGCCGGCTGTGGCTGCGGCGCCAGGCGATTAATAAATCCAATTCCTCCACGAATTATCTTGCCCACAGGTGGCGGCGAGCGGGCGGCCAGCGCCTCAAAGGCGATGCGCAGCTCGGAGAAGGCGGTGCGCGGATAGGGATTGCGTCGCGAGCTATAGCGCATCACCAGGTAATGATAGTAGATAATTGGTGTCATTAAGCCAGCGTGACTCCTAAAGTTTTAATAGAACAATTAATTAATTATCTAAAAATCCAGTAAATCACTCAAATTGACTTACATAAATGTCAGCACAATGGCATAAGGCATAATGAAGATTTCGCAGAATGCAGTGGCCTTCAGGATATTTGCCGCCTGGAACTCCACAATCGAAATGATGAAACGGGCTCCCCACCACGAATTCTGGCCAATCAGCTAGAGATTTAAATACAAATTCTATTAGGTAAAAATTCATAAAAATATTCATTGAAAACTTACATCAAGAAGCTTGAGCGAGTAGCTGGAGGCATGCAGCACTGAGTAGAGCAGCACTGGTATGAGCACCAGCAGTGAAGGCCTGATGTTGAAGAAGATCAGCGAGTACATCATGTAATGACACGAGTCTTCGGCAAACAATCGGGCAAGAAATTCGCGACTAAACGAGAAGGCTGGTACTCGCTGGTGCAAGCGTAGCGCTGAGATAGCCGCATTGGCCAGCAAAACCTTGCTAAACGAACTCTGTTGTGCACTGTGAATAGTAATTTCTTAGTTTATGTAAATTATAAATGAACAAAAATAAATAAAAACTCACGTAAAGATGGGCAGTACATAACTGATGGTAAAGAAGATGGCCACCAGGCGCAGGGCCCACAGTCCCGAGTCAATGCGGTTCGTTTGGAAATGCTGCAAAAGCTTGGCCGCTCCATTTTGTGTTTGTGATGACTGCTGCGGCGGGGCATCCTGTTGCTGCTGCTGTTGTTGTTGTGAGGAGCTCTCGGAGCTGTTATCTGCATTGTCAGAGCGCGGAGGCTGTTGGTCGGTTGCTGTGCTCATGATGTATGTATGTAGCTCGATGTTGTGGGTCAGTTCTGAAATAAAATAAATAATTTATAATGTATGATCGACTCTAATGCCAGGTTATTTGTAATATCATATTTCCTCAAGGAGCTCTGGGATCAAAATAAAAAGAAAAAGAAAAACATACAGTACTCTGAGAAGTGCAAAGGAAAAATGACAAATGAAAACTGTTACTTGGCTACTTTTTTTTTCCTTTGGTCTTATCGCATCAGAAATTTCTGCTCTTATCGAGGCAATGCGAGGGCAATGATAAGCCGAACCCGAAGCTAGAAGTAACCGCGACCTTATCTAACTTGTGTGTGAGGGCTAGCAATTGGCCCCACTAAAAATATTTCACCTTTTCTGCGTTCTGTGCTGAATTGAATTCTGCAAAAGTGGAACTGGGAAAGTCCGTAAAGTAACTGAAACTGTCAGATTCCGTAAAGTAACTAAAACTTTTAAGTTCTATAAAATAACTGAAAGATACTCTTAAAGAGAGTTTTTTTAGGGCCTTTGAGGAGTCCGGCGTTTAGGCCAAATTAAAACTCCAGCTGTCTCAGCTGTTAAACCAGTCAAATGGAAAGTTGCAAGCGACGCGCGCACGCTCAACGGAACGGGAGGCGTGTGCCGAGGCGTTTTAATGTACAAGATTATGTTTTGGCCACAATTACACAGGCGGAGAGCTTTGCATACAATGTCAGAGAAAAAAAGAAATCGTTATGACAGAAGGGAAAACGGCAATAAGTGATCTTAACTGCTTATGTGCTTTTTAGTTAAACCTTTAACAAGGGGATTGTTCCGCAATAATACTTATTTCTATACCAGCGAGTTTATAACCCACCGCAAAGATTTCAATGCACTTGCAAAAGAGCTAACTAATAAACTAACCACAATGCGCGCGTGTTACGAAATTTTCGGTCTATTCGTCTGAAGAGCTAACACATACAGGTGGAAGCCGCAGGTGTGTCTGGGGAGGGAGAGGGATTGGGAGTGGGAGTTGGCCAAACCACACACAGCGACGGCGCAGCGGTCACTTCAGTGTATGTACGTGTACGTGTACTTGGGAAATTATTAAGTGATAAGCTCGTGGTCATTAGTTGTCATTTAAAATGCAGGACGAGGGGGTGGGGTATATCGATTTGAATATGCATGACCGGGGGTCCTTCGACCAAAGTGGGTCAGCCTTAGCTAAGCTACTTACACCTGACAAGGTGGATAATTGCCCTCCGAACGCAGTTCGGGCATTTGAAAATTTTGTGATATGTGATGATATTCTTTACATGACGTCACATGGCCGGTCAATTGGGAAGAAATAGGAACACGTCAGACATACACAGCAGCAGCAGGTGGAACGCAAAGGTCTGGGGGCGAACGCAGGCCAGCCAATAGCAGCAAAATGGCTAAACTTTTAATGATAATCCCAGATCGTGGTGACACAGCAAAATGGTTAGCGCGCTCAAAGTGCATGGCCCTTCAATGATTGGGTTAAAGTTAACTACGGGCTTCTCGAAATTGTTGCTCCTGCTCCCCGCCATTGCAACGTGGGGGAATGGGGATACCCGCATATCTGACCTCAAAAATTGGACAATCTATTCACTGCTGGCTGTCCCTAGCACATTTTTATCTGAGATCTGGGACTACAACGGATGGGGCAGAGCTCTGGCCCAGGTAAGATATTCCACCACCTCTTCTCCAATATATTCCAAACGTGGGTTTTCACTTAGCTCAGTTCTTGCAGATGGCTGTATTTTTATTTAATTTCGTTAACGTTATTGTCAACTTACCTTTATGACTTGGGCAGACCCGTGTGTGTCTATTTCAATACTCAGTTATTAATTAATAAAAAAACTGCTACACGTAAATTAACTCTTCGTGCGTACGATAAAGATGGTACTTTTCTCGATAGAGTGAACTGGCTCGATAGAAACGTACTAGTTCACCATCGAATTCACTAGATGGTTGTTAATTGAGGGAATTCTCTCAGCATTGTTCAATTATTTCATTTTCAGTACCAGGATTAAGGTCTCAAAACCTGAATATCCTGTTCATGTCTCTTCTTACTGTTATTATATTTAATAAACTTAACTTTATTGTAAAACGCGACAGCCAAATTTTTGTCATCGATATGTGGCAATCAATGAGTTATCATCCCTAAATCACAACGCACATTTTAGCTTAATTTTTATTTAAATACTTAAACGTATTAATTAAATCGTATGACTTGTAATGGACGACGAAACTAGTCTGCCCGCCGACACATTGGCCATACTTAACGAATTCCTAGCGGAGCGTTCAAACCGCGAGGCTGAGGAAAAGGATCGGATTGTCAACAAGACCGGCAAAGATGCACACTTCGAGGAAGATTGGGCAAGAGGAAAACTATTGATATTCTAAAGCTCAATACTGATTTGCGACTACTGCAGCAACTCAGCCAGTTCTGGTACAGCACGCAAACCAAGCATACCGTGCGGGACGTCGTGAAAAAGCTTCTGGAGGAACAAAATCCTGACTCGAGGGACAACTTCAACATAGCTCTCCTTTCCTGTCCATCTCTTTATAAGGACATCAAAGATATCCATGATCAGGGTAACACATATCCACTTATATTTGAAGCTTTGATAATCAATCTCCTGCAATTCTCCTGTCTTCTTAGTCAACATCTTCGAGTTTGATCAGCGGTTCGGGGCTTACGGCACTGATTTCGTATATTACGATTTCAACTGCATAGATAACAATCCAGACTATCTAAAGGAACACCACAAACAGTACGACCTTATAGTGGCCGACCCGCCCTTTTTGTCCCAGGAATGCATTACCAAAATGTCGCAGATAATCACCAAACTCCAACGCGATCCAAGTAAATCCAAGCTGATCTTCTGCTCCGGCGAGGTAGTGGAGCCATGGTTAATTACCTGCCTACCGGTTCACAAGTGCAACTTCCGGCCGGAGCACGAGCGGAATCTGGGCAACGAATTTGTTAGTTATGCCAACTTCAATTTGGACAATTATATTGAAAATAAATAAGCACATTGCATTCTTTTGTGGGCTGTGGTGAGGAGTGGATTAAATGCCAGGATGGAAGCTTTTATTTCGCACCGACGTCGGCCTCTTTACGCTGCTGGACTAACTCCCGCAGACCGTCTTCCTGATCCTTCAGAGATTTTTGCAGAAATTCCTTTTTCTTTTCGAGCAGTTCGATTGCCTTGTCGCACTTGTCCTGCTTGGCTTTCAGATCCTCGCGCATGTTCTGAACATCGGTCAGCAGAAACATGCGTCCCACGGATTGATATACTCTGTTGCAAAAGGAATACAATGTGAATATGGAATCAATTATGGGTTTTTAGGCATTGAGTCACCTCGTATCGTCGGACAGACTGCTGGTACCCTTTTCCGTCAGCTGGTACTTGTGTTTGCCAGTTTTTACCATGTCACACTTCATGTCTATCATGTTGATCTTCTTCGTGGTCTCCAGTTTGTTGATCTGCATTTCGGTGAAAGCCTGTAGATTGTCCAAAGGAAAACCAGATGGCTATGAGAAAGAAAAGACCCTTGGCAAGGCAAGGCGAGGCAAGCACGCGCTGCACGCCGACAGCAAACACAGAAAGCCGGCTCTCCCCCCCGCTTACCTTCTTCAGTTCCATGTCCATTTGTGCCATTTTCTTTGATAATTGTTACTTCACAGATAAATAGGGCTAAGTTCAATATATTCAGTAAGAATTTAATAGAATCGTTAACACCTGCACTGTTTTTTTTACTTCAATGTGATGAGGAGCTGGGACGACTCATAGCGATAGTATCGATAAATAGAATAATCGAACAATCGATGACAGCGTTCACACCTTGTCCACTGCCGCGGAGTGATGAGAGTTCGATAAAGCGGTTTTTATTTTACAATTGAAAAATAAATAAGACTTTTTTCATAGCCTTGCAATTTGGATAAATTTAGTTTATTTAGAGATTATAAAATCGATTTGTAGTGTAGACATATTTTCAAAAACCTTTGGTAGACGTTTATTCATATTTGATCGCGAGCATTTCAAATTATAACAAAAAGTCGTTTCTTAGAAACAATAATACTATAATAAATAGCCTAAAATGCAAATTAGAAAGAAAGCCGTTGGACTTTACTAAATCTCTTCAAAGTATATAAAAAATCACAATTTATACCTGCATTTAAATGCATTTAATATACATACATATATAGGTAACAGTTCTTTTAAAATCTAGAATCAATGACAGAAGTTGCATATACTAAACACAACATTTGGCCGGCAGGGTCTGTAGGCGTTCTCGTAACGCCTCCTCGTTTAGTTGGTGCATGCAGAGGAATTGCCCGTTTAGGAACACAACCGGAATGTCATCCCGAAAGAGCCTTAGGAAACGAACGTTCTCCTTTCGGTCGATGTAAACTTTTTCCAACCGGTACCGGCCATCGAATTCCTGCTCCAGCCGATGGACTAGCTCGTCGCACAGGGGACAGGGATCGCGCGTGTAAAGGGTGAGCAAAGGCCGACCGTCATCCTGGGCTATTTTGGGCGCTCTGAAAAACATAAAATTCAGAAAATCAAAAGAGTCAAGAAAGGTTGCAAGAAAACGTACAGTTTTTCGAGAAACATGATCATGGAGCCATCAGCTCCACCAATGAACGCGCATCCCAGTCCGCCGCTGGGCAGTGAGTGGACCAAATGCGTTAGTAGGTGACTGGCAGTGACCTGCTTAAAGTCATGCGTGCACAGGCGTTTGGGGTACAGGTCACCGATCATACTCTCCGTTATTCCTTTTTCGGTTCCCGTGACCACGTTCCAGGTGTAGACCTCGCTGGGAGTGATCGGATTGTTTTCATTCAAGCGGTACATTACCTGTTTGTCATCCTTTTTTACCCAAAACTCTCGCAACAATGCGAGTGGTTGTAGTTGCAGACGTTGTGCCGCCTCTTGGGTGGTCCAGGCGAGAGCGGCACCTCCTAATGTGGGTGCCGGCTCCAAGAGAGCCTGATTTGTCCCAGCCAATCGTTTGGAAATTCCAAGGTGTCGCACGGACATCAGTTCGTTTGCCAGAACTCCGTGCTCTGGCTGCACCACCTGACGCCGGGTATCCCCAGTAATGATCACTTGGTTGTTTCCGGATTGAAGGGAGTCTATCGTCATCTGGAGACCACTAATGGAGCAAATGTCGTCTTGCAGTGCAAGTGTCTCGCACTTAAAGCCCAAATCCTTGGCCACATTGGAAAGATGCTCTTTGCACACTGGCTCCGGCCTCTTTGACGACGAGCTGAAGATCAGTTTGGTGAACTCCTTACGCGGCACAGTGGTTCGCTTGGCTAGTTCGTCGACTATCATCCCAGCTAGCTGCTGCTCCTCCGCTCGGATGGGAGCGCTGGGTGTCCGCACGGCAGATGCAATCACTACACCATTTTTGTAGCCTTCTGCCTGCTGGCTCTGAGGGGTGCAGTGGCGGACCAGCTGCTGCCAAATACTGTGGGCAATGGAGCTCTTCTAGAAGTTCACATCTTTGTAATGTGGATGAACTTACTGTTTGTGGCTAAACGGACGCACGCCTCCCGGCATTTTCTATTTTTTGGGACGGTAGGTTAATATATTTGTTTTGTAACACCTGTTGATTTATATGAAACAGCTGTTTTATCAGGTGTCACCAAGGTCAAGCATTGTCACTATGTTTATTTGCTATTGTTTATATGTCAGTCAGAGCAAATTTGAGTGCCTTATTAGTAGATGAAGGTGAATTGTTTAATTGTTTTTTCCTTCCATGGTCACAAATGACAGAGTTGCCTTGATACTAATCGTATTGGAGGGAGACAACTCTGGTTGTCTGTTCAGTCCTCTGTTAATGCTGGCACAGCTGATTTCACAAAAACAAAAAACGGAGAAAGAAAAACAATAACAATAAAGGAGAAAGTTATTTTAAGTTCGAACAAACAAAAAATAAGACGGAGAAACCGGTTGTTACAGCACCGACTTATTCGACGCCAGCTGATAAATATTGCAGAGACTTTGCAGGGACACTCCGAGCGGGCGTTAAGTCGAAAATCCAATGGAAGTGACTCTTAAGAAGGCTCGCCTGGTAAACGATAAAAATGAAGCCTCGGGGAGGATAGGGCTGACGTTGATCCGTTCGGATGGTGGGCTCTGCCAGAGCCAGCGCTTCTCATGATCTTCGAGCAGTTAAGCGTCCCCGAACTCCTCCAGGCGAGCCTCTGCTGCCGGCGGTGGAACAGCATTGCCAACGACGACCTGCTGTGGCGTCAGAAGTTCCAGGAGCACTTCAGAGCCTCACCCAATGTTCCACTTAAGCCGGGCGCCGAGAGTTGGCGGTCGGAGTACCGTCGTCTGTCCACGCACATACCCTTCGTCCAGGCCCAGCGACTGGAATCGACGGCGGAAAACCACCATGGCCACACGCACCAGGTGCTGCATGTGAGCTTCGCCCACAACGGCGAAATGTTCGCCACCTGCTCCAAGGACGGCTATGTGATAGTGCGTGCTTTCCACATACATACATATTGTATGTATGTACATATAGACAAGTCATTAATCCGCTGTTGCTCTGTTTTAGATCTGGAATTCTCAGCATCCGTGTACGGAGAAGTATGCGCACAACATGAAACAGTTCAGTTGGAAGTACTCCCAATACTCTCAGTTTAACCAGAGCGACACCTTGCTCCTGGTCTCCGGCGTACACTTTGGTTCGCCACAATCGACTTCTGGAGAGATTGCCGTCTTTTATCTGGGAGCCACCGAGTCGCATCTGCGCTGCCGGGTGGTCAACCGACCGTACGATATCTTTGGCACCTGGTTCAGTGACCAATATCTGATCTCTGGTGACTTGCACTGGCTAGCGCACTTGGTTAGCACGTCGGTTCTGTGGCTCAACAAGGCCAATCAGGAGATTGACTCTGAGCACGTCCCGATCATGAGTCAACTGTACAAATTCTACAATCGAAATGCCAGCTCGGTGCGAGCCATCATGGTGGCCAGATGTCCCTGGCTTGATGAAAGCAACGATCCGTTGTTAGTCAGGTGTACCGACGAGGCCGACGAAACTCGCAGGACCACGCAGCACTCACCGCCCAGAAATGATCCAGAGTCCAGTGGGAATCCCTTATCCCATGCAGCCAGCCTGCGCCGCACAAGAAGCGCAACACCGGAAGAGAACTACTTGCCAGACATCAGCGAACGTCGTTCAAGGACGCGTCCTGGTGACCCCACCATTCACTATCTGGAGGAATACAGAAATGCCGTAGCCTCTGTCAATGGTGCAAACGAAGAGGAGGACGACGAGGAGGAGTACGACTCAATGGATTTACAAGAGGAATACGACGAAATGGAAAACAGCATACCGAAATACCTCATCTTTTCCACGGGCTCAAAGACCTTCACACCGCATCAGATCGGTTTCAAGCGCATTGGGAATGTGTATTTCCCGAAAAAACTTGATCCCGGTCCCACGCTCAAGGAAAGAATAGCTGCCAAGCGGGCTGCCGAACAACAGCAGCAGCAGGCACCGCGCACTGACCCGGATTGGTGGGACTATGAGTCTGTAAAAGATCGCTTTGACCAAGTGGACAAGGTGATTGATCTGCATGGACACATCATCGGCATGGCACTCAGCCCAGACCATCGCTACTTGTACGTGAACACCCGTCCATGGCCCAAGAACTATGTCATCACTAATCCTCTCGAACCGCCGCCAATCGCTCAAGAGATCGACATCCATGTCATCGACTTGATGACACTTAAGAGAGTAGGCAACATGCTGCGTGCCCACAAGGCTTACACGCCCAGCTCGGAGTGCTTCTTCATATTCCTCGATGTCTGTGAGGAGTATGTGGCCAGTGGCGCCGAGGATCAACATGCTTACCTATGGGATCGATACTACGGCATAAGTTTAGCCAAGTTTAAGCATTCTGATGTTGTAAACAGTGTGGCCTTTAATCCGCGCGACTCTGAGATGCTGGTGACCACCAGCGATGACTACACAATCAAGGTAAAGAACGAATTATGAATATCACCGGTGTCATTAACAAAGGGAATTCCTTTACAGGTCTGGCGATCACGATCTAAGGCTAGGGAGTACAACATACCTGTCAATGTCAGCGAGTCCTTCGAGCTTAAGCCTAAGAACTGAGGATGAATATTGTCGAAATCAAAAGTTCTGTGCCTGCCGTATCCGATTGCTTTATTGTGTATAGATTTTACTGCTCGCCGCTAGTTCGTTTCGTGTTGTTAAAGATTTTTATTAAATGGTGTTCGCTTTACGAATCTCCAGTAGGTTTTGCTGGCCCTTCAATCGGCTCGGCTGGTGGCGGTCCGGTTTCCTCAGACTGCATAGATTGGGCAGATGTAGATGGCTCGTCTGGAAGTCTCGAATTTGGGCAAGAGTCGTGGTCGTCTCCATGGTCGTGGTCATGATTATGATTGTGTTTAACGTTCTTCTTCCGCTTCTCGGGATGTCCAAAACAATGCTCGCAATCTTCGTCGTCTTCTGAGGAACTCTCACCGAAAGCCAAGGGTTTTTGTATATGCAGCAACCTAGAATATATACATATGGATTAGCCAACGCCTCGAATCAGGAGAGCAAACAAAGATTACATTTGGATTTCTTCCGATTCAGATGTTCGTTGTCAATGATTCCAGCGTGAAAGACCACCCGGCGTTCATCACGCGGCTGGGCCAAGCGCAGCTGCAGCGTGGGAGTGGATCCACTTGCATCCGTCTCATCGACTATTTCGGTTCTCGTTCCATTAATTGAATCATTACTTGGTTTTTGGGCCATTTTTAACTATATAAACAAGATATCATGAATGTAGTGCTGCTGCTCCGATCAGCTGTGTAGTGAACTATCTGGCAACACCGCCTACTCTAATGGGACAAAAATATTTGGGGTACCTCTCTCAACTAATTTCATCCATTTTACTGCATTCATTTGAATTTATGAACTTAAATTAATTATAGTAACAAAAAAATTATTTATTTTTCTTAATATATCTACATATATGAGAAACAAGAAAATGTATTTTTAAATCTAAAATTATTTCCAATTTCATGGACACGAGTGCCCCAATTAGTTATGAGCCCCACATACCTCGACGATCTGGCAACAGCTAACGTCACATTCAGCTGTCAGTCGTTCGGAAAATGTCTGCACTTGTGCGATTTAATTTGTTAACTAAACCGCAATTTGGTAATTGAATGAATCTTATTCAATATTTAAAAGTTTTACAGTGACATTAGCTTGTACTTTTGTGTTGTGGCTATTCTTAGAATAACTTGCACGTCGGTGAAACAGTCGGTTTGCTTGCAACCAAATTATGTAATTTTTGCGCAAAGCAAAACAAAGATATAGCAGAGTGTTCTGCGCATTTTATTGATTTGCCTGCCTTATTTGTGCATTGCAGTTGCGGCTGTGCCGGCCAGCTGCCTGCAGCTACAGCGGCTACAGAGCACTCAGGCTCCGCCACCAGGAACGCCACCACCACAGACCAAGACCAAGTTCGGTCCTCTGGCCGATGAAGATCGAATCTTCACCAACCTCTATGGACGTCACGACTGGCGACTGAAGGGCGCCCTGAAGCGCGGAGATTGGTACAAGACCAAGGAAATTGTGCTAAAGGGACCCGACTGGATCATCAATGAGATCAAGACGTCTGGTCTGCGTGGCCGAGGAGGCGCTGGCTTCCCCAGTGGCATGAAGTGGTCCTTCATGAACAAGCCCGGGGATGGTCGCCCCAAGTACTTGGTTGTCAACGCCGATGAGGGTGAGTAAGAAACAACGCACCTTTTAACAATTTATTATTAATTCATTGTTTTCGGTTGCTAGGTGAGCCTGGTACCTGCAAGGATCGAGAGATCATGCGCCACGACCCACACAAGCTGGTGGAGGGCTGCCTAATCGCCGGCCGTGCCATGGGCGCACAAGCCGCCTACATTTACATTCGAGGCGAGTTCTATAACGAGGCGTCCAACATGCAGCTGGCCATCGCTGAGGCCTACCAGGCTGGTTTGATTGGCAAGAATGCTTGCGGAACTGGATACGACTTTGATGTGTTTATGCATCGTGGCGCTGGCGCCTACATTTGTGGCGAAGAGACAGCCCTAATCGAGTCTCTGGAAGGCAAGCAGGGAAAGCCGCGCTTGAAGCCGCCATTCCCCGCTGACGTTGGTGTTTTCGGTTGCCCAACCACTGTCACCAATGTGGAGACAGTGGCAGTGGCCCCAAGCATCTGTCGTCGCGGTGGTCCCTGGTTTGCTAGCTTTGGCCGTACCCGTAACTCAGGCACTAAGCTCTTCAACATTTCGGGCCATGTCAATAGGCCGTGCACCGTTGAGGAGGAAATGTCCATACCGTTGAAGGAGCTGATCGAACGCCACTGCGGTGGTGTTACCGGTGGCTGGGACAATCTGCTGGGCGTCATTCCTGGTGGCTCCTCAACTCCCATCATACCGAAGAACGTCTGCGACGATGTGATTATGGATTTCGACGGCTTGATCGCCGCCCAGACCTCGCTTGGCACGGCTGCCATCATTGTGATGGACAAGTCGACGGATGTAATCAAGGCAATTGCCAGGCTAATTTCGTTCTACAAGCACGAGAGTTGTGGACAGTGCACGCCTTGCCGAGAGGGAATCGGCTGGATGAACAAGATCATGACGCGGTAAGAATCAGGGATTGTATGTTATGCAAAAATCAATTATAATTTCTTTGCTTTAGCTTTGTCAAGGGAGACGCGCAACCCGCTGAGATCGATATGCTGTGGGAGATCTCGAAACAAATCGAGGGACACACCATCTGTGCGCTGGGAGACGGTGCCGCCTGGCCAGTGCAGGGTCTTATCCGTCACTTCCGACCTGAAATCGAGAAACGTATGCAACAGTATGCGGGGCAGGCGAAGCGCGCCAGCAATTAATTGATAATTCAAATGTAATAGTTAATTTTATTGATTGCTGCTTGGATGCATATATAAAGTGTAAAGTTCTCCAATATTCCCTATGTTCCTTAATCCAATTTTAAGCTTTTTATATGCTTAATTACGGCCTGAATATCCGCATTACTGGGCGATTGGTACGACGGCGGAAAGGTGCACAAACTCAGAGGCCCACCAATTTGACGATCCACTCCAGGTTGTTCCACACAACGGGCTGGTATAAACTGATATCTAGAAGTACACTATATATAGAGAGAACCTTTTGGCTTTATTATCAAACTTACTCCCGGCCATTGCAGCTTTGCAGACTCAGAAACAGAAAAGCCGCGAAGAAAATCAAAAAAGTAGTTCTGAAATCCATGTTGAGATGTAAACCGTTGGCTAATGCGGTCAATTATAGACTGACTGGCTACTGACTATCGGAGTTAAGAACACCGGCTTCTACTTGTTCATGCAAATATTATGCAATACCTGGAATGTGTTTAGTCATTTAAATAACGGCTTTATGATCATCACCTTATGAATAATTAATGCACAAAAGTTTCAATTCCTTGCCATTATGAGCGGCTGTGGAATACCCCAGCCAGAATGCCGCCTTGATACAGCATTTATAATTCATATCTAATAATCTGGAGACTACACTAGCCTACAAGCTTCGTCAAGCTTGAATTTATTAAGTCCCTTACTGTTTTACAGCAAAGTTTCAAGTTTCTTATAACGAATCGGCTTTGATGTTCCCAAAGAGTTTAAGTAACCGAGTAGAGTTTTGGTAAATAAAACATTAACTTGTAGTATGTAGCATGTATTTATAGATTTTAAAGTTTCTCTCTTGTTTCAATGCAGATTTAGTTAAAGTACAAAACGATGACTATTTTTAAAGTTAGCTTAAAGTTGTATAGCTACTAATTTAAAGGCGATAACAACTGCTGCTTCAGATGGCTTTAAAGAAAATATTCTGAATATATATTGTAGAAAAAAACCAAGTCGTCAATAGCTGTAAACAGATAGTGGCCCGCTGGGGAGCATATATATAGTATAGTATATAAAAGTATAGAAAATAGAAGTGTAGGGTATACGGTGAAGGTGGAAAATGAAACCCGATCTTGTGTCTGATCGTGTGGGTCGTTGTTCACGCATCTGAAACACGCAAGTTTCCGTGGGTCTCTGCTTTCTGCTGCAGAATTGAATTGCACTATGGTGTTCAGACTTTCTGAACAATATTAAACATTTTTCTTTTTAGCAATATAAAGAATTGTGTTGTAGAAATAGGTATATAAGACTATTTATATAACACTTTCGTTTTCGCACACATTTATGTTAATTTTTTTTGTTAGTATTTTACTTGTTTTATGTACATATGTATGTATGTACTCGTAGTTAATTAGAGTTTAGGTTTACATCGTTTAAAGGTTTTAGGCTTTTGTTTAGTTTAGTTTGATTCGTTTTGTTTCGTTTAACTTGGCTTAAAGCGTTCTCTTATTGCTTTTCTATGAGAAGGAACATAGTACAATATTTTTCTGCTTAAAATACTAAACAACATTTTTAAACAAGTCACTAGAAGAGTTTTTTGAAAAATTTCAGTTTTCTATTTTACCATTTCTGCTCGTGGTTAGGTTAGGCAAGAGTTGCGACAGGTTTCCGTTGTGTTAATATTGCATAGCTTCAGGCGCACAACATCGTAGTGTAAATAAGCGTCAACTAACTCTGCTATGTATATGTATGTTTTGTAGGGTAGAAGTCGTAAACACATCTATGAATCTATGCGCGCTCTATGTACTGTATATTATGTATTCTGCACTATGTATGTATGTAGATACTATCTAGCCATTGAGTTACCTTTAAAACATCTAGATAGTGTCCTTATGTTGGGTAGAACCAGAGCGTTTGTTAGTGTTTCATCGGTAGTGGAAGGGAGGGAGGTAAGGAGGGAGGGAGGGAGGCATAGGTAAAAATATATATATATTATATATATGTGTATATATATAGTATGTGTATATCAAGTATAGCTTAGTATCACACTAGTAGAGATAATGCGAAGAGGCCTGAGCTCTATACTGTTTCGGTGTCAGCTTAATTAACTTGGGGTTGAATGCCCCCAGGGCCGCCTCGTTGGTGGAAGAGGGTGGTGGCGGTGCTGTGTGCGTCCGGAAGCGCGACCTCAGGAAATTCTGCATGGACCGCAGACGGATGATGGGCGCGCAGGGCGATTGTCGAAGCGAGTTGTGGTTGAGCGCCCAGTAGATCACCGGACTGATGGCCGAATAGAAGTAGCCTGTGAAAAAGAGAAAATGATTCAAGCTTCTGCTGCAGTATCCTTAAATCTGTACACTCACCCAGGAGCAGGCTGAAGTAGACAGAGGTCTTGGTGCAGTGCTGCTTGTAGCCCAAGTTTTTGTAAAAAATGCAGAAAACATGCGGCGCCCAGCAAACAATGAAGATCACGGCGGAGGCGATGAGCATGTTGGCTAGATGCCGTCGGGAGCGCAGAGTGGACGTCTGCGGCAGCGGAATTCCAGGTGTGGCCGGTCCACGTCCCGCTCGGTGGATGCGCTGCCGTTGCGAATGGGCTCGAATCTCCCTCATGGCCCTGGTGGTTAAGTAATTTTAGAAAATCAACAATGATCGTACATTTTTTAAATATGCAGGATTGCTCTCCTATATAAACTCTACTCACCTGGGCGATATGGGATTGCTGGAGCGATAGGAACCCGGTTCGAGGGCCGAGCCAAGGGACCCATTCTGACGTGGCTGCAGGTTGTGCAGTTGAATATCCCCCGGGCTGATATTCCCTGTTCCAGTGCCATTTCCATTTCCATTCGAGTTTTCGTCCCCCGTGGTGGCACCTCCACAGGCCGCCTGCTGGGCGTTGGGGCAACCGGTCACGATCACCATATGCGTCTGGCGACGCAAGATGGGAATGGGTAGCGGCAACTCTCCATGGGCTGCTCGAGCTGTCAGCGAGAGAGCACAGAGCTTGCGTCGCACTCCATAATGGTTAAGCAGCACGCCCACACCCGGCAGCACGAACACGGCAATGGTGTGGGTGATGATGAAGGACATGAACATGGCATTGGCTCCTATGTCCGAGGTGCAGCTGATGCTAACCGGATTCGGCGTGGTGTTTCCACCCCTGCCAGCACCTCCTGGGACCACCACCGACTTGGCGATGATCTTGTAGGCGAACAGGAAAGGTGTGCTGATGGCAGCCGAGGTCAGCCAGGAGAGCAGAGCCAGCGAGACGTGCAGGTATCGACGCTGACGCAGCTGCGCCAACCGAGGGTGCTTTACCGTGGCATAACGGTCCAAGGAGAGCATGAAGAACGAGATGGTGCTGGCCGCCACGGGCATGACCTGATGGGTAATGGATTATTTTTAGAGATGTTGCATCTCTTCAATTTATTTACTCACCTGTATGTAATGTATGACCTTGCAAAGCACCAGCGGCAGGGATTGTGTGCGACGATTCATTGCTAGATTGAGGAGCGTGACCGGGGCTGAGATGCCGGTGACCAGGAGGTCGGCAATGCAGACGGCCAACAGCAGGGGATTGCGCAGACGCACCGACGAGGCCGAGCAGAGGGTCAGCACCAACGTGGAGTTTCCAACGACGCCGCCGAAGACAACTAGGCCGTAGCTGACCGCCAGCAGGAGCAGTGTCAGGGAGGAGATGGCGTGCTCCGAGTCCTCGGCATCGTACGGATCCTCCAGGCTGAAGTTTCCGTAGTCATAGTCGTGCGTGGGGACAGAGTTTTCCGTTGGCAGATTGGCATGCCCGAACAGGGAGTAGGGCAGTTCCCCGGAGTCAAGCTCCTGGCTAGTTTCCAGGTGATGGCGGCGCCGGTAAAAGTTCTCCCACCACTGCTGCAGATTGTTGCTATTCATGCTTCCGATCCCGAGTCCGTCTCCGTTTCCGATGCTTCTTCTGCCTGCAACCTCTGCCTAGTCCTGGTCCGTATGCGATTTGTGCGATCTTTGATGGCGATGCGATTGTATGTCCGCCTCATTTCATACTAAAGGTGCTGCTGCCATGTGGTGCACGACACAAAAAGTAGCAAAGCAACAAAATGCAATCATCATCAGTCTTTTTGTCTCCCAGCAAGGACACCAATCCACCTTCACACACACACGCACACCCACAGGCACTCTCACGTGCCCCACGCCCACGTACGCCAGCACACCGCTCTGGCCACGGACGCTGACACTGACACTTATGCAACGAGGGTACGACGATTGCGAACAAGGCGCACTCAGAGATTAGTGCTGCTCTTCCTTCCGCCTTCCGCCCTACGCCCTCTTTCCTCTGCCTTCGAATTCCGCCCTGACCATCATTTCCCCTCCCATTCATCTGTGCGGGCCGAATAAATGGCACTGCAACCTTGCACTTTGCGTCCTTGACAAATAACCACAAGGTTCACCTCGTTGAAGGATTGAGCGTATCCTTTTGTTGTTGCAGCCCTACTTCACTTCGAAAACGGAACCAAACAAATATTATTGTAATTTCGGTAATAAAGGAAAATATAGTAATAGATGTAAAGTATAGTAAATAATTATGTTGGAGTTCAAATGGAAGATAGCTGCCGTCAAGTTAGGTTCAAAATAAGATGCGAATTCCATCAGTAAAGTGGATAAACCTTACTTTACACACAACAAATATAAGAAAGCTTCTTAAACTCTCCAAAATTATATATATTCTTGATCAGCATCACAAGGCAAGTCGATTAAGGCATGTTCCTTGGTCCATGGGAGGCCGCAGATCTAAGATCTGGGAGTGAAACTGTTTAACTTGTGCACAGATAGTTTCATTTCTTACATTCAGTGGATCGAAATTATTGTTTTGGTATAACATTCTAGTAAATATGAGATAGTGCACAAAACTCTAAGTATCAGGTATCTTTTAAACTAATTTGTCAACTGAAACAGGCTAGCCAAGAATTCGTTACCTTAACCTAGCTTGTTCTTGAGCTTCCTGTCTATCCTGTTTTAATTACAAATCAGTCTAATGGATATCTGGTTCTCAAAGCTTTTTTAATTAAATTAAACAAAACATTAACAAATTATTTTATTAAAAGTAAGGCTTCCATTTTAATTTCCTAGATACCTTGGATCGTACCATAAGGTTAGAAGTCAGTCAACAATTTTAATCTAAGTAAGGATAATTATGTAAGAATAAATAGGTGTGTATAAAATAGAATTAACAAAATTCTTACTTAATGTATACTGTCAGTAAGGACATCCCTATAGGATATGCTATTGTTCTGTTTTTTGTGTAGCCTCTGTGACAAACAGATGGACATGAGAATTAACATATATGTATTTTTGTCCCTGCTTTGTTCTCGAGTAACCAAATAAGTACGTTATGAGGACTGAACTACAGCTTGAGAGTGAGTCACCTTCGCGAAAACTCAACTTGGTCTCTTATGTGGCTGCATCTATGAATAAGAGGCAATGGCAGACAGCGCGCCTTGTGTGCGTGGGCCTGGGATGCTTTGTGGGAGGTCCTTTCGGGTGGGAGGACCTTTGTGCTGCTGTGTATCAGATTTGTTTGCGAGTGGACAGCTTTGGCGGAGGGCGGCGGACCGGGTGGGGGAGACAAAAGGACAGGGCAGAAGGCACCCAAAGGGGCTGGAGCCTCCCCCAAAACAACGAACGCTTTCCTGCGCAGTGTCTGCGCGATGTCAACGCTTTTGCCTTTTGCTGTGGTTTTTTCCCTGCCCATTGTTTGCGGCTGATGATGTGACTGACGTTTGCTTAATCTGCTTAATTTGCGTTAATTTAATCGTGGCTGACGGTGTGTGCCACACACATGTACATGATAATGCGAGTGTGTGAGTGCACATGTTGCTCTCGTCACTTTGGCGCCTAGTCCTAATTTAGCATGCATTAAAAGCGGGTTCCTTTTACCTAATCCCAAACTCTTACCGGCAATATACATAGATATGCTGTCACATATTCGTAATTTGTATGCCTTTGTTTTTATCGTGTCTTAAAGACCAATAACCTGTTGAGTTACCTATATGAGTTTACATTTCATTTTCGTACGCCAGGTAAACTGAATATAGGAAATACAATCAGCTATTTTAAAGAGCTTATCACAACTAGTTGTTGATTCGAAACTAATTAAAATGATGTCTTAAAATACGAAATTATATATTTTATTTGTTTGTTTTTGTTCTTTTCTATATTCTATAGAAAATTTTGAAAAATATTTTAACGGATTTTCAATTCTCTGTAATATATTAGAAATTTCTTATTCTACCTACGAAGTCTCCAAGTGATAAACTGTCAAGGGTTTTCGAAAACCTAGTGACTTTTCAATGTAAATTCCCTTAAAATAAGTTAATTTTATCCCGTAAAAAAGTTTAAAGAGTACTTAAGATTTATGTCGAGGGACAAACAAACAGATTTTCTATATTGATTCTTCTGTTAGTAAATAGAATTTAATTATACATGAATGTAAATATTATAAGCTTGATATAATAATAAATTTCGCTAACACCGATTTTAATATCAGAAGTTGGGTGTTGCTTCGCCCACTTTGTTACCTTGACAGGGGATTTTTTTTTAAATAGAATGTGTATGTATTAATTTAAGTCGATGAAGCTTCAGCAACAAGCACAAGAGGTGACAAAACCAGGCCGAAAGGTGTTTTTTCCTTTCTTATTCGCGCAGTAGCGAGCAATGGCCAAGCAGGAATACGCAGGAGACAAGAGAGAGAGAGAGAGGAAATAATGATGACAGGATTTTCTATTGTTGTTGCTGTTTGCTGTACTGCTAATATGAAAAGTGCCAGCCACAGGTGAGTTAATGTGGCACACACAGTCCGATATACGGATACACGCAGCCGGGCGGGTGTCCTCTCCTGGCCAAAACACAGGATACACAACCATCTGCTTCTGCTCGGTCTGCTTTGCTCCCTATTTTCTTTGACTTCAGGCTTCGGCTTCGGCTTCAGCTTCAGCTTGCTTGCCCGTTTGCTTTTTGTCTGTTTTTATTGATTTCGGCAGCTTTTATACGCGCACTATGGGGTGACGGGAGGTTAGAGGTCGAGTGTGGTGGCCATGGCTCATTCGTGACGGCTACAATGGCAAGCAAACAAGTCTTTGTATCTTCGCGATGAAAAATAATTATACGTGGTATTTATTGCATTTTTTATGCTACTCCCTCCATTCACCCAGACATGGTCGAAGCCCATTTTGAGGAGTGGATTTTGGGGCAGGACTCTCGCTAATTAGTTTCTGGCTCGCTCTCGCCTTCTGTGAAGGAACTGCGAAGAAAGCGTGGGCGGGAAAATGGGCGGACACACACACACACTTAGTGGCACAGTCACAGCCACACACAGAGAGGAGCTCATCGCAAAAGGCATGTAAAAAAGCGACACCATAATTACTAACCATAAAAATGCGTGGCATGACAAAGGCAAAAATAATGTTGCATACCAATTAGTGCGACATCACACCAGCACACACACACACACCCAGAGGCATCATCGCGACGTATACGTAATATAACCTACCGTGTTTCACTTGGCGAAATATGTACGTTAGTTGTTGCTTCGTGTTGATGCTGTTGCGGTGCTGTTGCTTTTTTGGCAAGGGGTTTCAATCGAAGGCACTGTAATTTACAGTTAGATCTATTGTGCTTACTGGGCTGCTTTGTTGTTGCCGTTGTTGGTTGTCAGTTGTCAGTTGTCGTTTTTTTTTTTTTTTGTAATTTATCAAAAACACATTTAGCAAATATTTTGTATTTCAACTGTAGTTCGCAGTCGTGTAAAATCGCGTTAAAAAATACTGGCCGTCGACATCCTTGGAATATATTTTGTTGATATTGTTAAATGTGTGTGCCCCCGTGTTTGTGCCCGTGCCCGTGCTGCTGCTGGTGTCTTGAGTGTGTGTGAGTGTGTCCAGGGGGTGGGGGTGGCGAAAAAAAGGTAAAACGAAACTCAAGGCGCGGCGTGAAGCAGTGATTCCTCAGCGGCGCACATTACTCGACAGGACCACGGCGGAAGACTGTGCCAGGCGAAAAGTCGACAGGACCTCGGGAGGACTATGTGAGGCAGTGTTGCCAGCGTTGCTTATTTCTAGCATATTTAAAAGTGGAAAAGCTTGTGAAACTAACTAGATTTTAGCCATAAAAATGCTTATATTATTTGTAATTATCTCTATTTTTCTCTAAATTGAAAATAATTATGCTTGGTTTCTCTCATTTGGGTGTAGTTTCTTTTTTAGCCATATTATTTTATTTTTAGCTTATTTTTACTAAAAATAAAATCATTTCGGTCATATCCTGGCAACACTTGTACGAAGACAAAAGTCGTTGGGAAAGTCGGTACCAGAGAAAGCAGCTTTGAGAGCGAGCTTTTCGCCTCCGGACTTTCGCTTTCACTCGGCAGTATGGGCGACCATGCTGGGGACTGGGACAACAGTCAAGCCACCACAAGTCAGAAATTGGTTGTAAACTTTAATTAATTAATAATTTTGAAATATTTCAGAATATATTTTTTTTCGATATTTTAATAAGTCATCTATAACATATAGGCTACGAATTTGATCAAATGAAAAATAAATAACTAACCGGCTTAAAAAGTAAGATATGATTATAAATCACGATTAATTTTGTAACAAAGTTTTTTTTTTTTTTAATATTAAATTTAACTACATTGAAATAGTTTGTAATCTGTAATTTTCAATGAAGAAATTTAAATTAATTAATTAATTAATTAATGTATAATCTCAACCTTTTTATTTTGTGTTGTTTTATATATTTTTTATTTTATGTTCAAATTAAGTTTATTTTTTAAATTTAAAAATATCTTGTATGATGTATCGGGTGGCACAACGCGAACGATTATTATTTCCTACTGCTATTAAAAATCTATTTAAAGTATATATAGAAATTAAACAAAGATTTATTAATTCATAACTCATTTATTAATTTTTTTGTAATACAAGTTATTTTATGAATTCTTTTTAACAATATCTGGAAAATATAATACATTTAACATTTAAATATTTTGGTATATTTATAGAGTAGTATTTATTTGAGGCCACGGTATGTTTAATCGTTATCGTTATCGGCGCGGTCACCCTGGTTGCGCTATAATCAAGCGTTGTTTGTTGTTGGCCATTTTGCAGTGAAAAATAGTGAACCCGCACACCAAACTGTAAGTTCGCGTTTAAGATTAGGTTTAATGGATCCGGGATAGGTGTGGAGCCCACAGGAGAAGGTGGAATATATTACCATATCCGAACGGTGGCCATGGTTCGCAAAATGTAAAATGTCTTTGTGTCTGTGACATGACGCTATCACTTTGAAACGGTTTTTTGGGTGATATTCATATTATTCCTGGAGCTAACTAAGGTTTCGCGAGAGGTGTTCAGTAGCCAAGCCGATAACCAAGTCCATTCAGTTATTTTGTTTGGTTAAAACATCATTTTTTGCTATATCTGTTGGCGTCGCTTACTCCGGCAGCGGCTTTCATTTTGTTTTCTTGCAAAAACCACCACACCAACACAAGGCGCGCACACACACACTCACACCACCAAGCGCGTGAGAGAGCGGCTTGCTGCCAGCGTTACGCTCCGCTGCGTACGAGTTTTCTGGTTCTGGTTCTCAACGTTCTCCCTAACTCCCGCTTCCGTTACAGCCGCGTAGCCGTGTAGACCACACAAATCCAGTCCAAGCAGCACTCACAAAATCTTAAAAGATGTCAGCTAAGCGCAAAGCAGGTGGCAATGGAGCCGGGCCCAACAAGCGACGACCCAAGAAGAAGGAGTCCGACTACGAAGATGACTTCAGCGACGAGTCGGATGATGGCGGCGCTCAGCAGGCGGCTGCCGCCGCCAACCAGATGGAGGTGCTCATTCCCCACGACGACCTGGATCCGCCCAGCAAGCTGCCGGAAGATTTGCTGGCTACGCTGGAGAAGACACCCGGGCAGTTGCTGCTGGCCGGCATGGTGACGTGGGACCTGACCGGCAAGCGAGACCGCAAGAATGTCACAAAAGTGCGACCGAACTTGTACAGCTTCCATCGGTTTACAGAAGAGAAGGTAAGGATTCGAGGGGTTCATCGGGCTGTATATTCGAGTGGTTTTCTAAATTTCTCCACATCTTGTGCAGTATCGGTACGTGGCCAGCGGACCAGCGGCCGCCCACACAATTCTCATCAATATGGATCGTAAGGCGCTCGGCTTTGGTCGCAATCCTAGCGGCCAGCTAGGCCTCAGCCAGGACATTAAGCTGGTGGAGAAGCCAACTATCATTCCGGCCCTGGAGCAGCTAAACGTGGTACAGGCAGCCGTCGGCAGGCACCACACACTATTCCTCACAGACACGGGAACAGTCTACGCCTGCGGTGAGAACAAGTCCGGTCAGTGTGGAGTGGGCAATACCCATGCCAATATCTACTCGCCAACGCCGATAAATTACCGAGGTCCGCCCATCATCCGCATCGGGTGCGGAGCCGAGTTCTCCGTCATTCTGGACATCAAGGGAAACCTGCACACTTTCGGGCTGCCGGAATACGGCCAGCTGGGCCACAATACTGACGCCAAGTATTTTGTGAATGCCAACAAGCTCTCATTCCACTTTGAAACGTCGCCCAAGAAGGTGGTCCTTTATATAGAGAAGAGCAAGGAGGGCCACGTGACTCCTGTGGATGGTGTGCAGATCGTGGACTTTGCCTGCGGCAACAACCACACGGTAAGCGATAAATTCGTCAGCTAAGATTTTTGTGGTCACTAAAGGTCTTTATATTTTAGGTGGCCATCGACTCGAAGAAAAGGGTGTACAGCTGGGGCTTTGGCGGCTTCGGGCGCCTCGGTCATGCCGAGCCCAAGGACGAGATGGTGCCCCGTCTAATGAAGTTCTACGACACTCAGGGTCGAGGCGGCCGCAGTGTATATTGCGGCTCCACCTTCAGTTTGATTGTGAACGAACTCGGCCTGCTCTTCCTGTTTGGCCAGAACAAGAAGACGGGCGAGGCCAACATGTATCCCAAGCCAGTGCAGGATCTATCCGGATGGAATATTACCGACATTGGCTGTGCCAATACGTCGATCATGATTTCGGCCGATGATACACTCATCGCCTGGGGTGCCTCGCCCACATTCGGTGAGCTCGGCATCGGAGAGTTCCAGAAGTCGTCGACGGTGCCCAAGGAGGTGCCCAAGCTCGACAACATAAAAATACCTCAGGTTACAATGGGATACTCGCACACGGCTCTGCTTGTTGACACTAGCCACGAGGCCACCAAGCAGAAGTACGACAAGATGCCTGAGTACAGCATTGACGATTAAATTGATGGCGAAAACAGCTTTTCCTCAAGCAATCATGCTGCCAAGAACAACAATACTGCTCCACGAAAACTATAAAAAACTACCAGAAACCCAGAGAACTGATCATCGAAACGCTGCTGCTACTTATCGAAAAAATCAACCAGCAACTTGTATGCTATAAGTTAAAAGTTATTATTACTCTCGCTATCTATCTATCTATATGCGATAATCTCAGAATACGAATTAGTGATGATTTCGTTCCCAGCACCTATAAAACTTATTTATTTTCGTATCTGATAAAATTACCCAAAATGTGTCCACCCCTTCCTCTTCTTTTTTATTTATTATGCCGCCCACCTTTAGGCTTAAACTCGATCCCACACAAACCGTACCATATGCATATTTTTACCCAATTGTATTTCTTTAATAAGCTACAGTATTCTGCATTTTATTCGAAATGAGTGAACAAAGGCAACAAAAGCATAAACTACAATAAAAAAATATAAATTAAACAAACTAAGCGCATAGGTTACGTACATATAAAAAGTATACCATGGAACAAATCCAATACCAGTTGCAACTATTAAAAAGTACATCTTGCATTTTAATCATATACAAACAAATATTTAAATAAAGAGAATGTTAGTATTTAGAATGATTATGTGTATCCATATCTGAAGGTTCTGCAAAGTAGACGTCGTTAAGTTGGTTTGCATACACAAAGGTTGTCCAAAGACTCAATTGCATCCCGGAGAAGCGCCCTCTCGAAGTGTCCATAGATACCATTGACTGTAACAAGAGAAGACACACTCAAGATCTCAGCAAAAAACTAATTCGTGCCAGGACACCAATTTTATAGCTTCAAATTTTCACTAATCAGATTTCGTTTATTTAAACAAATCAGGTGGATTAAAACATAGTAAGTTCAAAACGCGAATTGGTTTAGCACAATAGCGAGTAATACAAATGATTGGCTTGTCGATAAAGCAGCCCTCTCCGCTTTGTTATCACAGCTGGATAAGGGGCTGATTGTGGCGCTTGCGATAAGCCTTTACTTCTGGCATCAGTTCCTGCCGAAAACGCTCATGGGTCCGGATGAAGTCTTCCTTGGCGCTGTTTGTGTGGCCCGTGTTGACCTTATTGTTGTTGGGGCCGCGCGGTAATACTGTAGATACGCCGCCAACTATTTCTGGACCTCGCGCATCTGGGTAGAAAACGCTGGTAGCTGTATGAGTGGGAGGCGGGAGGCGACGGACTGTCTTGGGGGTGCCATGCGGACTTCTGTTGGTGGCATCTAAAATCCGTAATTACTCGTAACCATGTTATAGGAAGATGCATCACACATACATACCTTGTTTCATCATTAACTGCTCTTGCTGGAGACGCGCGTTGCTGGAGCCAAAGTAACCATTTATAAAGGGCATGGGTGACATAACTACACCGCCCTTTAAGGAACTGTCGGGCGGCGGAGGAGCCGGGCGGTTAAAAGGATTAGTACGCCTGGGCGGCGGTCTTGGCCTAGTTTCCCTTGCAGAACTTTGAGACCCGTCTATGGCACTCCCAAGCACTTCTGTGGAGCAAGGATAAAATAAAATATTGGGGTATTCACAAACGAGCTGTGCTGTCTTACTGTTCCTGGAATCGTCCAGTTCCTGCAGCTGCCTCTGTAGTTCGGCCAAAATGATACGCTTGTACTCATAGCCTGCGCAGGTGAGAGCCTTCATCCACGTCTCCATGCTCTCCTGGTTGTCAGCGGAGAGTATGTAGGTGCGATTGCCGTTAAATGCTATTTCGAAGCAGTAGTTGTCCACCTCATTCGACAGCTCAATGGTACAGCCCTCGACAATGATCAGTCCCAGGGGCTCTTTGTCGGTACGCGACTCGAAATAAAAGAGCAGGTTACCCTTCAGCACAAAGTAGCGTCTCTGGAAGGCCTTATTGACCTCGCCCCGCTTGTTGAGGAAGCCTGCAAACCGAAATGGATGATTAATACCAAAGTTAAACATTTAATACCTGATTATTCCTTGCCTTCCATGTCAAAGGGCGGTGCCTTCGCGAAGACGCACAGGTTCTTTTCGTTGATTTTCATGCTAGGCTCAAGGGCTCTGCATTCGAAGGACAATTAATAACGACAAATTTATTAAATTATTAAATTTGTTATTGGACGGCCAGGCAAGCTGACGACGCTAGGCAATCAGCTGTTGCTACCAGTGCCAGTGCTGCCACACTTTTTCGCACGCTCGATTTCGATTATCGGTAACTGCACTTCGTTTTGTTCTGGCTGTGCATCAAACGAAAATAAACCCGCACAAAAATGTCTTACCTGCTCACGGAAATAGCTCTGGAAATGCTGGGGTACAAGTTCTACGATACCAATGGAGTCTTCCACTTGACGAACTTCCAAAACAACTCGACGCAGCTGGAGTCGCACCCAGACGAGCCTTCTTTGACAGAGTTCATCGAGCAAGCTGAATCTCTGGACGAGGACTTGGATGGGGGTGCCGCTGCCAGTAAGGAGGTGAATCTGCCTACGGAACTCAGCCGCTCCACCGCCAGCAACCCGCCGAATGTCGCCGACGTTACACATTGTCGACGTGCGCCGGCCAAGGCGCTGGCAAAAATCATGGACTACGAAAGTGACAAGATCGCCGCCCAGATCACCAATCGTTTGGAGAAGGAGATCTCTCGACTAGGAGCCTATGACAACGAGATAATGCTCGAGCAATGCATCCATGAGGAGAAGCGGCTAATATGCGAAGACGCCGACGCGATGCAGAAGTTCCGGGAGTTTCTGCAGATTCACCTGCAACAAATAGACAATCGGCCGTTTGAAAAGTACGAGCGCACCTTTGGAACAGACTAGAGGTCGTGGTCATTTGTTGTACGAAGTCCAAACAAAATCAACTGCATACATAGCTATAATATTAAATGTAAATAAATTCTAAATATTAACGAAGTTATACGAAATATGGTGACACTGCTACACTTTTACAATCGGTGTCAGTGTGACCCCATTCTCGTTGGTCGAAATCATTCCCATCACTACCAGCGCACAACACGAGTAAAGGTCAGCTCTCGGAAACTTGTCTCCGAAATATTTAATAATTCCGACATTTTAATCAAAATTGAACCAGTGAACCGTACATTACTAAATCTTTTTGTTTCGCTTTCCCAACCCTCTGCCCCGCAGGCCACAGCCTAGCTCGCTTGCGACTTTGATCCCCCCTCCCGAACGAACGGTGACGACAAACGGCGCTTGCATAATGAAAATCTGGACGTCAGAGCACACATTCAACCATCCTTGGGAGACTGTGACACAGGCGGCGTGGAGAAAGTACCCCAACCCGATGACTCCCTCCATCATTGGCACGGACGTTGTCGAGCGCCAGGTGGTCAACGGAGTGCTGCACACACACCGACTGGTGCAGTCCAAATGGTACTTTCCTAAGTGGACGCACGCGCTGATTGGCACGGCCAAGACGTGTTTCGCCAGCGAGCGCTCTACAGTGGATCCGCAGCGCAAGCAGATGGTGCTGAAGACAAACAACCTTACATTCTGCCGCAACATCAGCGTCGACGAAGTGCTCTACTATGAGCCACATCCAGCAGACGGGAGCAAAACGCTACTAAAGCAGGAGGCCACGGTGACCGTGTACGGCGTTCCGCTGTCCCACTACATGGAGGACCTACTGACATCGACCATCAGCTCTAACGCGGGCAAAGGTCGACAGGGCCTTGAGTGGGTGATAGGTCTGATCAACACAGAAGTGAAGGGAATCGCCCGGGGAACGGACGAACTGATACACAGCACGCGTCGCTCCATCGACGAAGTAACGGAGAGTGCTCGCAAGAGCATGGACGAGATTAGTGTACAGGCCGCCAAGGCGGCGAAGGCGATGCACATAACATAATTACGGATGTAAATCGACGGGGCAGGTGCGCGCTGGGGCTGTTTGAGTAGTGAATTATTTAACATGGCGGCGCACGGATCGCTGTTTTAGTACAAGTAACCAATGATGGCAATATCGACAACTAGCAAGGCCTGGAGCAGTAATAACTTATTTTCTCAAATCCATGCGTACATATATTTTATAATAGCTCCTTTCCAAATATTCCGCCTCCCAGTCATGGCTGGTGGCTGGGGTTTCACAAACGTTGACCAATAGGGATCTGATATTTATCCCTTTCTGGCAGAATTTGCGGAGCTCCGGCAGATCAATAAACTTATGCCGATTCATAGAATAGTCAATATAAGAATTGTAAAAATCGAAAAAGAACATGAAAAACAATTAAATGATATGTTTTCGCCCGCAAATCGATTCAAGACCATTTGGTTATCTTTATCTTAGTCAAATCGAAGATATGGCGTCTTTGGCATCCCGAACGGCCGCTAAATCGAGAAAAATTGCAGTAAGTATTACATTATTTAATTCCGAAAAAAAGCTTTTAGCGTCTGTTTTAATTGGAATGCACAGGCCGACGCCTCCGACCATCAGTCGCTGTCCGTGACGTCGTAGTATAGTCATTGATTTGTTGCTGTTGCCATACGCTTATATATGTATTTATTATCGGCTTCCGCGACTCTCACAAAAGCACACGTGCTGATAAACCGGCTGTCTGCTGACCAAAATATTCCCAAAGAGTGGAAAGCTTTTTGGTAAGTGCTTGGAGTGTTTGACCAGCTGTGCCAAAAATTCTACTCATTTTTATTTATTTATATTATTCCTATTTTAAAAGCTATAGCATAAATAAATAAGAAAATTTTGTTTTTAATTTTAAAATTCGTCATTTAAATTTGGTAAATGTTAATGCCTTTAAAAGCTTTAAAACTAACATTTCAATTTTCTTTTCATTAATTTTTGATAATTAATTAATTAATTTAATACATGTGTTTATATGCTATATTTTGTTTAAAATTAATGGATTTATTATTGAACGGTGATTTAAAATCATTGCCTACTTATGGCCACATGTCTTACTTTTTATAAGAATAATTGTGAATTTTTGAAAATGGCTAATTTATTGTTCGATAGTGCCTCCCAAAACTTTATGAATTTAAATTTTAAAATCAATCAATAAAAGCACTTGTACAAATTGAAACACCCTCTTTGACAGACTATTAGCGGTGTCACAAATTCAGTTTACATTTTAGTTTTTATTTAAAATGTTTATATGCCATTCTTTAATTTCTTACTAATTTTATTTTATTTTATTTCTTCTCCAGCCCTCTTATGACCAGCTAGGTGTTAAGAGATTGGCTCACGACATTGCACAGCACTGGCGAAGTCCAACCGATGCCGCTGAATCCAAAGCTTGTGATTCTCAGCTTCAACGCACGTGCGCGCCGCTGTTTGTTATTGTGCTTCAATTCGGGTTAGTTAGTGCCAATTGTGGCTTCTCTAGCCTATTATGCCCCTAGCTTCCCATTCATTACCTCTCCTCGCGATCTGCTGTTTGTGACGGAAAATATGTTTACGTCGCCGGCTTATCAGCGACTCGGATTCAGGGGCTGGCAATAAAAAAAACAAAAACAAGTTGTGACGGCGGTGCAACGACTGCCTGCATCCCATCTCTTTCCATCGGATCGGATTGGCTGTAACCTGAACCGCGACTGTGGTTGATAACCCCCAACGTGGGCTTCGGCCCACTGGTTGTCAACGGCTGTGTATTTGGACAGCCCAAGATCATTCTTGATTCATCAAGCAAGGCGCACGCACGGATTATTCTCAAGCTAAATTTAATTTCTTGCAGCCCAACGACGACATGGTCATCCTACGCTACTACGATGTGCAGGCCTTTGACGCGGCCGAGGAACAGAGTGTATGGCGCCGCCTCAAAGCAGAGGATGGCGGCTTGGAATCCGTACGCATGGAGCGTTGCTTTCATTTGGAGTACAGCGGAGCCAAAGTTGAGCACTCCCTGGCACTGGAGGAGCTGCTCATCTGGCTGGTTAAGCAACCGATGAACAGTGGCCAGAGCCTGACTAGGCGGCCCGTTCTCCAGCCGGAGGGTGAGCGACAGTTGCTTCTGGAGATCGGACCGCGCTTCAACTTTTCCACTCCGTTCTCCACGAACTGTGTGAATATCTTCCATAATCTCGGCTACACGGAGGTTCTTCGCATGGAGGCGTCAACGCGCTACCTTCTGACCTTTAACGATGATTCGACAGTAGTTCGTGAGGCGTCAAGATTCGTTCCCTTGCTGGGAGATCGCATGACGCAATGCCTGTACACGGCGAAGAACACGCCCAAGGAAAGCTTTAATGAGCAGCTGCCGGCGCAATTGACTGACTGGCACTTTGTGCCCGTCTTGGAAGAAGGACGGGCCGCGCTGGTGCGGATAAACCAGGAGCTAGGCCTAGCTTTCACAGACTACGATCTGGACTTTTACCATGACCTGTTCGCCAACAAGCTTGGTCGCAATCCGACTACTGTGGAACTTTTTGACTGCGCTCAGAGTAACAGCGAGCACTCTCGACACTGGTTCTTCCGGGGACGCATGGTCATAGATGGTGAGGAGCAGCCCAAGTCCCTAATTCGCATGATCATGGATACGCAGGCGCACACGAACCCCAACAATACAATCAAGTTCAGTGACAACAGTAGTGCCATGATAGGATTCAAGCACGAAACCATAGTTCCGACCTCCGTAGTGGCTCCGGGACCAGTGCGACGTGTCAATGTGGAGTCTGACCTGATCTTTACAGCAGAAACCCACAACATGCCCACGGCAGTGGCACCATTTAGCGGTGCCACTACGGGCACGGGTGGGCGTCTTCGCGATGTCCAGGGTGTCGGCAGAGGAGGTGTCCCAATTGCTGGAACCGCCGGCTACTGTGTGGGAGCTCTTCACATTCCAGGTGAGTAAGCCCTTAATTTCAGGAGAGGATAATTTTTTGAGAGGATATTTATTCCATAAAGAGATAGGCAAACCGAGCTTTTAAGGTTTGGGTAGTGTATTCAAAATTTGTAGAACGTAGAAAAATTTAGTCTAAATAAAAAAATCTAAAATAAAATCGATAAGGAACTCGTATGGATATAAACATATAATGAAATTAATAATTACATTATCTAATTCACTACAGGTTACGAGCAGCCCTACGAACCATCGGGATACAAGTATCCAACGACGTTTGCGCCTCCCCTCCAGATACTTATCGAGGCCAGCAACGGTGCCTCGGACTACGGCAACAAGTTCGGAGAACCTGTAATCTGCGGCTTTGCATTATCCTATGGCCTCAACAGCATGGCCGATGCCAGTCAGCGGGATGAGTACGTAAAACCGATCATGTTCAGCGGTGGACTGGGCACTATGCCCGCCGCTATGCGGGAAAAACTCTACCCAGTTCGCGGTCAGCTACTGGCCAAGATCGGAGGTCCTGTCTACAGGATCGGCGTGGGAGGTGGCGCCGCCAGTTCGGTAGAGGTGCAGGGATCTGGAGACGCTGAGCTAGACTTCAATGCTGTGCAGCGAGGTGATGCTGAGATGGAAAACAAGGTGAACCGTGTGGTACGCTCCTGTCTGGAAATGGGCGACCAGAATCCTATTTTGGCCATACACGACCAGGGAGCTGGCGGCAACGGTAACGTGCTGAAGGAACTGGTGGAGCCAGGCTTTGCAGGAGCTGTTATCTTTTCCAAGGAGTTCCAATTGGGTGATCCCACCATAACGGCCTTGGAGCTGTGGGGCGCCGAGTACCAAGAAAACAACGCCATTCTCTGCAAGGCTGAAGATCGGGATTTGCTGGAGAAGATCTGTCAGCGCGAACGATGCCCCATCAGCTTTGTGGGCGTGGTGACGGGTAACGGACGTGTTACACTGCTGGAGCAAGCTGCACCCAAGGATGTGGAGAAGGCTTTGTCCAGCGCTACGAGCAGTACAAAGCCAGCTCCGTTCGATTTAGAGCTAAAGTACGTATTGGGTGATATGCCAAAACGGGTGTATGAGCTGAGCCGCGAGGCTACATCCTTAAAGACTTTAGTTCTGCCGAGCAATTTGAGCTTGGATGATGCCGTAAAGAGAGTCCTTAGCCTGGTTGCTGTTGGCAGCAAGCGTTTCCTCACCAACAAGGTAGATCGCTGCGTCGGCGGACTGATCGCACAGCAGCAGTGTGTGGGTCCCCTCCAGGCCCCATTGGCCGACTTTGCCCTGACCACTGTATCGCACTTTAGCACAGCCGGTATAGCCTCTTCCATTGGCACCCAACCGCTGAAGGGTCTTCTTGATCCCGCTGCCATGGCCAGGATGTGTGTGGCTGAAGCCCTCAGTAACCTCGTTTTTGTGAAAATCAGCGAACTGGCGGATGTCAAGTGCTCGGGCAACTGGATGTGGGCTGCAAAGCTGCCCGGTGAGGGAGCCAAGATGTTCGATGCTTGCAAGGAACTCTGCCAGATCCTCGAGGAGCTGCACATTGCCATAGATGGTGGCAAGGACTCCCTCTCCATGGCTGCCAAGGTGGGTGGCGAGACAATCAAGTCCCCAGGCACCCTGGTCATTTCCACGTATGCTCCCTGTCCGGATGTGAGGCTAAAAGTTACTCCAGATCTAAAGGGTCCCGGTTCGGGTTCCGAGACCGCTCTGCTCTGGATAAACCTAGAGGAGAAACTTCGACTTGGCGGCTCTGCTTTAGCACAGGCCTATGCCCAGCAGGGCAACGAGTGTCCCAATCTAGCCAAGAGCGATATTTTGGCGAAGGCATTTGTCACTACCCAAAAGCTGCTGGAAAAGGGTCTCCTGCTGGCCGGACACGATATCAGCGATGGAGGACTGGTCGTATGCCTCATAGAGATGGCCATTGGTGGACTGAGTGGCCTCGACGTGGATCTCTCTGAGCCCTTGGCCAAGCTTAGGAACTACGATGGAGCTGCCATTAAACTTAATCGCCCTGAGCTGGCCCTTCTTTTCGCTGAGGAGTGTGGCTGGGTGGTAGAGGTGAACAGAAAAGATCTGGACCGTGTTCGCTCAGTCTACAAAGACGCTGGAGTACCCAACCACTATCTGGGTGTAACAAACGGATTCGGTCTTAACGACTCCCGAGTTGTAATTAAAAAGGGTTCATCTACGCTGCTGGATCAGCCCCTTCGCTTGCTCTACCAGCAGTGGGAGCGCACCAGCTACGAGCTAGAGAAACTGCAGGCCAATCCCGATTGCGCCCAGGCGGAGTACGACAGTCTGGAATTCCGAAAGGCTCCCCAATACAAGGGTCCTTCCAACCTGCAGGCCGAGCTCATCCTCAAGCGCTCCGCCACTACGATTCGTGTGGCAGTTCTGCGGGAGGAGGGCGTTAATAGTGAGCGCGAGATGATGTCCTGCCTTCTTCGAGCGAACTTCGAAGTGCACGATGTAACCATGTCAGATCTTCTGCAAGGTGAGTTGAATATAAGCCAGAGATTGAAATTCTATTACATTATTGAAATTAACTGATGAAAACTTTTGCGGCAGGTACCACCACTCTGTCACAGTACCGAGGTGTCATCTTTCCGGGTGGATTCAGCTACGCCGACACCTTGGGATCGGCCAAGGGATGGGCAGCCAACATTCTTCACAGTTCCCGCCTAAAGCCGCAGTTCGAGGCCTTCAAACGCCGCCAGGATGTCTTCTCGCTGGGCATATGCAATGGCTGTCAACTAATGTCGCTTATTGGTTTCGTAGGAGCTCCGAACAGCACAGTCGGCTCAGATCCCGATGTGGCCCTACTCCACAACCGTTCGCAGCGATTTGAATGCCGCTGGTCCACTGTGAAGATTCCAGCCAATCGATCCATCATGCTGCAAAATATGAAGGATATGATTCTCGGGTGCTGGGTCGCCCACGGTGAAGGTCGATTTGCTTTCAGGGATGAAAAGCTCATAACCCAACTGCAGACGGAGGAGCTGGTGACTCTCCAGTATGTCGATGATAACGGGCAGCCCACGGAACGCTATCCCCTAAATCCCAATGGAAGTCCTTTGGGAATTGCGGGTCTCTGTTCAAGGGACGGTCGTCATTTGGCTTTGATGCCGCATCCGGAGCGCTGCAGCGCCATGTACCAATGGCCCTATGTGCCACATAACTTTGAAGTGTCGGTATCAGAGGCGGAGAGTCCATGGCAGCTTATGTTTAATAATGCCTACAACTGGTGTGTTCAGTTCGATCAATAAAATTTATAGGTGTTTTTGAGAATATCAGTTGACTTAGGTAATATGTAAACTTCTCTACAATTTGTATACGAAGTAAAACTTTAATAAACTTTTGATATTTTGAAATATCAACTTACTTTTGATTTAACCGAATTTTTTTTTACACTTTCCATCTCACTCAAAATATCGAAAATCCAGAAAGGAAACTAACTTCGGGAAGCCGAAGTTTATATATCTTGCCAATTTGCACTTGAATATTAGGATTGTATCACAAATCGATCATAACTAAACTTAAAATATTCGCATTCTTGGAATCGGTATTTTTTATATGAGAATTATTTCGACAAATCGAAGTTTTAAAAACTCATAACTAAGCCAAAAATGCTTTAATTTCGATTTGGAAAGCTTTCCTATTTTAGTTTTTATTAGGATTAAAATTCTGTATACTCATATCAAAATTTTAGAAAATAATTTTTTTGGCAATTTTTGACAATTTTATAAAAATTTTAAATTTTGAAAAAATTTCGAAAATGTATTTTTTGTTCGGACATGCCTAAATCAATTCGGCTGTTGATTCTAATCAAGAAAATATATGATTTATAGGGTCGAAAATGACTCCTTCACAGCGTTACAAGCTTCTGAATAAAAATTATAATGCACTGCAAGGGTATAAAAACAACGAAGGTGAAGGCGTATCACCTTTCGCTTATCTATTAACAAAATGTTAACATAACATAAAATCATATAAATTTATAATCCTACACTTTAAAGTTACATGTTAACCTAACGAATGTAACTAATCAACAACGACTATTGAGAAATCTGTAGCAAGCATTTTAGGAATTTTTCCTTGGCACCCTGTGTCGCCATGTACTTAGAGTTCCAGTCATGCTCATTTATTTGCAGCACTTTGTAGCCCATCATTTCCAAATGCTTCATTTTCATAGACTCGGGCCCTCTCAATGCAGTCAAATCGTTTTCACAGAACGAATCCAACTTTAGCAGAAGTATGGCCACCCTTAAAAAATATGGAAAGTACTTACAGAAATGAAATTATTGAAAGAAATCCATGTGCTTACTTAGTTATACGATCTAACATGGTGACCTCCGCAGGAGGTGCTGGTATTGGCTTCCTGTCCCGATCGAAGTGAATCACAAAATCTATGTGGTAGCCGTACGGTGTCGTATGATTGCAGCGAAAGTGATTATCGTTCTTTAGCAGATTCTGCAGAAGTTGTTTAACATCGGTGGTGAAGGTACTGGACCGAGCTGGCTCTGAAATATATAAAATATTAGTCACAAAAGTCAAAGTCTATTAAAAATATGTATTTTTTAAAATAGTGTTTAAAAATGTATTTAATTTAAGTGATAAATGTATTTTAAAAAGTTAAATATCGACACTGTATCGATAATTTGAACCTACTTACTTTTGCTCATCTGAGCTTCGATATAGTTCTGCTGAAACCACGGCACGTTCGCCTCGGGTAAATCCAGGCAGACTGTGCGATTCAGCTGCATTACCAGGTTGAGCACCCTTTCTGGATAGGTGGCCTTGGAGTAACAGACCTGTATTTCATCCTCAATCCGCTGAATAAACTTCACGCAGAATACGTTATTGATCAGCTTCTCCGGTATGGACTTATAGAAGCACAGTGCCAGGCAGGCTTGGACGAGTGATAATCCACTCATTTGATCAAAGTCTCTGCCAATGGGTGTAAAATAATGTATATGTGTATGTGTTTTTAATTAATTTAAAGCAAATTTTACTCACCTGAGTAATACGTTAGCTACATGATGCAAGACATGGGGAGATGCAGGTGTATAACCCAGGTTATAGGCACAGGTTAAGACCTTCTCAACGGTGTCTCCGGTGATGTGGTCATGTTGCTCGGAAATGTAGCCAAACATTGACTCCAATAACTCTGGCACAAAGAAGTGCGATGCGTTGAAATTGTACGCCATGTCTCGAACCACTCGGGAATTTAGATCCTTGCAGTGAAGAGATTTATAGAGTACCAGAGCTTGTTTGTATACCAAGGTATTCTTCAGAGCTGTTGAGAAGAAATCGGTCAAGTGTTTATTTAGTCAAAATAATTCCCAACTTACTTTTGCGATGGCTGAGGGTTCGGACAATCATGCTGAGTTCACCAGGAGTCAACGGATTGTCATCGGTGTCAGCTAGATGTCTTTCCGCACAGCCGATGAGGATGCTATCCATGGTGGACAGCTGCATGCCAGCCAGTGGGGGAAGATGCTGCCGAAATCTTAATTCGCTGGCAATTTGCATGCCGCGGCTAAGCAGAAAGCAATCCTGAATGTCCAGTTGCGGAGCCATCGATAGCATCTTGCTCAGTATTACGTTGGGAAATTTTTTCCAAGCAAATTGTGTCTGTCCGTAGGCCAATACAAACGCCGCCATGCGCGCAAATTTCGTTGGCAGTCTGCCAGCAATGTCCCCCTCTATGGCGCTCATGCACATGCGACTCAGCTTCCGCTCGACGGTAAAGTGCCGGTAGGTTCCTCCCAGGTTGTTGTTGAAGTTCATATAGCGTTGGCAGTGCCTCAAGAAGCGCAGGTGGGTTTGCTCTTCCAGGCAGGAGTCCAGCTCTCGCACGACTCCCGACCAGTAGGTGTTGCACATTCTCAGGTCGGAGATCTTCAAGGCGCGCAACACTCTAAAAAAGTGTCCGCTTGCACTTGGAAAGAGCCAGGCCTCTTCGCAGTTAATCAGATCGCGAAAAGTTTCCATGTACTCGTCCCTTTGCAGGGGAGTAGCAAAGTGGACGGCACAAGACAAAGCGTCTGCCGATCTTTCCTCCTTCAGTAACTTTTCTGTGGAGTCTTTAAGAGACTGCGTCAAAGTGGCAGGCTCTTGGTGGTGCAGAAACGCACGGCACACGCTCTTCAAATCTCCAGACTCCAAGTGGGGAATGCACGGGCCCAGGGCTAGCATGATCTCTCTTATTAACGGTGTGTGATCTTGTGACCATACCGGAATATTCAGCATGTGGAGCACCTTGAGCAACGCCTTGGGGGTTTCACAGCTGAGGTCGCCGCTGTGCAGCATCTCAGTCACTCTATGCTTAAAGTCTTGAAGCAGTTGATCATCAATGAGCATGTGAAGCTGGAAGAGGCAGGTGGATAAGAGGCGAACCTGTTCTTCGGTGCTGCATTGGTTGATGTGCCTCTCCAACTGCGGCACAAAGTTGCGGCACACAAGAGGCGCAAAGAAGTCGCGTTCCAAGTTAATACCCACCGACAGGCGTGATAAGGCGGTCAGAGGAATCACATAACTTCCATCTACTGCACTGTCTATCAGGCGAAGAACTCGCATCAAAACCGCCTCGACGGCTGGCTCGTGGTTTGCTATCCGCATTTTCCGCAGGTGGAGGTAGCAGCGACTTAGATCGTTAGTGTCCAGGTGGTCTATATGGTGGGTACTGAGTTGGGGCAGGACTTCCTTTAGCACACGCTTCGTGAGAGTATCTCTTCCTGGCTGATCTAGGCCTTGGTAGTGCTTCCAGAGGAGTGAGATGCTCTCCACCAGATGAGAGCCGTCCAGTACATCTTTTTCACTACTTTCTATCAACAACTCCAGAAGTTCGTCTCCCGATTTTGTCTCCTCTAGACGCGACAGTAGAGGGTCTTTGTCCGTGGCAGTTGTTACGATGAAGCTTTTTTGTTGGCGCCCAGTCGCCGGGACCAGGTGAAGACCATTTGCCGGTAGGAATGACGCTGCCGGCAGCAGAGGCGGCTTTGCCCCAATGTTTACTTGTCTCCTCAGCAACTGCAACTGTCGTATTTGCATGAGATATTGCAGGAACTTCCATTGTGCTCGGGGTGCGTAATTCAGATACATGTTGCACTCTTTGGTTTATTTACAAAGATGTTAAATAATAATAATAGCAAGCCGCCGTGTAAACATGTGATGAATGGCGCCATCAGCTGTTTGCCCACAAACATAGAGAGCTGCCAACTCGTGGGAAAGTAAATGTACAACTCCTGATATAAATAAATTATATCTATACAAATAAATTTAATTATTGAATTGATAAATTCATAAAGTTAATAAAACAAGATTATATTCTGAGATGTGAACGTGGGAAATTTGTTAAGATATAGCAAGTTAGCTTCACAGGTATACAGAATGCAAAAATTTTAATTGGTAGTACAAAGTAATATCGATCAACAATTAGATTAGTTTCTGATAAGAATAAACCAATGATGTCGTTTGTTAAGCATATTAGCTCGTTGAGTAAAATTAAATAAAGTGTACCTAAGATTATTTATTGTACTGTTGAAGGTACAATTGGCGCATACGAGTTGGCAGCGCCGTTGCATATATTTTTGTGAATTGCATTTACTTTGTACGAAAAACACAAGCGGAATTTACACCTACACACAACTCTTTATTTAAATCAAACAATGGAGTCCTCCGCGAGCCTGGCCGACAAGCTGGTCTCCAAAACGGCCAGCAACAATTCACTGGACAGTAGTTCCAAGTCCAGTTCGCTCGGCTCGAAGCACGGACAGAATGGGGCTCTTAGGGACACGCCCTTCGCCTATCTGGACGGCGAGGAGGACCAGGACCAAAAGAACGATGTTACCTATGTGTGTCCATATCGCGGGCCTGTCTTCGGTGCCTTAACAATCACGAACTACCGCCTGTATTTCCGTTCGCTGCCGCTGCGGGACCAGGAGCCGCCCGTGGTCGTAGATGTGCCGCTGGGCGTTATAGCCCGGGTCGAGAAGATCGGGGGTGCCACGTCGCGAGGAGAAAATTCATACGGCATCGAAATTTTTTGCAAGGACATGCGCAACCTGCGATTTGCCCACAAACAGCAGAATCACTCTCGCCGGACGGTGTTCGAGAAATTGCAGACAAACGCGTTTCCTCTGTCATACAGCGGTCGCCTCTTCGCCTTTGCTCATGCGGCGGCGGCCAGTGCGGTGAATGGCGGCAGCAGTGGCTGGGATGGTTGGGCCGTCTACGAGCCGCTGGCAGAACTACGACGCCTTGGAGTTCCGAACGACATGTGGCGGGCCACCAAGTTGAACGAGTCCTACAGCATTTGCGACAGTTATCCGGCCGTTTGGGCTGTGCCCAAGGCCGCATCCGATGACTTTCTGCGTCGCGTAGCGCAGTTCCGGTCTCGTTGTCGTCTACCGGTCCTGTCCTGGATGAATCCCCGAACGCAAGCTACTATAACGCGCTGCTCCCAGCCCTTGGTGGGAGTGAGCGGCAAGCGCAACGCCGATGATGAGACCTATCTCAGCTATATCATGGAGGCGAACGCCCAATCGGATAAACTGACTATCATGGATGCGCGTCCCAGCGCCAATGCCATTGCAAATAAGGCGAAGGGCGGCGGCTATGAGTCGGAGGACGCTTACAAGAACGTTGAAATTAATTTTCTAGACATCCACAACATTCACGTCATGCGAGAGAGCCTGCGCAAGGTTAAGGAGGCCTGCTTTCCCACAACCGACGACTCCAAGTGGCAGACGGCCATCGATAATACACTTTGGCTGAAGCACATCAGGTGCATCTTGGCTGGCGCCGTTAGGATCGTAGACAAGGTGGAGACTATGAGTACGTCCGTTGTAGTCCACTGCTCGGATGGCTGGGATCGTACCGCCCAGCTGACGGCCCTGTCCATGTTGCTACTGGATCCTCACTACCGCACAGTCCGTGGATTTGAGGTGCTTATTGAGAAGGAGTGGCTCTCTTTCGGGCACAAGTTCCAGCAACGCGTCGGTCACGGCGACAATAAGCACTCGGATGCCGACCGATCGCCGGTGTTTCTGCAATTTATCGACAGCGTCTGGCAGGTCAGTCAGCAGTTCAACAACGCCTTTGAGTTCAATGAGCATTTCCTCATAACCATTGTGGATCACCTGTACTCCTGCCGATTTGGAACATTCCTTTGCAACACGGAGGCCGAGCGAGTCACCGAAGGTACGTTCTACAAACTACGTTATGATGCATTTCTGAAATTGTCCTTGCAGATCTGAAGCACAAGACCACATCGTTGTGGACACACATCAACTCTTCGCTGGATCAGTATTTGAATCCTCTATTTCCCTCGTTCACGCAGGGGGCGGAGCTGGTGCTGCGCCCCATCGCCAGTGTGCGAGCCCTGCGCCTGTGGAAGGGCCTTTACTGTCGCTGGAATCCGGGTCTGTGCGCTCCACAGCATGGCTGTCAGCGCACCCGGGAGCTGCTTTCCAAGCAGGACCAGCTCTTCAAGCACGTCAATGAGCTGAGGCTGAAATCAAACAATCGGAGCAACAGCATGCAGACGACAACAAGATTGGCATCGCCAATGCACTAATAGTATTCCCTCTACCTTCCTTTATGTAAACGCAAAAATATACATATATGAAATTAACATTTATATTTCAGCTAATGCAATTATTTAAACTAAGTTCTTTATTACATAAATATATATTTAGGTTCGTTTCTGCAATAAACTACACTTGTATGTTTTTTAAGCATGCCTTTCGGTTAACATGTTTATGTTCTTTATATTTATCTTAAGCCCATCTGTGGCATTTATATATGCAAGGTATTATAATTTAAGTCAGAAGCTTGTAACTCTGAGGAGTGTCATTTCCGACCCTATAAATCATATATATTCTTGATCAGCATTAACAGCCGAGTCGATCTAGGCATGTCCGAACAAAAAATACATTTTTGAAATTTTTTCAACATTTTTATAAGGGGTTACTTTATAAAAATGTTAAAAAATTAAAAAAAAATATAATTTTTATAAATTATAAATTTAATATGTAGGTTTATTAACCCAATAAAGACTAACATTAGAAAGCTTTCCGAATTAAAATTAATGAATTTTTTGCTTAGTTATGAGATTTTTAAACTTTGATTTGTTGAAAAACTGGCATATAAAAATATTGATAAATCGATCTATTCAAAGAATACGAATATTTAAAGTTTAGTTATGATTAATTTCCGATCCTATAATTAAACTATAAGCACTAGCTTAACATTGAATTTTGAAACTTTCCAACACTATTTGCGCGGCTAATTCAAATTTAACATCCAATTGTTAGGTTAATAGTCACACTTATAAGGACATAGGTTAAATCATTCTTTCTGTTTTGTTTTAATGTAAACAAATAATAAATATAAGCATACAACTTCTTATTCTTCCTTCTCTCTCGAATTTTTACTTGTTATTTTAAGTAGAAAAATTGTCTTGCATAAAATGCCACCTATTTTCACAGGTTGACACCTGTTGCATGTGTCCGGCAGCAGGTTCATTCATAACTTCTGTCCCAAAACTGACGCCTGCGCCTTGGTCTCCCAATGTGGGGCTCCACACCGTCACCCACTTAGGGCCCCCATTTCAGGTTTGCGCCAAAAATTAAATCACTGCATCAGTACGTTTTCGCACTCTGATTAGAGCAGTCGTGTTCGGATAGTCGATGTAAATTATAGTAAATGATTAAATTTATTCGAAATTCGGCATATATTAAAGGATTTAATCTCATTAAAACTATATTATCAAAATGTATGTTGGTCCGTATCGAAGCATTCTGTGGCTTGTTTGTTTCCTAATCTTATGCCGTGCCAAAACGGATCCGGAGGTGCTTCTCGTAATCTCATGTCCGCCGTATCCGCGGCACATTCAGGACGAGTGCTTCACTTTGGCCGGCAGGATTAGGGAACAGCATCGACAACTTAATCTGACAGAACACGCTGTCCTTGGTGACTATGTCGTCAAGGTCCACGTAATGCATGAGCTTTTCAATTACTGGACCCTGCTGGACGCACTGCCTCATTTGCGAAGCCAAAGCCGGCTGCTGACTACACGCACTGATTGGGTTATTTGGTGTCAGCACAACACTCATCTGGCCTCGTTGCGCGATCTTCTCCAGCATCTGCGTGGACAGAACCATGATGAGGTGAGTTGAGCTAATCACCTGAAGTGAGGAAGACCTGTGCTCTGAAATAACGAGTTTCTTCAGCTTGCCTTTTATGGCCACGCCCTGTACGATACGGAGGCCACAATTATACACCACTTTTGGAACTACAAGGATCCGCGATGGTTTCCGTATCCCATGCTCAGCGCCGGACTTGTTTTCACAGGCTCTTTATTCAAAAGGTAATAAAGCTTCGTTTACCAGCAATTTTATACAGTATTAAATGAAAACTAAACTGCTTGAAAATATAAGATTTCCCGGAAATAATATATCTATAGCAAACATCTCTTGGTTTTCTTTAAAACAGTTTTCAACCTTTGAAACTTCCTATTAAATTTGCCCTCTTTTTAATTCGTAAATAGTCATTCTTTTGTCTTGAAATCGATAATAGAGTGTCAAGTGTAGCTTTCATAACTGATAATGGATCGTTCCTTTCCAGGCTAACAGAACTTGTTGTTCTTAATGCCCAAAACAACAAACGTCCCAGCGAGTTTTCCATCGACGCCTCTCATGAGCTGGCGCGCTTTATTTTCGACAATTTACGTCCCGACGACAACGACCCGGAGCATTGCGAAACATCGTTGTCGAGAAAAATCATTCTGAAAAATGCCCCCTACATTTGCCCCATGGCCATACCTGCACAATCCCCAAAGAGTCTGACAGGAGGAGCCCCGTCTTGTGCACTGTATGCAAAGCCAAAGGAGCCATATGCCTCGATGCCAGCATCAACGACTTTAGGGGACCGGAAGGAGCACTGTGTAAGTTTATTTTTGCCTCTCTTGTAGTGGAATCATTTTGGATACCATATATTACCTTAACGTGTTATTGATTAAGATGAAAATTTCCATAAGGTTTCTGTTAAAAATGCCGGTGCCCAATGTGTTGTATAACAAGACTTTAACATCATAATTATATTTTAGTGAAGGAAAAATAATATATCAGAATATGACCTAAGTATTTTTATATTCTTCATATATTAATTCAATATTATTATCCAAGTTTAAGTTTTTCAAAACAGTTTTTAACAAGGGGGGATTCAAAGCTCCTTTAATTTAAAGACAGTCTAAGCTAGCGAGTTCCATAACCATTTGGGATATCAATACCAAAGGAGAGCATCCTGAGCAATTAATAAACGAAACCTCAACACCCATAAATCCCCAACGACTCCGACTTGATATCTCTCTCCGTCTCCTTATCTGTTCCTGCCTAAGTACATATGTATGTATTTCCTGCTCCACACAGGTGCACACAACGGGATCTAACTTATATTTCGCAATCAAAACCTGTGCAAAATTCCATAAGGAACGCATTCCAATCATTGAGCGCACCTGGGCAGCAGACACCCGCTATCGGAGATACTACAGCGATGTGGCAGGTGAGCACCTCGACGACAATGAGCGAGCAATTAAACCAAATGAAGGAGGTTCGGGTTGAGGTTCAGGGGATGCATGTGGATCGGGGGTAAAATAAACCTTTATATACATATGTACATATATGTTCACATGTGTCTGTGTGTGCTCAGCGAATTAACAAAACACGATGAGGCTGAAACTGAGGCTGATAGCCAAACCACAGAAACTCACACCCATGCCAAGGATTCCTGCCTGCGTGTCCTTGCTCCTCCGCCTCATAATCACTCCCGAGCTCCCAAGCTGTGCCCTTCGACGAGTAGTTGAATATTCATTGATTTGACTTTGCGATTTCCCCCGTTCTTTATTCCCCGAAAACCACAACAGACGATGGCATACCGACAATCAGCACGGGGATACCGAACGTCCAGACTGGACATTGTGCCAAAACAATGGCTATTTTACAATTATCCCTCAAGGATATCGGTGAACAATCGGACATACGCTGGCTGATGCTGGTCGACGATGATACCTTACTGAGGTGAGTAATGGCTACAGGGTTTGGATACTGATGACTTGCCAAGGAAATACACTTAGAATAGGATAACCCATCAAGTAGATCCTTAAAGCGCAACGTATCGAAGGACTTTTTTATATCGATTATACTGATGATGATGCTCAAGAGTATATAGATAAAATGTGTTATACCCCGAAGCAGTACAAAGTACGACTCAATAAGTATCTTTTCCTATGAGCCATGATTTAATTTTTCCCAAATCGAAATAGTAAATTTAAAGTCCCGTCTTGAGCAGCACCCCATGGTTTAATTCATTTATTTTTCGGATTAAACGGATGACGGCACATTCAATTAAAAAATATTTATATATAGTATTTCGATAGGTTAACTCACTGACCATTTCCGTTTCCAATCCATTTACCAGTGTGCCCCGCGTCAGCGCCCTACTGAGCTGCCACAATCATTCGGAGCTCGTCTATTTGGGCCAGCGCTATGGCTATCGTTTGTATGCGCCAGATGGCTTTAACTACCACACAGGAGGAGCTGGCATCCTGCTCAGCCTGCCATTGGTGCGGCTCATAGTGGACCGCTGCAGTTGTCCCAGCCCCAGTGCCCCCGACGACATGATCTTGGGTTACTGCCTGCAGGTGCTAGGCGTTCCTGCTGTGCCGGCTGCGGGTATGCATCAGGCGCGGCCACAGGACTATGCCAGGGAGCTGCTACAGTTGGATCCGCCCGTTTCGTTTCACAAGTTCTGGGGCACGGAGCCGGATCACACCTATAGCCGCTGGCTGGGTGGCAAATTGGGCAACCGAAGTGCTCCGCTTACGGCTGACAAGGAACGGAGTGCTAGTGCTTCACTGCACCTGCTCGGAAGGCTGCCTGTACCCGGTGGAGGGGTACTTCCCCTGCAGGCGGTGCTGGAATCGCCGGGAAAGCATTTGGATCTTTAGTTGCCAGTCCAGGTAAGTGCTAATTAAAAACTCTTTAAGTAAATGACTCTGCAAGTGACAGTTAGATAAAAAAGTTTGCGGGGAACCCCAAAAACCAATCAACAGGCAGGCGGGAATGCCAAGCACACGAATTTTCATTCACTCTTCAGACAAAAAATAAAAACAAAAAAAAAACAAAAACTTTGACAGGTGTCGCGTTAGGATAGCGTAGTTCTGTCTGTTCTGTTGCGGGTTTCGTGCCAGTTTAATTAGAGAAAATGCTCAAATGCGGTCGAGATTTTCCTTGATGGGTTTTGGTTAGGTTTAGGAGCTCCCACCGCCAGTCGTCCTGGCTTGTCCTGATTACAGAGTCTAAGCTTGGCTCACGAGCTATCACTTGAAAGAGGGCTTAGTCAGTGCCATTTATGTCGGAATAAATGGCTTGCATTTAAAAATGATTTAAGGATCTTATTATTTGTTTATTTTATAGAGCTCTAGTCGGTTTTTAAAAAATATTTAAATAATGTGATATATTTTATGTGCAAAATAAGTTAAATCACGTTTGTTATCTTGCCGAAAGCTGGGTGCCATTCATCGCAATGCATACCATTTGCATTCGGTTTCAATTTGCGACCATCCCTATCCGCAATCTGAAGTAGCTCCTCCAATGCAGATTGTGTTCGCACCTTGGTCGAACTTAAACCTCATTAAATGTAAATTTTAAGCGAGCCCGGGTAGGGAAATGCTCGGCATTCGGGGGCATCGAAAGTTTGCGCTTGAGTGAATTTTTCGAATGGTTAGCTTAGCCCTTGGGGCGGGCGAGGATTCCGCCTCGTTTGGCCTGCGTCCACGTCCCGCCGCCTGTGCGGTCTCGAGTATCTTTGAGATAAACAAACAAAGAGCTCCGTCCACCGATGGCAACGCCGAGCAAAGCTAACTAAGGTGAACACATAGCACCCGCCATGTTCATGAAACATTTATAAGTATCTTGGCCCCCGTCGCCTCGTGGCTGTTCAGTAATGCACAATCTGCATCTATTATTCAAATGCCAATCAATAGTTTTCGCAGATTTCGTATCTATGTGACACTCGCACACAGTCTCCCCGTAAAATAGGTGAAAACCATTTGTCAGTTCGTTTGCCAAGCCTCTAAATTGCGGTCAGTAGTCGCTGAATTATTAAGTGACAGAGTGAAAGTAATTGTCAGTTGCAGATTAACCGAGAAACTGAGAAAAATATCTTACAAAGAATCCTCTTTAAATTATTAAATATAACATACATTTATATAAAGGAATATTCGTACTGCATCGAGATTGTTAAGCTCTTACCAATCCCTTCTTAATGCCTGTCCCCCTTTAAAGCTACTCATCCTGCCCTGGGTGCAGGGCAGCGACATCCACATGCAGATTGCTCCTCGTTGCCGCTTGAACCGTGCGTCCTAATTAGTTGCGGATTTTTCACTGAATGCGAAGCGAAACCTCAAACTCAAGCCGGAATCTGCAGCAGCCCACAGCGTGGCGATGCTGCGACAAGTTGCATTTAAAACCAAATTTAATTAACACCTTGCAGTTGAATAAATGCCGCATATGCATTCCGTGTCTGTTCCGGGTTAACGAAACCACCCAGTACTCTATCCTCTGTGGTATCTTGGCCAGTATTCCCTCACTTGTGGTCCATGAAGAAGCGATCCTGGTACACAAATAATAGGGATTCTAGAAGGGAGTGCCAAAGTTTATTCCTCTTAAATCTTGATTTTTGTAACGAGTAATGAAGTTATTTATTTTAAATAGCTTCGATTTAATACTTTTATTTTTATGTATAACTAGCTGTACCCTGCCACGTTTCTCTGTGGCATATTATGGTTAAGAGGGCACTTCTAAATACATCAAGGTTCTGGCAAAATCATCTTTCTGGCATAAGGTGAAGAAGGCAGTCAGAGTTGTCGCTGGCGGATTCAGGACTCTTTCTTGCACATTTCTTTCTGTGAAATAGACACGTTGACCATTCTCCAAATGGACTGCCAAGTGAACTAAAGCTGGATAGCGTTCATGAATGGGGAACGAACAAATTCTCCATGCAACCTCGTTGCTGCTTATGTATCTTCCAGCCTGGTATTGAGATATTTCATCGACAACTCGTACTGCATTGCTGTCCCCATTTTCTGCTTGAACACCAAAAACTGTCATATCGCTGCCTTTATTCACGTACTTGCAGATATATTTAATCGATTTCACGGAATTGCAATATTCTACGTTGATGTGCGCTTTGTATGATTTTGACAATAGTGGTGAGTATGGAACCACGCAACGATTGTCTACCTCAATTTCACCAATTCTCATGTTTAAAGTTGCCGAAGTCCCTTCATCTTCAGTTGACCGTCTCCTATACAGAGGATATCCATCGTCCCCTGTTACGGTGTTGGCTGTAAATGCTCGAGGATATCGCTTGGAACACTTCCCGTCTACCATGCATGGTGAACTTCGGTTGAGGGTACCACATGGGCCATGGATCATGTTCTTGATGACAACTGCATGCAAATCCGTATGAACCTCGGCCCGTGAAATCTCAGCGCATATCACATTGTCAATTTCGTCTGGAGTAATTTTATCATACAGCCAAATCAGTATGTGCGAATGCGGCAATCCTCTCTTCTGCCATTCTACTGAATACATCCAGCACCGCTCAGATCCCAAAACTCCATGTTTCACAATGAAATCCATCAGTGACTTGAGCTTTTGTCTAAAAACACGGGCTGTGATGTCATGCCTATCCCTATATGATTGTCCAGGAAATAACAGCTGAACTATCTCGTCCCAAGCTGGATTGCATGTGAAGGTGATAAATAAGTCTGGACGGCCGTAGCAACGAACATATGCCATGACATCTTGAGCATATTCCTGCATGTGGCGTGGACTACCTATGTATGAGGATGGCAAAATCGTGAGCTTTCCAACGTTGGTTGTATTACGGTCATTCATCACAGCATCCCGCAAATGGATATATTCCTCGGACCGAAGTTTCTTCTGATTCAATCGGAGGAACAGCAAACGTTGTTTCAATTTTTGCATACATATCGACAATGTACTGATGAAACAACTGACGACATTTCAATATATGATTGCAATCGGTCCTCCGAACCATTAACCTGTATGAGTAAAAGTTCATCGCGCAGCCGCGTCTCTCGGATGGAGGCCCGTTCTTCGTCAGTCATATTCGTAATCTTACGTCTTTTTGCTTCTGTATTGCGAATACGACGACCCAATCTCGACTTCTTTGGTGGCATGACTTCGTTTCTTACTGAACCTGAACAAAAATAAAATTTGTATCTCCAATTTCTTCTTTCAATATGTTTTTAATGTTTGACAGGAAATGCTTTGATTTGCTTGTAGAGGGCGCAGTAGTAGGGGCACGGGGAAACGCTAAAAAATAGATATATTCGCAACCGCAGATAAGCTATCAACATCAAAAGTAGTCAATAACCGAGCTGGAACCTCAACGCATGTTCTCTAAAAATTTGGGCATAAACGGTTCAGAACTTTTCAAGTTTCTTCTTTCAATATGTTTTGAATGTTTGACAGGAAATGCTTTGATTCAGCTGGCTGCCTGTAGATGGCGCAGCAGTAGGGGCACTTGGAACCGCTAAAAAATATATATATTCGCCACCGCAGATAAGCTATCAACATCAAAAGTAGTCAATAACCGAGCTGGAACCTCAACGCATGTTGTGTAAAATTTGGGCTTAAACGGTTCAGAACTTTTCGAGTCTATGAAGGATGTAGACACGAACAGAGCATTTTTATATATATAGATAAAATCTATAAAATCAGATAAACTTTATTATACATTAATTTATGAATATGCATTTTATTTGGTAATATCTTTATTAAATTTGTGAATGCTCTGCCTAAATGCGTTTTGAAATTTCAACAGAAATTGTTATACTCTGCCCAAATGTGAAGAAGAGTGGCGTCTAAATAATCTAGATGGGAGCTACTATGCTGAATTTTCTTTTGCATAAAATTACAGTTTATCCTGGAGGAGGACGAGGACGAGGACGCACCAGCATAGATTACATGGACATGGGTGTTGCTTGTGGCTACTTGAAAGTAGATTATGGCTGAACAATGTCACATCAGTGAGCGTGGCGTCCAGACTAGGACTTGGCAGTAAGCACGGTTAATCTGGCTTGAAACATCACAAAAGTTAAACCATAAGAAAATTTAAGTAACCGCCCCTTGCCCTCGAGCTGAGAATGAAATCAAGCATGGGACAAAATTGTTTAAAAGATTTCTTTACACATTGTGCTTCCAAATCCTTGGGGCTTTTCAGGCACTGACGCTTCTTGTCGGACCTTCGTGTTTGTTTCATTTTTGGGGGTCAATTCCCAGTTGAGTTTTGAGAATTGTTTTAGTTTGGTGTTTGAATTCTGCATTTCTGCACTCACTTGGCGATGGATAACCCAGGGGAAACCCTTCAAATGTTGTGCATAATGTCAGTGAAGCAGTAAAGCTTTAAATTAGAAAATATGAATGCATATTTATTTCTTATCTAGATTAAGAACAAGCTGGTATTATTTATAAAATTATGCAAAAACCCTCTTATTAACTACGAAGTTAAATATATTTATTGTTCAAAACTAAAACGTTTCCATTGGTCCATTGTTCAAAACTTGTTAACTTTCGCAAGCCGCCGCCAGACATTTGCCAGCCACAGCTCACGGACGGACGAAGGACCAGGTTTCATTGTCTCAAAGTAGGCACTTTCAGTCAAATAAAACGCAGCCCTTGCAAGCCTTTCGTCCTTCGGTTAACGTGTAATAAATTTTTCGGCCATGTCTAAACTTAAGCCGAGTTTGGAGGCAAAAGCATTTTGTGTCTATCAGGGCGTCTAATCTGCAGTTGAACCCATCCAAGCAACTTACCACGTGCAATAAATTCCAAGGCGCACCGCACCGTCTGCACTATTTTCTCCCAGCCTCAGGACTTTTGTTTTTTCTGGCTGGATATAGAGCTGGCATGGACTCCGACTCCGACTCTGTATCCCTTTCCCCAGTTGAGCCCTATGTCGTACGTGATCTGATAGAGAATGAAAGGCTACCGCAGCCCCAGAGACGTTGGCATGTGTGTGTGTGTGTGTGTGTGTGTGCAAAGTTTCGGCCAAGTCGAGCCGTTACCACATTCCCTTGGCCTAAAGGACACGCACCTGCTCTGCCAACCACTCCAAGGACCCTCCATGTTCCCCCAAGATTTTGTGGCGTTGGCTTACCCGTACAAATCAAGAGCAGTTTGTGCTGTGCTAATTTACTTTAAATTGGTTTTTTTGACATTAGTACTTCCGTTTCCTCCAGCGAGTTATCAGAGATAAATTACAGGGACACCTTCCGCTAAATTCGCGATACAGCCAAATGTCTCAAGTTTCAATGCTTGGACATTATGGATCGTTCTTAAAGTATAAGATGTATGAAATATATATGAAATTAAAATGTGCCACTATGACTCCCAATATTCTTACAAAAATTAATATCAATATTATAGGTTATTATTGCTAGGGTACAATAGCTTCATTGGCCCCTAAAAGTTACCCTGCTTATCGCTAATGGCATCTGACTGACGAAGACCAAGGTTAATAAATTGGTAAATAAGAATTAACCAATTTTTCTTAACAAGGCAACCGATACCACAAGCTCCATGACGAATTTTCTTTGAGCGCAATTTATTTTCTTTTTGCCTTTCATTATTAATGAGCAAAGTTTAAGAGCCTTTTGTGGACAACTTTCTTAAGAGTCCGACTGTGAGTCCGGCAGGGTCAATTGTCGACAAGATTGCTTATCGACGCAACGCCATCGGAATGGGCGTGGCATGTCAACGGTATACTAATGACCAGGCGGAAAGTTTTTCATTTTCTTTAATACCCTATTTCTGGGTATTACAATTTCAATAAGAATGTCTAAAACCATAAGCAATGTCTGAAACATAAACAAGGCCATAGAAGTTTCGACACTAAATAGCTTCTGTTTATTTTTTTGTTATATCTGTGATTCTTGTTGAAAGTGAGCTTGTGTATTTTATTTCCATAAAGACATAATTAATGTAAATAATTATAGAGAAAGGTGTTTTCCTGTGTAACTCTAGCTTATCATACGGGGGAAGATATATTGTTGTGCACGAAAGTAATTCTCTTGGTGTCACGTTTGAATACGAATGGTTTTGCACACATTTTTGGTCTAAATCCAAAACTAATGAACAACAATCTGGCTTTGCAGATGGTTTGAAAATGCACTGGGAATTGTGGTTATACGTTGTGGTGCTTAACGACGTGGAATTGTACAGAGATCGAACAGTCAGGACATGTACATTATGTGACGGAACAACCTCAATGCTATGTTTCTTATTATTTTTCACTTTTAGGATCTAACCAAAAAGCTTTCGCTATATAAATTGCTTGCACGTGACGCCTTTCCATGGTCAACGCGCAATTAGAGTGTTCTTCGATTTCCACCAACGAAATAACCCCAATAAAACTGGCCAATATATATTGGTTGATTGGCAAAAGCACAAATTGGGGGTTCCCAAAATGGACGCCCATAAATCATGCGTGCGACGAGATTTGCTTGAAATGTTTTCACGCACAATTGAATAAAATCCGAGAGCTCAACCTAAGGCAGGTGACTCCGCTAAATCTCTGATTGTCCATTTAATGCGATTTCGACTTGTTTAAAAATTAATTAGTGTGGATAAAATCATAAGCTAATAATATATTTAAGGAAATTTTACTTTGTAAAGGACAATTTTTCGTAATATGCTAAGCTAAGCAAATATTTTTAATGAAGTCGCAACATGTGACATTTTTATTTAGGCCCAGACACAAACATAAGGTCTTATGAAAAGAAATCTGTATCCTTTTCCCTTTTTGGAGCACCACGCTGCGGCTTTCTTGTTGTGGGGTCACACCCCACAGCTGCCGCAACATGTACTAATTAGTCAAGGATTTCGCATTAGGGAAACAAATTCTCGACCCTCGATGGATGAATGTGGGAGGAGCACGTGCCACGCTTTTAAATTTAAAATGGCTTATATATTTTTATGTAGTATGCTTAAAAAAGTGTGAAATGCATTTTAAAATGATGTGCACGTACAAAAAGTTAAAGATATTCTCGTTTTTTTATAGAGCTTTGGTTAATGCCGAGGCTTGGCTTGTAGAAACAGTCCTCTTTTTTTTGTAAATACAATTTTTTATAAAGCTCCAAGCAAATTTGAGAAATTAACCACAAAGTACATAATACATTTTGGAGTTTACTATATTGTTGAATGAATTTTAAAAGTTTTCAAAGTAAATGTTACTTTTCTATTTGCAGATGTCCATCAGGCTCATCTAATATAAGTGATGTTTCTACAATTGATACAGTAACATACTTTTTGAGGGACAAGTATTCTATTGTTAATCATGCCTAAAGTTTCAATTAATTTTAAATATCTGTAAATAAAATTGTATTAGTTTTTAGGCTTGGATTTTAAGGAACTGTAAGGTAATTCCTCAAAAATAAATATCTAAATCCTTTTCGCCAAAATAATTAGTTTTATGTGCAATGTTAAAACAGAAACTCCCTAAGATGTTTATAAAAATATTAAATATAACCAAAATAAAATATATACTTACAAGAAAATAAAGAACGGAATACAAAATAATACGTTAAGCTTGTGTTTGCCAGATGGTAGGTATTATACATATTTAGTTTGGTTTTAGGGTACGAAAATTAACCAACTGGTCTTTGGGGATGCTAGGTTCAGAGGACCTTGTTCACAGCTACATAGGCAACATCTGTAAAATCGTTTATTGAATTAGCAGGTCATGTATTTTAGCTACGAATTTGCACATTTAATTACACTTGAGACTCGCTTCACAAAATCAAACCGCATTCAAATTGCATTATTCAATCAGTCAGCTCCTTGCTCCCCAGATGGCTGAAATGGGTTGATGCCGATGCCTGTGCGACCAATTCGAAAAAATAATGTCAATTGTCATTGCAATTAAGGCCACTGTGTTGCAGAATTTCGATTAATGAACTTTATTTTTGATTAGCACAATGCTAAATATAATATTTCAAAGGTCTTGTAATTTTTAAGGGAAACCTGTGAAATGTTTTTATACCCTTGCAGGGTATTATAATTTTAGTCAGAAGCATGAGTCATTTCCGACCCTATAAATCATATATATTCTTGATCAGTATCAACAGCCGAATCGATCTAGCAATGTCCGGCTGAAAAATAAATTTTTAACAATTTTTTCGAAATTTCAAAATTTTATAAGGCGTTAAAATTGTCAAAAATTGGCAAAAAATTGATATATTTTTAAATTTCAAAATGAGTGTGCAGATTTATTAATCTATTAAAAACTAGCATAGGAAAGGTTTTCGATTTAAAATTAAGGCTTTTTTGGCATAGTTATGAATTTTTTAAACTTTGATTTGTCGAAACAATTGATATATAAGCTTAGTTATGATACTACAAGGCTATATTCATTTTATTTTCAAATATGATTTTCTACCCATATTTTAAAGAATAATTAAGCTTAATACAATTAAAATTCTCCCTTCAATTAATTAGCATCTATTCGCATGGAACAGGACTGCGGCCCATGGACCATGGACCATGGACAGGAGCCAAACGTGCCTGGACAAACTTCCGCCTTTCATCATGCGGCCGTTAAATAAACGCAGGCTGTGGTCAGTGGAGGCCATGGAGGAGCACGTGGCAGCGGTGGGTCGGGATGTAGTTGTGGTGTACAGTTTTTGTTTTCGGACCATTTGACGGGCACGGGTACAAACACAAGCATTCACATGTGTAGGACACATAGTGCAAGACAAAATCGGACCAAAACTAAAATACGTGCAAAGTTTACAAAAAACATTTCGTTTTAGCCGGGTGGTGTTGCATTCTGCTCCTCATCTCCTTTCCATCTGAAGCTTAATTATTCTTTCGCTTTTTTACACAGTCGTAAGCATTTAAATATTAATACTTGAAAAATATATTCAATTATTTGAACTTAAAATATTGATTTAAAAGACAATTTAAAGGTGAACTTTTTGTTATAAGAAAGAAATATAACAATTTTCTTCGATAGGCTAAGCATCTGCCGGCCGGTGACGGAGGCTGGACGATGAAGGTTGCCGTCGCCAAAGAGAAATTAAAAAAAGGGGAAAAAAATATATAAATAAACAATAATTAGTAAAATATTTTAGACATCGTTTATGGAAGTTGAAATTAAAAAAAAAAAGGAGAGAAAAAAACCCTGACAGAACATTTTGGGATCTATTCTACATAGCAATTTTACCATGCAGTGGCGTCCTCAAGCGGTGTAATGGGTAACTAAGTATGACAATTACCATCAAAGTTTTTAACCTTTTTAGAAAAGTTAATATATCAGTTTATAAGAGTTTATAAATAAGCCGAGTTGGCAGCCCTCTAAGAAGCAGCTGATTGCATCTGCATTGCTACACGTGCGTCAATTTAAATCGTAAACAAATAACAAATAATGGTGGAACTTGAGGGCTACACAGGTAATCTTGCCCAAAAAAATACTCAAAATGTCATTTAACACAAAGCCTCCTTTAGTGGTTCCCCTACGCACGTCGCCCGATGCCAAACACTGCCACAGCGTCTACATGCGGGAGCACTTCATCCGGCTGATGGACCCTAACAAACCCAAAGGCCGCACGCTATTCCTGCTTAATGTTCCGCCCTACGTGACAGAGGAGAGCCTGAGGACGGTCTTAAGCCAGGTGGGAACCATTGAGGTCGTAGAGTTCGCCGTTAAGCCTGGAAAAGATGAGACCATCAAGTGGTACGAAGGAACCAGCGAACCCATCTCTGCTAGACGTCCGCCCTTCTGTTTCAAGGTAGCCTATGTGGTCTTCCAGAAGAGTAGCAGCATTGCCAAGGCGTTGAGCTTGAAGAGCATCGATCTGTTCAACAGCAGCGGCGAGTGCATCATCAAGACCGGCATGGAGCTGTGGCACGAGGAGTACGAGAACAATTACCTCCTGGACCCGCAGAAGACGAAAAAGCTAATCCGCAAGTATATGTCCGGGTACGACAAAAGGGAGCGGGCTGCTGCAGAGGCAGCCAAAACGAGTGAGGCTGATGCCGACGGATGGGTCACAGTGGGCAAAGAGGGCCGCAATGCCGGCTTTGAGCAGAAGGAATCAGTGGTCGGTAGACTGGAAAACAGAATGGCAAAAGACAAGAAGACTAAGGAACTGACCAATTTCTACACTTTCCAAATACGAGAGAGCAAAATGCAAAACATCGTCGAGATGCGCAAAAAGTTCGAGGAGGACAAACGGAAAATCGAGCTGCTCAAGCAATCGCGTCGCTTCAAACCATTTTAGCTTTAAGAGATAAAAAATAAAACGTCCTTTAGTTTACCCCAAAAGCGAGTTGAAAAAATCAGCTGACTCGACCTCATGTATGTATATCCCCATAAATTTGCAGTACGCAATTGACACTTTACTGCGTCCAAATCCTGGCCTGAACACGCCGTGGCCATAACTTATACTCGAATGCGGTCAGAGGCGGCCATAAAAGCTTATAAAAAGCGAACAACAAGAACATGCGAAGAGAAGAAACGAAACGCTTATTGTGTGATAATCGCTTATGGTTTATGTTAATTTAAGAAATGATAAAAATATTTCGCTTATCAATTTCGAATCATAATAATCGACGCCGTCGTCGCGACTCTTAGTCGTACTGCGAAACTCGCCAGGTCCACTCACACAGCACGCGATATTTCATCCTGATCCGAGGTATGCATGTCGCGGGCTCACCACAGGGCCGGATCGGCGGCTCTAAGGGAGCGATCTGCTGCCTAAGACTTGATTTCTTTAATTTTATACACATAGGACAAGTTCTTTAAAGTATCTTAATATGGTAATGAGGACCTTTAAAATTGTTTCTTTAACATTTTTGCTTTAATTTAAAATTGTTGGCTGTAGCTTAAATAGGATAAAAGATCATGTGTGTATATACCAATTGGGCTGCACAAAGACCTCAGATTAAAAATATTTCCTCAAGTCTGTAAGTCCGTTCCTGTTCTGTGGGTAATGTGGCGCGCGTAAATTTTCGGATCTCCATCTCCAGACCCTGGTAACCCGAGAGTCTGTGGAGGCTTGGGGAGTGAAATACAAACGAGTTACGCGTCGGATAACGCATGCTGACGATCTTGGCCAGGCTTGGGCTCGCCTCGTCGCCGGTTGGTTGCCGTTGTTATTGGTGGCCTACTGTGGAGCCTAAAGACAGCCACACATTCATAATTTTCCATCGATGCGTATCGTTTAAACGTTTTCAATTGATTAAAATGCGATAAATCATAATCGCCAACGTCGTCTTGAAAACTTGGGAACTTGCGAGGGTTCACAGGCCAGGCCAGAGCAGACCCTCCCGACCATCGATGCCATGTCCGGGGTGATGGAACGATTTACGAGCCTTGAACATAATAAAGTGTTAACGGAACGAGTTATTAAGGTAATCTGAATGCGCATAAGTTAATAAAGGCTGAAGACGATTTGCATTGGCAGTGTGTGGCACCGCAGCGCTCCAGCGTCTACGGTTGCATCTAGCCGGCTTTAGGCCTCGGCTCAGCGCTCGGAGCTCAGCTATGTATTACCAACCAGCCGATCGACGGACACACAAGATGTCGAGAAATATAACTAAACCGACCACACGTACGTCTCCCATGCTGCACAGCAGGACACCGGACTCAGCCCAGTCCGCTCGGCAAGATTGCTCCACGATGGACGAGGAAAAAGGCAGGCTTGGGTATGCCGTGTTTTGTGAGGAGAACAATCAATAAATTTAAACACGTGAACAGACGCGAACAGGAACGGATCGATCGAACAGCCCACAACAACAAGAACGCCAAAAGGCGAGAGCGATAAGTGATCAATGCGCCGTGTCGACTGATTGGACAGAATCAATAGCCCGGGGCGAGGGGGGCGGGGGCATGGACGTTGTGGGGTTTAAGGGAAAGTGAGTGATTTTATTTTATGTCGGAGAAATGGATACTAGAGTAGTGGACAAACAAGCTTAGGATAACAAAAATGGCGTAGTGCGAAATATTTATAAAAGTAAGTATTAAATATTTACTTATAAAAAAAACATTAAAAATATAAGAACTTATTTTAAATTAATGACAGGATCAAAATGATCACTAAAATTTTTTCAAATTTTTGCAAATTTGCAAGCCCCTTATCAAATTTTGAAATTTTGGAAAAATGTTTGAAAACCTACTTTTCGACCGGAAATAGCTAGATCGACTCGGCTTTTGATCCTGATCAAGAATACATATAATTTATATGGTCGGAAATGATTTGTTCACTGCGTTTTAAGCTTCTGATTGAATATATAATACTCTTCAAGGGTGTAATGGAAGGTGAAGGTAGTATTGAAGCATGTAAGAATTTAGAGACAGGTACAAAGCCTTTATATTTGGGAATAATTGTCTGATCCTTAAGGAAAAAATCAATAATTTAATAAAAGTAGATGGAAACCATGTGAACATGTGCAGTACAAGGTTGTTTATATCGGTCCGTCTCCCAATTAGCACACTGCTCGAACTTTTTGTCAAAATTTTAAAACTCGGATACCTTTAACATTTTCTGAAACTAAACTTGTTTACTGCGAACTCATTTTTAAAATATGTCTATTTATCAATACAAAATTCATTTAAAATATTTCCTTTCTAGGCATACACTGTATGTGGAAATATTACTTCAACTTAATTTAAATAACAATTAGTAACAATCTCCAAAATTAAACCAGTTTGTGGTATCGACATCGTCCGTCATAATGGGTTCCCTACGAGCTGTAGAGGGTCCATAGAGACTGTAGCGCCTGGATCCAGCAATGACCTCTCGGTATCGCCTCACCGGTGTCCGGGAGAGATGCAGCTCCATGAGATCCCAGTCGTTGACATCCCGAAAAACGGAGCGGATCATGTGCATACGACCCAGGAGTTCCGTCTCTCGTAATCCCTCGTATCTACGTCCAGTGCGGGCCCGGAAGGTTTTGTATACTTCGCTCTGCTGCTTAGTCTCCGTTGCTGTCTGTAGCTCCTTGCGGTAAAGTGCTCTAATCCCACGTCCCAGATGACGAATGTGCTCGAAATTTTTGACATTAAGGGCCACCAGGGATACGGCATCCAAATTCAGTAGCTTGTGACCATCAATATAGTTTTCACGGAAGGTTTCCTATTCAAGAAAGAGCGTATTTTAAGCAAAATACTATTTTACAGGAAGTTTCAAAACTTTATGTTACAGAAGAATCCTTTTTATATTAATTTAGTAAATCCAAAACAGTCACTTGTTTGAAATGAATAGATTATTTTTAGACCACTTCGAATTAGGCTTTAAACTTTTTAAGACTTTGGAAGAAAACCAATTGTTTTAAACTGATAGTTTACTTTTTTTCAAGACTCGACTTCCCACCTCATATTCTGGATAGCCAAAATTGCGCAACCAGTCCGTCACATCGTTGATACTCCACTTAAAGACCTCCGTACGGGCTTGGGAATCCACAACTGCGGCGCAGAGGTTGAACAGTGAGTCCGGTGAGGCCTTAAACGGAAGTGGCACATCCTCCTTGTTGTACTCCACGTCGGGAAACATGTAGCTCGGATATCGAAAGCAAAAGTCCTCCTCCTCCTGAGGCGGCTCACAGATGTCCGGACTCTCCATACCGTCTAGACTACGTAGCAATGGAGACGGAATACTCGAGGACGACGAGAACGACTCCATTCCAGTGTGTAAGACGTACTGTTCCTTGGCTAACTTAAATTGAGTTGCCCCGCAACTTTCGCCTGCGATTTCTCCTTAATAAGGAGTGGTGTTCGTGTCTGTTTGATTGCGTTTTATTTACTTCCTTTTCTACCATGTCCTTCTACTAGTTAACAATGCACAGGAAATTCGAAATAAAATTAAAATTATGATGAATAAGCCTCTCGATATTTTAATATTCTAAATTGAAGTTTTATTTATTCAACGATTAATTTGTACTTAATTTTTCCTTGTGATAATATACAACACCGGAGGTACAATATATTTTCAAATACTATATATCCACTTCGAAAACCTATTACCTACTATCTCCCATTTTAGGGCATCAAAAATGTCACAAGCTTCAAGTATGTGCTTCCTGTTTTCACGTTCCTTACCTGAGGAGTGCATTTGCATATCGGATTTTTTCTGGGTCAATTTGTGGGCTTGCGGTACTGGGACGTTTGGGCACCAAATACACCTTTGGGGGTGGCTGTTTTCTGCCAGAAAGTACATAAGCCAAAGGCGGTCACGACAGACTTCCTATTAATAACGCAATATAACACAAGTTTCACTTAAAAATGTTCATATTTTTACCCTTCCTACACGCGATGTTCGTGGATTTGCAAGAGTATATATTGTACTTGCGGATGGTAAGAAGTGACGAAGAGTTTCCAAATACAAAGTGTGTAAGCCCTAATCCTTGTTAAGTTTCTAGACCAGAGAATATCTAGCAATGTGCATTGCAATTTCTTTCCTAAATATAAAGTTAATCGAAACTAACCCTTTTAGACAACATAAATATCTGAATTGAATATTACACGTATTTCATTTTATAAATAAACTTTATATCGTAATGACAAATACCTTGATAAGTCTTTAACTTAATTTATTTATTTGGATAGAGAGAAGTTTTGAAATACCAGATGCACGAGATTATTAACCTACTGAATATAATATTTGATTATTATTAAGTTTAAGCTCCAATAAATTGAGTTAACCATTTTTTTAAATTATTAAATTTTTCCCCCCAAATTTTTTACAATTTTAAAAATGATTTGAAATGACTTTAAATCACTATTTGTTTTAATATAAAACTGCCTTTGAATTTGTATACATTGCAATGAGCTTTAACCCCTTAAAAATGTGCAAATTTACAGGAAGTTACTTGATATATGACTGAAAATTGTATATCCAACAAGGGTATACAAATTTAAAGCTAATAAAAGTTTAATATTCTGAGATATATACCCATATAAATGATTAAGTTACCAACATTTTATTCAGCAATAATCATGATAGGCAATCCTTCCTTTTCATTATTTAAATGAAAGCTGTGATTAGATCAGGGATCTGCAGTCACCACCTCTACCCACTGTATGGACTGCCTAACTAATAGAGTTAATGGAGATCGCTCAATAGTTCCCCCCACATTCCTCCTGCCACCAGAGAGATTCCGTATCGGCTATACGAGCTCATGCTTCTGGCTCCGCCCACTGGAATGGATCGCTCGTATTGGCCACCAGCCGCCGAGCCATGGCTTCTCCACATGTTGTGGGCACAAGGGAACCGGAATTCGCTGATCTCTGTGTGTGTGTGGGGAATACGGGAACATATGGAAAAATCAGTAAACAAAGTTAGCACCGATTGAGGAAACAATTTTTGTGCCGAGCTAATGACACAGCGGCATGTTTGTGTGTAAACACAAGCGAACTGTATACCAAGACTTCTATCCGTATGGGTTTACAGTGGGTGCAACATTTTAAAAATTATGGAGATTATAATAGTTTGAATAATAAGTTTTTATGGAAATATACAAGCCATTTTTGACCCGAGTTGAATTATTTTCAACTTTATTTCGGTAAGGCTCCTTAGGAGTTTGATCAAATTGGAAAAGGAGACTGTTTAAGGAATTGGAAAAGCGCTCAAAGATTGATTAGATTTTTTTTTTTTTACATATACGACACCTCTTTATCCCTTTTTTGTATGTTTCTTTAAATAATTTATTGCAGTTTCGTGCTTATATCGTTGATAATACGGGGTGGGAGCTCTAAAAATGTTTTTAAAAAGAGCTTACAAATAAAGTAAAGTTCTTGCCCACTGTGGGATATTGGGGAACATACAATCTCGGCGAGATTTACCTAAACGCCCGATCATTTCGTGTGGTGTGTGCCAAAGGCAATCGATCCCGGCCGGTTCCGATCAGTTCTGTGTGGGCTGTCTTGCAAAGCGGTTCATCGGATCGATGCTTGGGGTCTCCCGAAAATATCTCGGTGTTTCCTGATCAATTCCAAGCGACGGCGTTTGGCTAAATACATAAATAAGTGACATGTTAAGTGTAAATTAAGTTGTCCCAGTGATTTACTTATTCGGTGATCGAAGTGATCAGTGATCAATGTAAAACTGACATGTAACTATTGTTGACGAAATGTTACTACACGAGAGTGCCGCCAGCATGGAACAGAGTATGCCCGAGAACCTCAGCACTCAAGTGTGCGAGGTGAAGGTACCGACGCCTACCGCGAACTATACTGTCTCCGAAAGGAGTGATCGCGGTCTCCCTGCCGAATCCGACACAGGCCCAGCGAGCACGTCACCCCCCGCCACCACCAGCACCACCAAAGTAAAGCTGAGCTTCAGCGTTGATCGCTTGCTGGGCTCCTCCGAGTCCAGTCCTTCATCTTCCCCGGCGCCATGGGCCTGCTGCGATGGTAATGCCTTCTCCTGCTGCACTTTCCCTCGCTGCTTCAGCCAGGCAAAAGCAGAAGTTCCTAAGCTCGGCCAGCTCCTGCATCCTGGAGCAGCGCCAGCAACTCCATCTCACCTGTACTCCTACGTTGGACTCGATAAACTATATCCTGGAATGTGTATGGATTACAAATCGGTACTGAGACCAACACCCATTCGGGCAGCAGAACATGGTGAGTACAGATAAAGGAGCGCCTAGAATGCACAAGGTCCGGCAGTCCTTAGCACAAACTTTGTCATTTTCCTTAAAGCGTTACAGATTAATTCATAATTTAAGCAATAATGCAAACTATACGAAAGTTTTAGTCCTACAAAGTTCTTAAATAAGGTATAGGAGTATAGAAATATAACTTAGTTTATATAGCAAGCTAAAGTGTATTTCCTTGAAACACCATAGAAAACGCATTCTGTAGAATTGCTTTATAAAACATAATTCTAATAGATAAGAAACTGAAAGTTACTAGTAATAAATAATCATTATATGTCTGGAGTTATTTAGTATTAGGCTCGCTTTAGCATATTGTTATATTCATTACGTTTATTCACATTCTTTCTTTCATTTAATCGAACCAAATATTAAATATATAAAACTTAGGAAAAAGCAATTGTAACTGATTGAAGAAGTCATTTCCGACCCTATAAATCATGTATATCCTTGATCAGCACTAATTGCCAAATCGATCTAGCTGTGTCCGGTCAAAAAGTACATTTTCGAATTTTTTCAAAAATTTTAAAACTTACAAAAATTGGAAAATTTTTCAATTTCATTAAATTTCAAATTGAGTATGCAGAACTATTAACATAATAATAACTAGCCCATAAAAGCTCTCCGAACCGAAATTAATGCATTTTTGGCATAGTTATGAGACTTTTTAAACTTGGATTTGGCAAAAAAAAAACTTGTCCCGTAAAAATACTAATATTTGTTTTTATTAAATAAATTCAAATAGTTTTCGCTTAGTTTTCATAGATTTCCTATTCGATCGTATAATTCAATTGCTTCAAGGGAATATAAACTTCGTCTGCCCAAAGTTAGTTTTCTTTCTTGTTTAATTTGTTATCAAGTATAAATTTTCCAATGATTTCCAATTTCCAGCTACGATATATCTTTTGTTCTATTTGACAAAAGTATACTTTGTTTTAATGCTGGTTTACGATGAACAGAGTAAAGAAATAAAATTAATAAAATAATTTAAAAATGTCTCCGTTGCGCCAAACTCTTGTCAATATCATAATATACTTAAAAAGAGTATTAAAATATATGTGAAATATTCCTGGACACACCAAAGGGAAGTCTTAAAGCCCAATCGAACGCTGGCTATAAATTGGGTATTTTTATTGGAATTATTACTTGATCTGTGGCCATATTGTGCAATATTCCAGCGGCCAAATGTTCCCTGCTCCTTGGTTTTGACGAAAACAATTCGTTTGTTGAAATCGACAACAAACTATCTCTATATGTTTCGAGTATTTACGTTACTTCCTGCTGCTTTTGTATATCTGGAGACGACGACTTCTCATGCACTGCACTTTGATCTTGTTTATAAGAAAAATAGTGAGAAATATGTATATTCTGTGTGTGGTTGGTTGGCTTTTCGAATAGAGCATTTTCATTGTTTAACAAGCTGCTTCCATTTTACGCATCCCGGGCCAACATATGAGGAGCCTTTTCTCATTCTGTTTTATATACAATTCTTGTCAAGTGGGTGCTAACTGTGTGAGGACTTTCAATGATTGTATAGGGATAGATGGGGCAGGGTCGAAGGCAGGAAATGTGCCAACATATTGTCGAAGATTGTGAAAGAAAAGATTACGACCTGGTAACATCATCATTTTATCCATTTATCCGGTTTTAAAATATTCAAAATACTGTGCGGAAAGATAAATTTAGCCATTCATTTCTGCGAAGGCATTTATTAAAAATTATCATCAATTTTAAACGGTTTTCAAACACATTTCTCCGAGGTGAAAATGAATGAGGCAATTAGTAAGGAGCATTAAATTCGACATTTCCTCAATCAACAAGCAGTGTGGTAAAAAAACAATCTGCCTTTGAAGGGGTTTCATCAATCCTGTGGCCACATTAAATAAATTAAATTAAAAATAACAAATCCCAAAATGAACAACGATTTATGAACAAATTAAGAATCAGACTTTGAAAATAAACTTGATGTTCGCGCGGAACGAGAGAGAAAAAGTTTGTTTATTTGCTTGAGCAATTGGTCCGTCATTCATGGGCAGATACAGATAGCTATCCGTCTAATTGCCCGCTGTAATGAATTGTTCCGTTCCTGAACAGATTGGGCACAGAAACGATGATAAAGAAAATGGGATGTGAGGAGGAGCTATCTAGCGGGAGCGACAGGTACAGGTGGAGAGCCAATCTCTGATAGATGTGGCGCCACGGGCTCAACTACTGTGACTCCATCCAAAGAGGCTAAGGCTGAGGCTGAGGCAGGGTCTGAGGTGCCGGTGCCGTTTAGGCTAATGACGGAGAATAGCTGCCCGATGGGCTAACCGAATGACTAACTGAATGATTGAGTCTGTGGAAGCCAAGCGGTATTTTTAGGGGCCAAGCCAAAGGCCAACTATTTACACACAGGCACCCACTGGGGTGGCCTTTCGTTGAGGCTACCTGCCGCGTCCAACCTGCTTAGCCCCAGCCTCCTATGAAGACTCCTCATTTCGTGATGGATTGATCCTATCGCATCGCACATCATAAAATCTCGGCCCAAGCTCTCTCACTCTTTTCCCCGACTCATCGGGATGCTGTGTTGCTGTTTGTCTGTCCCGCCTGGTGTTGAGTAGTTTGTTTGATTGTTTCCCCTTTTCTTGGTCTGCGATCGATCGATTCACCGATCGATGGCTGAGCTAAAATAGATTCTCTGATATAAAAATGTTGTCTGAGCAATAATCCGGCGCCGTGTGCCTAATTAATTAACCATTTATAAGTATGTTAATCCGATTTGAACTGCGTTCTAGCGCTCAACGAATCATGTCTCACTGATCTTCATGGGAGAATTCTCGGATGTCTTTAAGGGAAATATTATACATGGAAATTGAGGATTACAGGTGTATACTAATGTTGAATTAAAATTAATTAGGGTTTTAAAGAGGACCATGCTGTTTTTTTAAGAAAGTATTAACTAAAACCAAAGTATGTGACTCTTAAAATTACCAGATTGATTTGCAAAGTTGCAATGATTCATTTGTGGGGATTTCTTGTGTGCTAACAAAGGCCAGGCAGAGCAATTTACTGCCTCGTATCTTCAACTTAGTTGTTCATTGATGTTTGCTTTGATATCACACCCAAAGCGATTTTTGCGACACTTCATCCTTTATCCTGTTACGTACTCTTACATGACTCCTAAACACCTCAATACTCTACGAATATTTGGCATAAAAATACATAAATTGCCAGAAAAGCCGTAAAGTAAACTCTTGGCTAAGTCTGGAGCAGATGGCCCAATGCATCATGGAATGCATGGTTTCTGCGAAAGCATTCAACTTCAGCCAAAAGTTCATTCGCAGTTTAACCCAATATGGCAGAACGAGCCGAGATATATTCGCCCAGCCCATAAATATGGAATATCCTGTCAGGGCGTTACCAATAAATCGAAACGGACTTAAAAATAGCAGTTTACCTGCGGTGCAAACGCATCCTCTCGGAGATGCATCCGCAATGGTGGAGCGCACGAGTGATTTAAGATCACGCCCCGCAATTATCAGAACTCATTAAGATATTTACAGGTCTCCAGGCGCATTCTGAGCGCACAATATTTACAAATGGATCTCGATGTGGGCAATTAAGGAGCCTGGCGTTGTGCAGAGACAAGAGGTGCCTGCCTTAGGTGATGAAAATCAGTAAAAACTCATTAAAACAAAACGCTGGTAGTTGACACAAACCAAATGCCAAATCCGCAATTAAGGCGTTATTAACCTTTGCTCGATGCAGATACAGATACATTTGCGGTGCAGCGGCGCATTTCCGCCGCAATGTAAATAGACGGCGGACTCTTAGAGTGTTTTCCTTGAGTAAATAAAACGCTCTCCACGAAGACAATTAGACTCATGCCGAGAGCACACAAACAAAGCGAATGAGTCCCGGCACAGCATCTATGAAAAAAGCCAATAAAAAATGCATAAACTAGTTTTAAGGAGTTGCCACAAGGCAACGATTTTGAAAACTTATATATGCGTGAATTTGGATATTTAAAAAACATTTAGCCGAAAGAAAGCATTTGGCTTTCAGCTCAACCTCGTGTGCCCCATGTTGTGCTCGATTACCCCAAATAATTTTCGCTCTCTTAGCCATAATTGTTGTTGTTCTTATTCCCCGTGTATGTGCTTGTGTGTGTGTGGGGTAAACAAAAAGTATTCGCCCCGCGGCCACAAAAATGCCTCAATGATTATTTCCAATTAAGTGAAAATTTTATTATAAACAAACGAATTTAAATATTTTCAACGTGAGTTTCATTGAACAAAATAATTTACTCAAACAAAGGAAATTTGAATTTCATATTTTCGGCCAACAAAATAATATTATTGTTTTCGGGATTGCGACTCTGGCGAATAAGGAAATTCGTAAATTTTGTTCAACAAAAAATATATTATTTCCCCCGGATGTACTCTGCGCTATTAGGGCCAAGAGGATGCGGCCCATAAGTAATGGTTAAGCTTTATAAAAATAAATAATCAATGGATTGTGTAAATTGGGCAGCGGAATAACAAAACAATAATGTTTTGGCAACAAAATAAGTTTAAAATTAAGAACTTTATTTATATTTATATTGACATTGAATAATAATATTTGGAAATATCTTTTTATAAATCACGCCCTTATAAATATTAAACAGAAGGGGAAGAACGTGAAACTAAATAAATATTATTTTCCAAGTCAATACTGTTTCCCATAAGTGTCACTTTTTCTATTAAGTAACCGAAATTCTTCACCATTTTTAATCGCTATATATTTCCCTTTGCCAACCAAAACAGCCACATCCACATATCCCACGCTGGCTACGAATGCGCTCCTCCGCTTCCATCAACATCACCAACAGCACCATCAGCAGCACCTCCATCAGCAACATAAGCCTCCGCAACATAACTCGACGATAGCAGCCTCGGGCCTGCTGGCGCCCCTTCACAGTCTCAAGAACCTCCAGTGTACGCCGCAACAGAGGTTTCTGGGCAAGACGCAGCAGCAGCTCCTGGATCACACTCCTACGACACCCTCCGATGCCACACCACAAAATGGCAGCCATGGCAACAATGGTTGCAGCGGCGGCGGCAATAATGGCAAGCGGAAGCGCTCCTGGTCACGGGCCGTCTTCACCAATCTGCAGCGAAAGGGTCTGGAGATTCAGTTCCAGCAGCAGAAGTACATCACAAAGCCAGATCGTCGCAAGTTGGCGGCACGACTGAACCTCACAGATGCGCAGGTAAGGCAAATAGGGCTTAAACTTAAGGGGAAGACTTAAATCCTTGATGCTCTTGTCAAATTATATACATATATACTTGAACAAAATGCTTTTATAAATGCTATAGATATGTTCGTGCTATATAGGTTTAAAGAAAATAAAACAGGTGTATAATCAAAATCCTATAAAATCATAAGATCATTTCACGGAATGGTATACAAAACAGCTACAAGGATAGGGTCAACATTCAGTTGATACTTTCATATTATTATCTATATATATATAATCTATAATTTATAGATATAATAATTACATATTTCAGTAGTTATAATAATTATATACCTTGGAAAACAATGAAAATTCGCAATTCGAATTCGAACACCCTATTTAAGAATATAAAATTTAATGAACAGAAAAGAATTGAAAAGTGTTCAAATTGTTAAAAACCCAAATAAGTAAAAAACACGTTTCATTCCAAGTATTTGTCCCAAAGTTTCGATAAAATTTATTTTCTGATTGTATCTTCCTGCTTATTCATCGAACTTTTTTGATTAAAATGGCTTTGTTTGGTTGCAAATAGAAGGCATAAATTACTTTAATATTACTCTGGAGGACAGTTATTTTTTAAACCATATATATTCTAGTGGTCTGAATTAAATATTTACTGTATACTTAAATATACATATAAACAAAATCTGAATTTAACAACCCTCTTTAAAGAACATGAATATCTGTAGTATACTTATTCTTTTCATTCATATTTTATGCCAATTCTCTACTTCCCACCTACTTTGTCTAAATTAGACAATCAAAGAACGCTCACAGTTTTGCAATATAATATGCAACGGGAGTGATCTTTCCAAACATTTATAATATATTAATTAGCTGAGTTTAAGCCTGTAAATGCTTATCAACACTTTTTACCAATTAGGTCAAGGTGTGGTTTCAAAACCGTCGCATGAAGTGGCGTCACACACGGGAGAATCTGAAGAGCGGCCAAGAGAAGCAGCCCCAACAGCAACAACAGGCAACGTCTGCGGTCAGTGCAGGAGTGGGTGGTGGAGCATCCAAGGTGGCTAGTGGGACAGGAGCTGGGAATCCCCACGAAGCCCTCGACTACAGCTCTGATAGCTCCTCCAGCGTGGAGTTAAGCGAGCAAGCTGAGGACGACGATGATAACATAGTCATTGATGTGGTGGAGTAGTCGTACTTTTACATGCATTCTACAGATGTATCTTTCGGATACGTAACAAACGCCATGGAGGATGTGTATAAATTATTATTATTAAATTATTGAAATATGGATAAGTTTCATTTGTTACACATAAATTATTTTAAAATAAATGTCAAAGTAAATAACCCTACAAGTTGTGTGGGATTAATGAATTGGGAGCAAGCACATTGCTAGAAAAATATTTATAAGAACAGAACCCTGTGTTTTTTTGCCTCTCCAAAAAGAAAACAAATTCCCTGTCATAATTCCACAGAATACAGCAGTATTATCAATACGCAATGCCACTTTCGTACAGAACGCAGCTGAAAAAAAAATTAATTAAGGAAATATAGCTGCGATCAGCAAAATATGAGACGCGACGACAACGACAGAGAGACCTTCTCCTAATCAAGACAACGATAAAAGCCGATACGCCTAGAGCGGACGGAATGGAAGTGATCAAGTTGGTGGTCAAGCGCGGAGAGAAGAGCAGTCCGGAGAGCAGTAATTAGACAAAAAGTGTTTATCCAGTGGGTTGGATCCACAACGACATTGAAATATTACATACACTTGGTTTATTGTTAATCAGGTTATGATCAGGGGAGAATGTAAGTTGACTTTCATGCTAAGGCCACCTATTAAATGGAACTAGAATAAAAACTAAAGCTAAGGTAAGCATGAAATAAACAAAATATATATATTCTTAGGTACCAGATACCAAATCTATTGTATTTTCTATATATCATACTTATTGTACAAATATATCTATATAATATAGAAGAGTATACAGTCATCACTTACACCCAAAACTACACCCATTCAGTTGAATTTAGCTGGCTTTCAGTTGCTCACGTTCAGTTATTTGAAGCAATGCGAAGCGCGAGGTTGAGTGCGAACAGATACAATTCTTATTGAGAGATACAAGTTTTATATTTTACGGATCTGTGCGTGGCATCCAAAACTATTGCCTCAAAATGGGCAATATGCAGCAGCGACCCGTGGAACCCCCAAATCGAAGAAATAGTGAGTGAATCGGGATCTTAAATACACTCTACATTTGTTTAAAAAAAATCTACAACCTTTCAAAAGGCATTCTTTGGAACTTCCGGTATCCGAGCACAGTGCGACGGCGAGAAGACTTGGCCGTGATGGTACACAACTCGCGAATGAGCATTGTCGATTGGCTAGATCTCCTGGATCTGCAGCAGTATGAAGGTTAGACCTATCAGCAGGTATTGCGACCTTCTTTAAACCCTTCTCGACCTTAGCCAATCTGCAGGAGTTCAGCATCGTGGACGATGTGGTGGAAATCACGGATAAGGAGCTCAAAAAATGTGGAGTACGCGGCTCTCATAGGCAAAAAATGGCAAACAGTCTGCTAGGGGTGCGGGCCAAACGGCGTCAATCAATGAATCTGGAAGGCAAGTTCAAATCCAAGATATCGGTAAGTTTTCCAATATGAAAACAGTCTCTTCCAGTAGCGAGCAGTGTGCCACGCGCTGTCCCCACCCGCAAGAACTCCTGTCCGATGGTTTATTTGGGGGGAAACAGCCCCCTCGACATGGCGGGAAGCGGCGACAGTGGACCTGGAGTGATCAGAACCAAAAGTGGAAAGGTTTTAAAGCAGCTCACCTTTGACGATTCAGCCACAATGTGAGTGTAGTTCAGAGCTAATTTATTACTCTTAATAATTTTTTATAATTTTTTCTATAAGAGAAGGCATAATTTGGGGGAATATAAGTTTTTACCTAAAGACAACTGGCAATCTTTTTCTAAATCATTAATTTGGAGACAATTAAGTACCAAAGATACAGGTAATCGTTATAGGGAATATCCGACTGATAACCAAGTCTTCTATTTTACATATAATTTCTTAATTTCTATAAAAAATGGGTAGATACATTTTTAATCTTGTCAAACAATCTTATCCTATATCCAAGTTCGTTTTCGTTCCAAGTATTTTTTTATTACTAAGTTAAAATGCTATAGTCCTGTGCGATATACGTATATTACCGCTCACTAGATCCACAAATTCCCTGCCCGATTTTTGCTACTCCCCAAAGGCATATATAAAGATACATTTATCGATAACAGAAAAACCTGCGCATGCTCTAAGAATTTCCCACCCAAGAGGGACTTAAAGCGGCGTAGAAGTTCGAAAGCAAAAACCAAAACAAACCGGGCGGAGTAGCAAGGCGTAAGCAGGACGCAGTGAGCAACCCCTGTAAGGACACTCAAAGGGAGGGCATTGCCGTTACATTTTCAGAGCGGATTCGGGCGGCGCAGAGTTCAGACGAGTGCAATCTAAAGGAAGCGGAAGGCCTAGAAAGTGTATTCACGTTCAAGGGCTGGGTCTGTGATAAAATAATATATATTTTCGATGGCGTTTAAAGCCACATATTAAACTTTGAATCGAAACGGTGAATGTAAACTAACAGCCAGTACAAAAAAGAAACATGCTAGGGCGTATCCTAGCCCAACTTTGAGGTGATTATAAAGCATTCAACCCAAAGGGCGTTGAAAGAGACTTAAAAGCCTAAAAGAAGTTATCATTGGTTAAAAATCAGTGGATTCTATATTATAAATAATTTTTCATTTAAAAATGTGTTTTTATTAATTCAAATTTAAAATGTACTCCTTTTTGATTTGTATTTTTTGCTCTTGAACTTCAAACAAAAAAATCTTCATATACCAGGGAACAAATCCTGTGGGAGTAAATTTCCGTTTGGCCGCTAGTGAGGGGATTGGCCTTTTGTTAGCAATAAATTACCCAAAATAAGGGAAATTAACTCTCCCGCTTTCAACAGCTACGAGGAACTGAGACCGCGCTGCAAGGACAATAGTCCCCTTTGGAGGATCGGCGACGGTGAGATGGATAATCACAACGGCAGCAACGCGTCCACGCCACTGGCCACCGGACATCCAAATCCAAGTGAGCAACAGGAGGCCATTGCCTTGAAGAAGGCACTCGAATGGGAGCTAAGTCTGGATGCCCGTGAGCTGCGTTCCCATGCCTGGTACCATGGAGCCCTGCCTCGCCAGCGCGCCGAGGAGATTGTTCAGCGGGAAGGAGACTTTCTGGTCCGAGATTGCGCCTCTCAGCCGGATAATTATGTGCTCAGCTGCCGGAGCAAGTCGGCTGTCCTGCACTTTGTTCTTAATAAGGTGGGTTTTATATACCATATTTGCATTTATACGTAGGAAGATTTCATTTCCGGATTATGGGCTAGACTCAAGAAAAAACCGGCGCCAAAAAGTATGCCTGATAAATTGATCAACCTATTAATAATTCTATACTTTCAGTTGGTACTTCAACCGGAAACTGTGTATGAGCGCGTTCAGTTCCAATTCGAGGAGGATGCCTTCGACACAGTGCCGGACCTCATCACCTTTTATGTGGGTTCCGGCAAGCCCATCTCCGCAGCTTCGGGTGCTCTCATCCAATTCCCATGCAATCGCACTTATCCACTCTCCTTTTATGGCCACAAGATCGTGGGTAATCAGCTGCACACCCAGATGCTGGCCGGCCTTCGCGGTCTGAGTCCTCTGAACTCTCCAATGGGAAATAGTGGCACCCCGGGGATAGGATCAGGCGGTGCCGCTGTCTTCCGCTTCGATCCCACACAGCAACAGCCACCGGGTTCTCCGGCAAGCCCACACTGCTCGCCACCGAGGGCCAGACGTGAAGTTCCGTCACCGCCGAGGCTGCCCTGCAAGAAGCAGCAGCGATCCCAGAGCCTGACTCCCGCCCAGGCAATGGTGGTAAGTAACATCAACAAGCTGCAGGAGCAACAGCAGTTGCAGGAAAATGGAAATGGCAACGGTATGGCACGGTTCCAGACCATAGCCAGATGCAACCCCACCAGTGAGCAGCAGCAGCATTTGGAGAGCAAGTTCACCACGCACTCCCTGCCACGACCCAGTTCGTTGGCATCCCAGACCCTGCGACAACAGGCAGCAGCACGGATCTCGAGCCTTGGAAGGAACTGTAGCATGGACTCGCCGTCGGCAGACTCCAGGCCGCCCAGTCCACCGCCCAAGCCACGTAAGGAACCAATGGCCGCTGTGCTAGCCTACCAGGCCAGCGGATCAGACTCGGGCAACGGTTCCGGGGACTCGGCTCTGGGGGATCCCAGCGAAGTGATGACTATTCAGCGAGGAGTGATCATTAAGAATCCTCGGTTCATGAGCACCTCCATCTCCAATGGGACGTTGAAGAGCTTTACAGAATTCGATGCGTTTGCCGCCGAGGAGCAGCTCTTTACCATGGCTATTGAAGAGACAAGAACGGTTAGATATAGCAATTTGTTTTATTGTTTAATCTATAGTTTATGTAATATTACCAATTATTTATTTTACAGTCAAGCAAATTCGACTTTGAGAACTTCAGCACTCTGCTGTTGCCCTCTGTGGAGAACAAACCCCTGGACGGCGATGCTTTAAACACTTTTAAGATGATGCTCCTGGAGACTGGACCAAAGCTATTGGCCGAACATATAACCCGCATCGATATTGGATTGTTCCTGGAGGAGCCAACCAACGAGGACGACTACTATCTAAGCTGCTCTGGTATCGAGCTGCTGACGCTACCCCATGGCAAACTATTTCGAGAAGATATCATCGAGAGGACACAGTGCATCAAGCTTATGGTGGCTGTAACTATACTAACCTGCCAAACGGACCTGGACCGGGCCCAGCTCCTAAGCAAGTGGATACAGATTGCGGTAGAGACAAAGACAGCCCTTGGAAATCTGTTTGGTTTTAGTGCCATCATGCTGGGACTGTGCATGCAGCAGGTAAGTGTTCTAAAAGTTTTCAACCTATAGATCACCCGTTGACCCTCCACTTGTAGATTCAAAAGCTGGATCAGGCCTGGCACATCCTAAGGCAGAAGTTTACAGACAGCGCTTTCACCTTTGAGGCCAAGCTGCGTCCAACGTTGATCAGCATGAACGAGGCTTCCAATCCACAGGCTCCCAACACGACTGTGCCCCACGTTCTGCTCTACGCCCTGCTAATCGATCGCCCGGTTATGGACATCATAAACCACTCGAACATAGATGATCGCCCGGCTTTATATCACACCTGCATAGCTCCCTGGGAGTCGAAGGCGGATGACTTTGGCATGACCATAAATTTTCTACATTTGGATGCCTCTCGGGGATTCCTAAAGAACTTGGATCTGTTCCGGAAAAATGCCAAAGTTATTCTTGAGGAAGCCAGCACCAGACTGGATGAGCTCCTGGCTGACGCTTTCCGGTGAGATGTCAGAAAAATGTAGGAAGTATCATAACACGCCTCTTTTCTCTTTGCAGCACCGAGTTCCATGTGAAATTCCTTTGGGGCAGTTCTGGTGCCACTGCCAAGGCCGAGGATCGTCACAGCAAATTGGAGAAAGTGCTAACCCTGATGGCCGACAAGTTCAGCCTGATGAGCGATAAGTGAAGTGGCTCTAGTTGTATTAATTTATTTATTCTGATTCATAGCTCATAACACGAGAATGGAGTATGCCACGAGTCGGAACGTATTATATTTTCGTGCTTAAAGATAATCCAAAATGTTCCATACAGTTCACGTATTTTACGAAGACTGCTCAACTCAAGTACTTAACTATAACCACATAATTCCCCTAAACACTTTTCCAACGATATATCTATGCCCAACTATCTCCGATTATCTCTGGACCCTCCGCAACCATAAATTTAGTGCTGTCTCTCTACCTCAGCCTGAAGCACATTATGTTACAGTTCAAATATTGATTAATCCCTGCCCGAAGCCTACTTTGAATAAGTTTACCTGTGCACAAATAATTACACATGTCCGTATGCTATTACATATTTTTTACTAGAATGAAGTAAACTCTTTATGTCATAATTAAATTTACTTTGTGTCATTTATTATTATAATATTAACATATGTAGCCCTACGACGGATCTGTTAATGCCCTTTATAAAGTCTTTTTGTTTGCTATTTTAACGTCTAGTTTAAATTCCGACTAACTGACGGATAAGGGATAATTTTCAAATATGCCATAGCCTATGAGGGCAGTTCTTTTATTTTTCTCTCAAGAAGTATAGTTTTTAATTTAATCTACACTAAATACAGATTCAGAAAATAAAGAGTTTAATTCATTTTGTAAAACTTATGTATAAACTAACTAGCATATGAGAGGTGAGTCAGAGAGCATACTTACTGTTTGTTATTTATGGGAAACTCTCCAAGAGCCATCTCACACTCTGACACTGTCAAGGTCTAGTACTTAATATCTATTCCACTAATTAACTTACTTAACTATAGATCGGACAATATACATTAATCAAAAAAGTAAAAATATGCCCAGATGGGTAATTATAAAGGAATACCCCTAAGAATGCATAATTTTTGCAATTTTGTAAGTGATACTGAAGTAAAAATAAAGCAAGTACAGAAAATATTACGATCTTTAAAGATAACTTGAAGGGAGCGAACTGAACTTGGTTGTATTTCTTTATAGCAAATCGAATTATGGACTAATTTCATAGCACAGGGAAAACACAATGTTAACCCAATTAGTATAATCTACGAATGATTGAAAATAATAACAACACTTATCGAGGTTTGAGCGTTAATCCATACTTGATATGATTTGTTTATGGCGGCATTGTGAAGAGCCAATAAACTGGGCATCCACTTTGACTGATGGCAAGTATCACAACGAATATATAATCGCCGGAGAAATGTGCAGTTTTATCAGCCACTCGAGAAGCGAGCCAGCAGCGAACTTATCAGGCCTCCGGGAAGGAGGCGTCCAAAGTGCCACTAGCCATTACACCCTCCTATATGCCCAGAGAATCGCTTGACATTCATTGTGCTTCGGTCAATCCCGGAGAACGGTCTTCGAATATTGGCGCCCCCAACAAGCCAGGTCTAGCGAAGCTTTAAGCTTGGCCTGTCCCAATCTTTGTGAACTTTTGGTCAACGCTTTCGACAACCAGGTACAACTATGCTCCGCGGCTGTTGGGGCAATCGAAAGCTGACTATGGCCGTGAGCTGTTGTATTGTACTCGCCATTATTGCCCTCACCGTGGGCCTTTGTGTCGGCCTGGGCGCTGGAGAGAACGGCCGGGAGGTAATTCGGAGTTATTCACTTAAATAGCATTTATTTGATTAAGTGAAGTGCGTTAAATAAATGCCAACAGGATTCGCCGAGGTTTACCATCGACCATGAAGCCAATACCTTTGTGCTGGATGGCAAACCCTTCCGATACGTCTCTGGATCGTTCCACTACTTCCGCGCTGTGCCAGAGGCCTGGCGGAGTAGATTGCGCACCATGCGTGCGTCTGGTCTGAATGCTTTGGATACGTAAGTAAATCTAAATATTTTTAAATGAGGAGCTAAAGCTATATACATATTATATGTATATATAGCATACGGCTTAATTTTGTTTTAAAATGTGGTCACGTTCATGACCATCATTAACAAAGCTGTGGTCTTGAAGTACATACATATATGTAATTAATTTATTTGTGTGAAATTACTTTACAAATTTGAATACAATCAGCTAAAAAATAATACTGCTTAAATTATTATGATGAATTTTAAGATACTTTGTTTCACTTACAAAAAAATATATTTAAAATAAAATTTAACCCTGAAAACTACTTGCACATAATATACATATGCCTGTGTATATTCTACATCTTCATTTACTAAGCCTTAAACCTAATCATTTCTATATTAAATTAAAAACCTTTGTCACCTTTTTACTAGCTACGTAGAATGGTCGCTTCACAATCCCCACGATGGCGAATATAATTGGGAGGGCATAGCGGATGTGGTCAAGTTCCTAGAAATAGCCCAAGAGGAAGACTTTTATATTATTCTCCGTCCAGGTCCCTACATCTGTGCGGAGCGGGATAATGTGAGTTTTTAGTGAAATTATCAAATGCATTGTATATATGTCAACCGATGTTGTGTTTTTCCCATAGGGAGGTCTTCCCCACTGGCTCTTTGCCAAATACCCGACCATAAAGATGCGGACGAACGACCCCAACTATATTGCCGAAGTCGGAAAATGGTATGCACAGCTCATGCCACGTCTTGAGCATCTGTTTGTAGGGAACGGTGGCAAGATCATCATGGTGCAGGTGGAGAACGAGTACGGAAATTACGCCTGTGATCACGACTATCTCAACTGGCTCAGAGATGAGACGGAGAAATATGTGGCCGGAAAGGCCCTGCTTTTTACAGTTGATATACCCAACGAGAAGATGAGCTGTGGCAAAATCGAAAATGTTTTTGCTACCACAGACTTTGGCATTGATCGCAGTAAGTGAAGCTCCGTTTTTATACATTTACAATTACGTTGCATACTTAAATAGATTTTTATGACCTTTTTACGACTCGCTATACCTTTAACAGCTTCGGGAACTGTTCTAATTTGATAGTTCCACCCCCTTAGGATGAAGCCAATTAATTTGTGACCATATACATATATAATTAAAGTATACTAGAAGCTATCTCTCTCCTATCCTATCTTTAAAGTCCACGAAATTGACGAAATCTGGAAAATGTTGCGTGTCCAGCAGCCCACTGGCCCACTAGTTAACTCTGAGTTCTATCCTGGCTGGTTGACTCACTGGCAAGAGCAAAACCAACGACGGGATGGCCAGGAGGTGGCCAATGCTCTTAAGTAAGTATATGTCCAGTTTCACAAATTTTAGATGCCAATGAAATTATTTCCATTATCATACGCATTGTTATAATTATTAATATTCGTATCACTCACCATTTTTTGGACTATTCCAGGACTATTCTTAGCTACAATGCTAGTGTCAACCTGTACATGTTCTTTGGTGGCACCAATTTCGGATTTACCGCCGGAGCCAATTACAACTTGGACGGCGCTCTCGGCTATGCTGCTGACATCACCAGCTACGACTATGATGCAGTGATGGACGAGGCTGGAGGAGTTACCACCAAGTACAACCTGGTAAAGGAAGCAATTGGCCAGTTCCTTACTTTGCCAGACATCACATTAAATCCCGCCAAGCGTCTGGCTTATGGTAAGGTAGAGGTAACTCCGTCATTGGCTCTGCTGTCAGCGGAAGGACGAGCAGCTCTCTCCAAAGGCACGCCTGTTGAGTCAGCAAAGCCCAAAACCTTCGAGGAACTCGACTTGTACTCCGGCCTTGTTCTTTACGAAACGCAACTGCCCGAGATGGACCTGGATCCGGCTCTGCTAAAAATAACCCAGATCAATGACCGCGCCCACGTCTTTGTGGACATGGAGCTGGTCGGCACACTCTCTCGCGAGGCTCAGATTTATTCACTGCCCCTCAGCAAGGGATGGGGCAGCACCCTTCAGTTGCTGGTTGAGAACCAAGGACGAGTGAACTTCTTTATATCCAACGACACAAAGGGGATCTTTGGCGAAGTGAGTCTGCAGCTGCACAATGGTGGCTATCTGCCGCTGGAGAACTGGAGGAGCACCGCCTTTCCCTTAGAGGAAGCATACATAAAACGCTGGCAGGAAAGCCAAATCGAACAGCAGATCAGGTTGGACTCGTTCCTGGCCAGGCAACGTATCCTCCGGAACGGGCCAATTCTCTACACGGGCACACTTAATGTTAAGGAGGTGGGTGACACCTATTTGAACATGGCTGGATGGGGCAAGGGCGTAGCCTATGTGAATGACTTCAATCTGGGGCGCTACTGGCCAGTAGCCGGTCCCCAAATCACTCTATATGTGCCCAATGAAGTCCTGAAGTTGGGCTCCAACACGCTCGTCATACTGGAATATCAGCGGGCGAACAAAACGGCAACGGGCGACGAACTGCCCGCAGTGCAGTTCGATGCAGTGGCTCAGCTGGATGGGGAGTCTGGAGATGTTCCTCTTTAATGACGACCGATCGATTAGATTAGTTATTTTTTATTTTGAAGCAGTTTTGATTGATATTTGCATCAACAACAACCTTTGTTAAGCTTTTAATACATATTCTAATACATATGACAAAACATAAATGTTAAATTGTTTAATTGTGTGTGCTTGACTACATCGCGTTTATTTTGCAGCACGCATTCAATTGACTTTTTCTTTTACTATTATATAATCTAAGGTTAATTATGATTTTACACTTGTTCGAATGGTTTTCTGTCGGATATTCTTTCATAATTTCTTTCGGTAAAATATTAATAGAAAATTGAGATTCATTCTTTTCAAAGTTATAATAAGATTTGGATATTGGGCAGACTGGGTGAGTATTGAGAATGTGTGGAGTGTTTTTGAATAATTTTACTAAAGTTGATGTAAAGGCTGAAGTTCTGACTAAGGAGTGCTTTTACATGGCAGTTTATTGGATTTTCGTGCTCTTTGAAAACGATAAATGGGCAGTTTTCTTTTTCGTTTCTAATGTTAAAATATACGTATACAATACGGTAGAAAAGCGAACACATGTGGCTCTTGAACAAAATTAAAATAATACTCTTTACCTATAGTTAGCCCATAACTGCGTTAGCTTCTCATGATTTTCCCAAAAAAAGGAATATTTAGATGTATATATTTACAATGCCATATTCCCAGGTTTTGTTTCTATAAGTTTCTTTGTAGTTTAAGCTCATTTAACAAAGCAACCCAATTGTTTTTATACCCTTGCAGTTTTTCTATAAGTTACTTCAATTGACAGTAATTCCCGCTTTTTCTTCGTATTGTTAAAATATAAAATATAAATTACAATAGGGTAGACAAGTGATTTGCATTTACGACAAATCTGGTATTTATCCTTTTAGGCCAGATACTGCATCAATTTGGGATGGAGCAGAATCTTAGTGGCCGTTCAGGGTGTGATAACTTTTAGATTAATTTTTCATGTCATTGTTGTTAGCAGACTCTGAACTAGAAATTATATGATTATTAAGATTATTAAAAAATACTCTTCCAAGTCGTCTGCTCATAAATTTTTTTGCCGATTTACAGGGCAAGTCTAAAAGCTATTTATTTGCTTCATATGTACAAAGCGGAAGATGGAAAATAGCCTTGGGTCTATGAACTATTGATGCCATAAGATGGCTTAGAATCGAATATTTGTGCTTTTAAGGCTTAAGCTAAAGCAAATGACTCAAGAATTGGACTTGGCATGGGTATAAAAACATCCGCTTGCCGAACCTAATTTGCTGTTGCTAGTACTTATTATATTTCGCTCTTTGTGCCACATAAAATAGGTATTTAGTCTTCGGTTATAAAAATAACGATTGTTACTTAAGACAGACATCTGCGGTGCTAGGTTGAAGTTGTGTTTGATATAAGTATGGATTTCGCATCGTGTTCAGTTTTAATCATTTGTTAAAAATTGTTGCATTTCATTTCTTGTTTGTTTCTCTATACATTTCGTTAAAAATATATCACAGTTGCATTTTGAGTTAATTTTTCTTCACTTTTCGCATGCCTCCTTTTCATTGTAAAATGTATAGAAAATGTATAAAACTGTTTTGCACTTGTTTCTCAGTTTGGCTTTTGGGCAGAGAGAAGCCGACGTAAGAACAGCAAACAATTTGGCAACCTAGTTAATATATGTAAGTCATTGTCCACGAAGACGGAATGCGTTCGCTATAGTTAGACACATAGCTACGGCTGTATATTGGCGATTGCAGGAGCGTATTGAGTAGATAAGGTATTTATAGTAGTAGTTAACTAACCGAAGCGTAGATGAGTAGTTTTAGTTTCCGGCTCGAGGTCCTCCTCCTATGATCCATTTTTAGAGTGCTGTGGGAACGACAGCAAGGGCCATTTGTCAGTGCCACTTGGATTTCTGGTTGTAAATATCGGCGCGCAGGTTTTGAGCAAAGCAAATGCCCAGGATCTAAGAATTAGAAAAAGCAAGCGTTACAGAAGTACATAAATTGCAGATTGTAAGTGTTAGTATTAATAAATTAGTTTTTGTTAGACCGGATCACTCCGGAAGGTGTAATATCACAAAGACCCAATTTTAATTGGACCTAATTGGTTTTACATGTTATCTTACGGTTTGCCTGTGTGCACTGCAAGCCAAGGCTGCAAGTGCCAAAGAGCTGCAAAAACGAAGGTCCTTTACCTATTAAAAGATGCAGTGAGCTATGCCCTTGCAGGACGTACCCTAAAAGGATTGGATTAGTACACCGCCACCCCAACACCCATCTCGAACCGTAAATAGACCGGAACCAATAAAAAGTAGGCAAAATAAAGACCTGGAAAAACATCACAATAATAACGGCAGTAGAAATAATAATTAAATTGTGTTCCATCCATTCTTCGCCTGCTTGAACGCATCCCTTTTCATAAATTATTCTGGACAGTTCCATGCCCTGGTAAAATAAACAAAATATCGCGAAGAAAACAAATTAGAAACATAACAAGAATCTATAGTCGAATTTTCCGACTATTAAATAAACGGGCTCTACTTCTTAGCTTTCATTCTGGAGCATAGCTTCTGATTGATTTAATTGACGGACGGATTAATGTTTTAAAATTTGGGATATATACATTTTTTAAGTGCGGTTAACCGTATTGCTCTCTACAAGTCGTTATTACAACGACTTAAAAATGGAGAAAGGCTTAACCGAAGTCTTTGTAATGTTATTTAAGAGCTGTTAAACATTTGTATAATAAAAAAATTAAAATATGAAAGCAATTAAACTGAAATTCCTTTTTTTCAATTATTTTAAATTTAGCACCTGCAAAACGAGCAGGCTCACAGAGCAGACTGCTACACTAATGAGATGAGCCTCCAGCCAATCTTCGCCGGCGCGCAAGCATCCGCGCTCATGTATATTCCTATCCACGGGCTGCTTGCGTTTACAAAATTTAAATGAAATACAAGAGCTGCGCTTTGAGAAGGATAAATGATGGCTTAGCCTAAACTTACGTATCCCTCCTTGCGGACATCGTAGCCGCACTGCTTGTTTTTGATCACCTCCTGGGGACGTCGGCGACAGCAAGAAAAGGGCACGCCGCAGGCTTCCCGGCTGCCAATGGCAATGGATGAGCAATTAAAGTAGTTGTTACTGTCCCAGTCCTTGGGTCCGTCGATACCACAGCACTGCAACCAGTCCTCCTGGATCCAATCGATGAGGTTCTGCTGGTCTGCGTCCTCTCGATAATGCCTGATAAAGGCCTTCAAGCCCTCAGTGGCTTGGTCCTTGATCTGCGGCACACAAGTTCATAAGCTGTATGATACGAATGTGTTGAGATTACGCTTACCCAGCCCTTGTCCTTGAGCACGAAAGCCAGGGCACAGAATCCGATCTCGGCGATGAGAAGCACACTCAGAAAGATTGCATACTGAATAGGTAAAGGTGAAAATTAATCGAGCTCAAAGGTGCCCCCTAAATCGTTGAAATACTCACCGCTGCCAGAAGACAAGTGTTCTCTCGCAAGGCACCCACGCTGCCCAGGAAGCCCAGCAGGAAGGCAACGCCACCTAACATGATTAGCACAAAGGCCGGATCTAGAGCAATGAAATGAAGGCGCGTAATATTGCGGAACATATCCTTCTCGCTCCAGGCCCAGATGCCCACGGAGAGGACCACCAGGGCCGCCAGCCAAAGGATCACATTGCTGGCAAACAGCAGGTACTTCAGACAGCAGCTTATTTCGCTGGTCTCGCGGCGGTACTTGCGCACGGGCATCGCTATCGAATTGCTACCTTAAAAAATAACTTTGGCCGAAATAACAAAACCAATATTGCGAGATTCTTTTCACTTATTTGCCAATTGGCATTGGAGATGTAAACACTAGTGGTGTCATTTTTTCTGAGCGAAAAAAGCTAGATCAACGAAAAAAAAAAGCTAAAAAAGACGGAGTGCCAGAGAAAATAAGTTAAGAAAAAAGCTGATTTTTATAAAGCAATGTGCTGTATCTTTTTCATTAATAAACCATCCGTTCAATACTTAATATAAAATATGTAATGTTAAAAAATTAATTAACTATAGTATATTTAATATATCGTCAATATTATCGGCATCATCAGTTGGATAAAAATTCTCTTGTTCAATTGAAGATAGGCAGCTGGGTGGTAGAATGTAGTTAAAACAGCACTTATTGTGTCGACACAGCCCATATCTAAAAATAAATTTAAATATGGACCTTATAGTTAGTAAAGCGTTTTACGTTTCAACGCTCATGCTATTTCGAATTTTTGTTTTAATTAAATTTATTTGGCGGAATACCCGCTCGACGTCGGAATTGACCAATATATTTGCAGAGCAACTGAAGCCAATTCATAAAAACGGCAGTGTTCTGGCGAATCCCGGTATTTCTGAACTTAATTGTATCATCGACATTTTCCAACTCTACTAGGGTTATGTCGCTGTTAACACGATTAATTTAAATTTTCTCAAATTTGCTCAAAACGCCAGAATTCCCGCTGTTTTCATATTATTCCCGCAATCAAACTTCAAAAAAATCCAAATCTGACGGGAAAAAAGCGGAAAGCGGATGCAGGTCGCATCCGTTTCGACTATCGATAGGTGCCATCGATGTTTTTAACGAACGGCCAGGTCGCGGAAAAAACGCAGACATCGGAGAAAGAAATCAGAGAAATAAATACACAGAAATTAAAATAATAAGCTAGCTCGGAAGTGTCGTGCTCCGTGGTTTTATGGATACATCTCGATCATTTAACAAACGTGCGCGGCCCCATTTCCTATGACGACAGTGAGTTTTTACCCCGTGCTCATGTGCGTGCGAGGGTGTGTGTGATTGTGTGCGTGAGTTTCGTGGGGAACTTCTGATGGCTGAAAATGTTTAATTAGCAGCGAAATACGAACGAAAAGAACTCCTCCACCTGGTCACAGGCCAGAGAACTGTGCCAGGAAGGCTGGAAAAGTGCACATTGCAGTCTCTGCAATGGCCACCATGGCAAACAACCCCCCGCACTCGGTTGATGAAAATGTTTGTATGTGTGCTGCTGGCAGCGCAGTCGACGGCCAAAGAAAAGTCTGTAATAAAAGTGAAAATTCGGCTGAAAAAACTATTAGATTTTTAGCCCCTCCAGGTGGGAAGTATCCGGAAGAGTGCCTAGAACGCGGAGAATCCCGAGTGGTGAATCAAATCTTCTGCACTGATTGCATACGCCAGCAGAGCCACAGCAGCGCTGTAAAGTGCGTTGCGTCGCTGCCGTGGTGGTCGCCATCATAGCGAAAAAATATTGTGATCTTTCCGAGTGGAACGATAGATAATATTAATATTTTTGATTCCATTGTCTGTGCGCTAGACTTTTGAAAAGTACAGTGCCTGCATTTACTTTTGAACCAGCTCGCTCCTCTTTTCACTCTCTGCTCCTCCCCCTCCGTCGTAAATGTGCAATATGGCAGTTCGAATGCGTAAAAATCACAGTACTTTGTTGTTTCTGTTGCTGTGCCAACACGGTGCTCCTGCTGGCTCCCCGAGCTGCACCTAATTCTAGTGGGTACTGTGCGTGTGTGCATTGTAAAAGTAACTAGATTTCAGTGCTAATTTTGCCAAAAACCATACATATTTATGTACATGCTCGGTGTTCGGCTGTGTGTGTGTGTTTGCGTTCGTGTACCTGCGTTCGTGTGCCGCCTGTGTAAGCTGCGTGCGAGTGTGTATGTGTGTGTGCCTGAAAATGGAAATTATATAAAAGAAGCTTTCGCGGCTTAGGCTCCGCTTTTCCGAACGATCAATAAACCGGAGAGTTAGCAAACAGTCTGTGCCCGCTGTCAACTGTTTATAGCGATTCCGCTAAACAACAGTTGGTCAAGCCTAGTCGCAGTAACAGTCCATAAATTCCAATTGCACTCCTTCGCTTCGCACAACAGACGTACGGGGGGAACGGAACACATTAACTTTTAGCAGCGCACCAAACGCAGCATGCGACGACGCTCTGGACTACCCGTGTTGCCGCGGCCGTCGTCGATGTACTTTGCTCACTTGATACACAAAAACAGTGCTCGCCGCTCATCTCTAGGAGAGAGCGGTGGACTCTTCCTGATCAAGCATAGAAAAACTATACACACACACTCTCCGCACTCCCCACCCACTTTTACTCCCTTTCCGCCGCTGATTCTGTGTTTAGTGGTGCGTCCCACATCTCTGTGGACCAGCGTGAGCGAGTGTGAGTTACAACAACCACCGAGGCAGCAAAGCTTCCTTTTGTCTGTCTAGCTGGCAAGCCTCTAAAAAAACCCATTGCAAACCTCAGCCGGAACTCGATGCCGACATGACAGCGATTTTCAAGATGGCTTCGTTTCCGTTCTTAAACTTCACGCATACATTTTTCGAATTCTGTCAAGTGTCGCTTTCAGTATTCTTCCAATTCTGTAAAAATTCACTTTCACCGAGTGACGTGTTGAAGTCCTGCGTCCAAATGTTTTGAATAAAATTTGTCCATTTATTTAAATGTACGCACACACAGTAGACTCGCTCATTGCCTCGATATACTCAAACCCGCGAACAGCATATTGAGTTTGTAAGTTTATTGGTCGCCATGTTATACATACACACATGCGACGACATCCCTCCCTGTGTCCCGTGTGTCCGGGGATGTGCTTGTCTCTTGGCCGTGCTCGTGCTCCACTTTTGTATGCAACAAATTCTCAGTAACTGCTATTAGCTGTTGCACTCTTCCTAGGAGTGTAGAAGGAGAAAATAGGTTCGTTTCCCCCAAACGATTCTTCGATCCTGGCCGGTTTGGATAGGTCGTATTGTAGGTGTATCTGTCTCTGTCCTAAACCCCTGGCACCTCGGTTACTGTTTGTTTACCTGTGAGGGTTGAGTGCAGGCACCACTAATACACCCATACAAACGCACATACAGGTGTGCGGGGATTTCAATTTGATGTAGATACAGTGGGTCATTTTGTGAGCTATGGAAGTGTTTAATGTTTAATCAGTAAATTGAGTCTGAAAGTTACCATTGTCTACCTAAAATTGTATATTTACAGGCTGTATTCTAACCCTCAACTGCGCTGAAATCTGTTCTGCATGCTTTATCAAAACGGGTGGAAATGTAACGCTTTCCTTTGAGTCAAAACTCAAATAATTGTATTATATATAATTTGTAACATAAATTATTAGTCCTATCAACGCTTTAAGGCCTGTTTTGGTATCATTCTGACTCTGGGAAGTTGTATATCTAACACGTTATATCTAATACAATAAGAAAAATATTTCCTGAAACGTGTGTACAGATATACAGCACATAACATGCACTGCAACAAAGGACTCTCTTAAATAGAATCAAGATCTTATCTAAGATCTTAAAATTATCTTAAAGTATTAAGATTATGTCTTATTAAATCATATTCGATTTGTCAAAGTTTTGAATATGGTTCTCTAGACTCTAATAATTCATTTTCACATAAATATGTAATGGCAAAGGGATGGCATCCAGAGTTGCCATATCATCAAGTACAAAATGGGCAGGACAGGGCGGCTTTCAACCCTAACAATAACAACAAAAGCCAACTGACCGAAACGCGTTGAACATTATTCCGTTGTGAACTCCGGAACTAACCAGTAACGTTTCTCTCTCGCTTTTCAGAACCGGGCGGAGTAATTCGAATCTGAACCTACATTAAAGCCATGTCCGCCAAAACCGAGGCGGACAATACGACAGCCGCTCATTCAGGCGGCATCGGTGGAGGTGCCAACAGCAGCGGCTCATCCTCCGCCGGCGGCACAACGTCCGCCAACGGAACAGCGACTCCAGCGCGTCGCCTACGCACTCGCAACTCGACCGGCCACGGGGCAGCCAGCGGTGGAGAGTCCGCCAAGAAATCAAATGTCAGTGATGAGACCTCCTCCACTCCTATCACCCCGGCAGGTGCCCATATCACGCCCGCTGCAACCGGCCCGACGACGGTGGTTGAGCGGCCCATGCCCAGTGTACCGATGAACCATGCCAGCAGCAGCGTATCGGCCAGCAAGAAGTATCACAATAGCTGCCCCCATCCAACTCCTACTCCCCCGTCCGGACACAAGAAGACGGTGCACACTCAGCCGCATAGCAGCAACAAGTTCGATCAGGGCAAAAACGAAGAGTTTCACTTTGACACTCCGCAAGAATGCCCCGTATTTCGTCCCACTACCGAGGAGTTTAAGAATCCACTTGCCTACATCAGCAAGATCCGATCTATTGCTGAAAAGTGTGGCATTGCTAAGATACAGCCGCCGGCTTCCTGGTCGCCACCGTTTGCCGTTGATGTGGACAAATTGCGCTTTACACCGCGAGTCCAGCGGCTCAATGAATTGGAGGCCAAAACGCGCGTCAAGCTTAACTTCCTCGACCAGATCGCCAAGTTCTGGGAGCTGCAGGGCTCCTCTCTCAAAATTCCGATGGTGGAGCGTAAGGCCCTCGACCTGTACACACTGCACCGTATCGTGCAGGAAGAAGGTGGCATGGAGCAGACCACGAAGGACCGCAAGTGGGCTAAGGTGGCCAATCGAATGCAATACCCTTCCAGCAAGAGCGTTGGCGCCACATTGAAGGCGCACTATGAGCGCATTCTACACCCCTTTGAGGTGTACACATCCGGCAAAGTATTGGGACCCACACCAGCCGCAGCTACTGGATCTGCAGGCGGTACGCCGGTGAAGCTAGAGGACGGCGGTGGTGGCACCGACTACAAGGTCCATGAGATACCAACACGGCAGCAGATTGCGCCGCCAAACGAAAACAGCACTCGTCGCTCCAAGCGCTTTGGCAACTCCAGCGCTAGCTGTGGCCTAACCGGTGGTACTACGACGCCCAAGCCCTCCGCTACGGGGGTTTTCGTCAAGACGGAGCCCAAGGAAGAGTTTAAACGAGATCTGCTTAGCAGCTTCAATGCTTCAATAAATAGCGGTGGCAACAGCACGACATCAGCCGCAGGCGGGGGCCCTGCCAACACTCGTGGGGCCAACCAAAAAAAGGGACTTGGTGAACCCCCGGCCCTGATTGTCGATCCCCTAATGAAGTACATTTGCCACATATGCAATCGCGGCGACGTTGAAGAATCCATGTTGCTCTGCGATGGCTGCGACGACAGCTATCACACCTTCTGCCTGCTTCCACCCCTGACAAGTATACCAAAAGGTGAGTAATGCATAATTTCATTTTCATAAACATAATGTTCTTTGTGTTTAAAGACAAGTGCAACTCACCCTCCAATTCGACTCGCCATTTGGCAAATCTGTTTGTTAGTGGCGAGTTTTCACTTTAGACACCTGAACGTTTGTACACATTTGAAGTTATTAATTACCAGAATTAATAGTACGATTTTACTGCAATATATAATAACATTATATATTATTCTACATTTGGTCTCTGAAACATTTGCAATTAGGATCAAAGCTTTCCGAGTGCCTTCTCTAAAATAAAATTTCATTAGAAATAATTAATTTTTTTTAAAAGATAAATGTAAACAAGTTTAGTTCCAGTAGATTAGGTCGGCATACATATAATTTAAAGTGAATTTCTATGTATATCCTTATGTGATAAATCAGTTTTATATATAATCGGAAAAGAGACAAGTAAATTATTAATTTATTTCAACCTTTCAACTTTGTTGCACTTATGATAATTCACGCAAATAACATGAACCGTAGAAAAACATTTTAATTTAAAATGATAATTATACATATTCCAAATATATTTTTAAACTTCTAATAGTTACTCTCAATAATATCCTTTTTTCTTACTCAATCCTTTCCACAGGCGAATGGCTCTGTCCGCGCTGCGTTGTCGAGGAGGTCAGCAAGCCGCAGGAAGCATTTGGTTTCGAACAGGCAGAACGAGAATACACTCTGCAGCAGTTTGGACAGATGGCCGATCAATTCAAGCAGGAGTACTTCCGCAAGCCGGTACATCTAGTGCCCACCGAGATGGTGGAGCGCGAATTCTGGCGCATTGTGTCCTCCATTGACGAAGACGTGACCGTTGAGTATGGCGCCGACTTGCATACAATGGATCATGGTTCCGGTTTTCCCACCAAGAGCTCACTGTATCTGCTACCGGGCGACCAGGAATACGCAGAGTCCAGCTGGAATCTGAACAATCTTCCGCTGCTGGAAGATTCCATTCTGGGACACATTAACGCCGACATTAGCGGCATGAACGCGCCGTGGATGTACGTGGGCATGTGCTTCGCTGCCTTCTGCTGGCACAATGAGGACCACTGGAGCTACTCGATCAACTACCTTCACTGGGGAGAGCCGAAGACATGGTACGGTGTCCCGGGTTCCTGTGCCGAGCAATTCGAGGAGACCATGAAGCAGGCAGCTCCCGAGCTCTTCTCCTCTCAGCCCGACCTGCTGCATCAACTGGTGACGATTATGAATCCCAACATCTTGATGAATAACCGCGTACCAGTATTTCGAACTGATCAGCACGCCGGCGAATTTGTGATCACGTTTCCTCGCGCCTACCATGCTGGCTTCAACCAGGGCTACAATTTCGCTGAGGCAGTCAACTTTGCGCCCGCCGATTGGCTGAAAATGGGACGCGAGTGCGTCAATCACTACTCCATGTTGCGTCGCTTCTGCGTCTTCTCGCACGACGAACTCGTTTGTAAGATGGCTTTGGAGCCTGCCAAGCTGACCTTCGGTATTGCCACCGCCTGTTATATCGACATGGCCGAAATGGTAGACACGGAGAAAAAGCTGCGAAAATCGCTCCTCGAGTGGGGCGTAACGCGTGCTGAGCGACGGGCCTTCGAGCTGGTTAACGACGACGAACGCCATTGCCAGGAATGCAATACCACTTGCTTCCTTTCGGCTGTGGCCTGCGAGTGCAACGACAAGCTTATTGTCTGCCTGCGCCACTACACAGTGCTGTGCGGATGTGCTCCAGAGAAGCACACGTTGATCTATCGCTACACCCTGGACGAGATGCCGCTAATGCTGCAAAAGTTGAAGGTGAAGGCGCATAGCTTCGAACGTTGGCTATCTCGTTGCCGGGACATCGTAGATGCCCATACACCCACTTCGGTGACACTGCAGGAGCTACAAGATTTGTGCAAGGAGGCCGAGACTAAAAAATTCCCATCGTCGCTGCTAATCGACCGTCTCAATGCAGCGGCTATCGAGGCCGAGAAATGCGTCACAGTCATCCAACAATTGGGAATTAATAAGGTAAGTCGACATGTTTAACTCGCAACAAATTTCACTACTTCTTTTGAGAACAATATTTGGATATATATATCATTTTGGATTTTCTCTTTACATATGTACTGACTTCCTTTCTATCCATCCTAATTAATGCCATATATACATACATTTAAAACCGTACCACAATCAACCATTTTCCAGGTTCGAACCCGTTCCGATCACAACCAGGAGGCGGCTCAGTACAAGCTGACCATGGAGGAGTTGGAGCTGTTCGTTCAGGAAATCGATAATCTCTGCTGCATCATAGACGAGGGGGCATCGGTGCGTGAACTCCTTGTGCTTGGTAAACAGTTCGTGGATCGGGCGGACGGGCAGCTGCAACTGTCGTTGGAGGCACTGGAGGAGAGTGAACTGGAGACACTGATCAACGAGGGCAGCTCACTGCGCATTGAGCTGCAGCAGCTCGATTTGCTGCAGAAGCGGCTTAAACAGTGCAAGTGGTACAAGCGCTCGCAGGGTTTGCGGGAAACGAGTTCTAAGCTTACGTATCAGGACGTAAAGAACCTTTTGCACATGGCAGCCGCCGATCTGGATCCAACGGATCCTTATGTGGACCGGGAAATGCGCAAGCTCCAGCAGATTGGAGCGGACATCGAGTCTTGGGAGTCGCAGGCGGCCAAGTACTTCCGCCGACTGACACAACAGCACGAGTTGGCCGAAATCGAGCAGTTCCTCAAGTCGGCCGGCGATATAAATGGTCAAGTACCGTCGCATGGCCTGCTAAAGGATGCGCTACGCAAAGCGCGCGAATGGCTGCGGGCCGTGGAGCAACTGCAGCAGAACAACCACGTCACCTATTGCCACACGCTCGAGTCGATGATCGAACGCGGCCTGAACATACCAATTAAGTTGGAGGAACTCAGTCGGATGCAGGGTCACCTCAGCAGTGCCCATCAGTGGAAGGACAATACGGCGTGTGCTTTCCTCAAAAAGGGCACATTTTACACGCTTTTAGAGGTGCTGATGCCTCGGGCGGATGCCATTAATATTGACTCGGATCTCAAGCCCCGATTTCAGGTAAACTAAACAATTTAAACTCCTTAAATATTGGTTACTTTCATGACTCGTCACAGTCCACATCTTCCAAATACTCGCATAAATTAGATCATTTTGTTATTTAGAGTAAATTTTTAAAGAATATATTTATATTTATATATTTTTCCCGCAGGACGACTTTTAAAAGAAAAAAATCCGGCGGAGATTGTGGCCAGTTTTAAGAAGGCTGAGGAGCAAGAACTACTGGACATGCGCGACCTGCGACGTCAGAATATGGCCAAGAATCCGTTACGGGACATGTTCTGCCTATGCAAGTCAGAGTTCCGAGGCCTAATGTACAACTGTCAGCTGTGCCGTGACTGGTTTCATGAGGATTGCGTCCCAGTGCCATCGGCGACGAATCAAAATGGCATTCAAAACGGTGGAGGCGGCGGCACAGGAGGAGGAACGAATCGGCCGAAGTGGCTTTGCCCGAGCTGCGTGCGCTCAAAGCGACCCCGCTTAGAGACCATCCTGCCGTTGCTCGTTCAGTTGCAACAACTTCCCATCCGTCTGCCCGAAGACGAGGCCTTGCGGTGCCTGGCGGAGCGTGCAATGAACTGGCAGGATCGTGCCAGAAAGGCGCTGAGTAGTCCCGATGTAAGCGCCGCCCAGGAGGCGATACTCGCCCAGCAACAGCAGCAGAAGCGTCGATCCGAGGGCGTGGCCGGGGTGGGCAATATCAACAGTCCGCGAAAGCCGCGACGCCGCACCAGTCTCTCGAAGGATGCCAGCGGATCTACCGAGTCCGACGATGCCGACGATGATGATGACGATGACGATTGCCGACTGCGTATCGTTGAGGATGGGTTTAGCAACGACGAGGATGAGCACCGCTCCGCCGCCACAACTGTGACCGCTGCGGCGACCAACCCGACGACGAATTCCGATCTCCTAAAGCTGCTGTCCGACAGCGAAATTGAGAATCTGCTCGATCTAATGATGGAGGGTGACCTGCTAGAGGTCTCCTTGGATGAAACGTACGAGCTGTGGCGCATACTGGAGACGATGCCGCCCACCCTGCTAGAGGCGGATGCCATTGAGCGAGTTGCCATGCATTTGCAGCGCCAACTGCAACAGCCGCAGCCGCCAAATCCGCTGACCGCCACCTCGGGTGCGGAGGACTCCAACGATAGCCTTTTGGTGCAAAACAGTAGTCCCAACAGCAACAGCAACAGTGGTGGAGGGACAGCCTCGGCCAACACCAACAATAACAACAACAACGGTCGCAACAAGAACAAGAGGCGCTCCAATGATGCCAGCGGCAACACGGCCGTGCCGCGAAAGAAACAAAATACGCCCAAGCAGACGCCCGGCAAGAAGGGAGCGGGTGCGGGTGCAACCGCGGGACGTAAGAGTGACGCCTCAAAGGCATCGCCAGCAGCGTCTGCTCCGGGAGCCGGCGCCGATGCTGATGCGGAGAACAAGCAGGCCAATGGCGGCAACACTAACTCCAATGCAGGAACAGCGACCACCACGACTCCAACTGCTCCTGGTTCGGGGCACAAAAAACGCAAGCGCATCTCCACAACAACAGCCGCCGCAAACAACAATAACAACAACTCCAACACAAACAACAACGGCAACAATGCCAACAGTAATCCAGCCCAGGCAACAGGAACCGCCGTCAGCGGCAATAGCACAACCGGCGGTGGCCAAAAGAAGCACGCCCAGCGATCGCAGCAGGCCGCCCAAGAGGACGACGAGGAGGAGTGCCGGGCAGAAAATTGCCACAAGCCAACCGGGCGGGAAGTGGACTGGGTGCAGTGCGATGGCGGGTGCAACGAGTGGTTCCACATGTACTGCGTGGGCCTTATACGCAGCCAAATCAAGGCGGATGACGACTACATCTGCATTCGATGCACCAAGACGGTGGCAGTGGCGGCTCTTGCCTCCGGTGCGGGAGCCACGACGACGCCGACGACGACACCGGGAAAGCAGCGGGCAGCAGCGCAATCGGCGCGGTAAAGATGAGCATCGATAGATTTTAGATTTTTTGCAGTAACAGCCGATTTGTGTTTTACGCAATGATTTTTACAACTAAAAAAGGAGAAAACAACAAAAAAAAACTTGCAGACAAAACGATGAAAGTTTAGTAAAAGTCACTTGAAAGTTTTTGTAGTACATATATTTACCATTATCTAGCTATATATATTTACGCAGCCGAAAACGTAAAACACACACACTCTTTTAAACTAAAAACACAACAACAAAAAGAAAGGAAAATACAAAGAGCCGAACGAGAAAAGGTAACAAGAATTTTTGCATAGTAAAAAAAAACATAGTTTAAGTGAGAAACTGGAGAGAAAAATGCAGAAACGTAAAGAACAACATATAAATATTTGTTTTTTGTAAAATTTCAGCCACATTTTACGTTCGTTAAACGTTTTTATTATTATTATTATTATTATTTAAACTTACCATTTACCTGCTACTCTTAGTTTTTGTTAATTTAATTCCCTTTTTGTGTTCGGCTTGAGTTTCATACAATGCGCCCGCAGCAATGGATTTTTCCCATTTTATTTAAAGTTTCCCAAACTTTTGTTTTTTACTTATGTACATTTTTTGTTTACTTGAACAAATTAAAGAATTCTTCCAATAATTTACGCGTGGCGCCTTGTAAACACACACATTTCTTTGTATGTCTTAATGTTTATTTGAAAACGATCGATTTCAAAAGTGTAGCATAAACCCCAATTAAAAGAAAACCCAAGGAAAAACCCTGTTAATAAAACACGATCATACATACATATAAAATGCAGTTTAAAGCTAAGTTTACATTTAAAAAATACAATGAAAAATGTATAATTTTTAATTTATAATTAGTAAGCTGACTAGAACCCTAACTTGGAAGTAATAAATAAAATTATAAAAAACACAAAAAAATGGCAAAACATCTTGGTAAAATATTAACGTACAACCGAAACCAACAAGGCTTAAAGTTATAAAGCAAAAGAGCGAAAAACACTTTGTAAAATCGTTTTTTAATGTGTATAATAACTAAAAAAAGTGACAACCCAAGATAATCGATAACCAGACAAAAAAAGAACGACAAAACAGAGCCCTAAACAAATTAAGGATTAAACATTTAATTTCTTTAAGTCCATAATGTACGATGATTTCAATGAATAGTCCCAAGAAAATAAAAATCAAATAAAAAGGTAAAAAAAAGAAACTTTAACCTTCACGACACACCTTCCCCACAAAAATATGTAATTCTACAATATAAATAAATTATATATAAATAGCATTAAAAAAAACTACTGTTTGTTTTATTTAAAAAGCTAGAAGGGTGCAACGAAATTTGTTGAATCGCCAGACAGTGCTAAATTAATTTTTTAAGAAATTTATTTCTTAGTTTATTTTTAAATGTATACTATAAATTATTCAATATGAGAAGCCCCAATCTCTAAACGAGGTATTTATATGACTACTCATTTTTACGGGAAACACCAAACACCACAAGTAATTAGTCATTTGTATATTCTTGCCGGCACAGGTGTGTGCAGGTTAACACCTGGTCATAAAAATATGACAAATTGATAACAGAAAAGTCATTCCGGCTACTACCCTTAATAGAAAATGGGAAAGATAGTCAGGTTGTTTACAAATTGGTAGGAGAACTTTAGAAAGAAAAGCGCCGATATGATATAAGGTTTCATTACTAACAACTCCTGGACGATGTCCTTACGGTGTACTATAGATAATCTTTTATAGAAAATGGGTTAGAAGTTTGAGCCAGATCGGTTTAGTAATAATTAAGATATAGTTTACCCCAGTTTAAAAATTAAAGAAAGCCATGTACAATCTATGACTTCAAAATGGTACAACATCGAACTATTTATTTTAACTCAAGCTTAAACGACAATCTTAGATTCCCTACTAGGTGTTAGTTAATTCTTCGCTGTAGAAATAAACGGATGTACCCGTTTTAACAGTTAATTTTCAAGGTCCACTAGTTATCTTGCAATATCAGTCATATAACCGCATTTCTGTGCCATTCGATAGGGGCTTATCGAAATTATTATTATTATCACTTGATAGGCTACGTTTACATCCTACATTTCCACATGACGTGCGGCACGCAATTCAATTGCCATAAGCAAATCATTTCACGTGCTTCACAGAGATGTATTACCCGTCGGGGAGGCTAATTACAATTTTATTTAGTTATTTAGTAAAATGTTATTCCATACATCTGATTCTGAAAGAAATGAAGCTGTCTGATTGCATCCCAGTAAAACACGAAATAAAACAAAACGCATAGAGCAGTGACGTTACATTTATGTTCTTGAAAGCAATATAAATATATATGCATCGAAAAATCTAGTTCAATAGTACAATAGGACAAGTAGTTTACACACTAGATTTAATAGGCTTTTCAACTTATGAGGTAACAATTAATTAAAGCGCTTGAAAATGTTCCCTTAGCCAGGCCACCGATCCAAACTAAGCTCACAGTCTAGCATTAATACCAGATAATATATATATATACACGTAATTGCTCAAATCAAACGTTGCGAGTGTCTGAGTGCCTTCTTTATCTAATCGTCTTCTTTGGAGATTAGCAGGTGTCCATTTACTCCTCCTGACGTGGTAAATGTGTCTACAATATACATGTATAAAGAGTCGCTTTATGTCAAACGCTGAGATTGCATTCGTGCCAGGAAACCTTGAAATATCATCATCATCCAATCACTTATGAGGCCAAGCCGCGCTGGCGACGCTTTACACGAGCATAAGGACCAACTGCTGGGTCCATAATGAAGTCATACAAGACACGAGTCCAACTGGTGTGCTGCGGCATTGTTTCGTAGAATTCCTTGGCAATACGCTTCACCTCCGGCAGACGGGATCCAGGAACCGCAGGGAAGTCGTGATGCTCATTATGGTATCCCACATTGAATGTGATCCAGTTCAACGGGCCGTAATAGGAATACGTCTCAAAGCCCTTGGCGAACATATAGTGTTCTGAGATGAAGTGCCCGGCAACCGGATGAAGACCCATAGCCAGAATGCTGCCGATCAGCAGGTAGGCCAATGGCTTCCAGCCCAAAAAGTAAACGATCAATGCATTAAACGTCAACTGCACAACGGTGTTGATGATCTCGAGGCGCGTCGGTGGCTTTGGGTTTATCACCAATGGACGGAAAATGTAAAAGAACGGCTGTAGGCACACCCACAGGAACTTTCCGAATGTCGTGTCAAACAGGCGTGCCTCCAGAAGTGTTGGTATGTCCGTATCTATAGTCTCGTCACCTTGGTAACTGCAATGGTAAGACAAATATCTAAATTAGCAATCTGATAAATTGTAATAGGTTAGATATATGCTCATAAATAGATACATATATCAAGAGGAAAAGTCTATTTGATATATTAACATTTTAAATATGAAAAGGTATTTAAACCATGGCTTTGATAGATATCTCTTCTTGTTAGAGATTTTATCCAGAAGCAAGTCTCTAATCCTTTCAGAAAATTATCAGATTGTCTACGAGCTGATATCGCGAGGACCTGTTTTATCAATGTTAAAAAAAAAAATTTATGAAGATAAAATGGGTTTAAAGGAAAAATCATTTTATTCTTACGTTTATCCCTCGCCTCTAAAACCCATTCTTTCTAAGCCGTAAGTCAATAAAAGTTAAGATGTAGTAATATAAAAATCTAAGCATAGAAACATTGACTTCTCCAAGAACTTAAATAACAATTATTGCAGCTGGTCAACCGTTCTACAAAATACAGAACTTCCCGTTGACCAAATCCCTTAAATAACATAAATTATAGGCATTGGCGAAAGAAGAACTGGGATTAATCCAATCTCGAACCTGCTTATTTTTTATATATACGAACTGTTGTTGAGCGACATTCAACGATCCACAACGATCGCACCTGGACGATTAGATAAGCGCTTATCTAGAATACACTTTGGGTGAATGAGGGTGACTGTAAACATAAACATAGTATTGCTGAGAAATATAGGTATTGTTTTTGATTTTGTTTTCCGGCATAATTCAATTGGGGACTTTTGCAGAAAGAGTTTACGGCGGGACCCTCGATAGCAAAGTGACTCAACTCAACCGGCTCGGCTCTTGAGTGAGCTACGTGACCAATTGAAGAAAGCAGCCGGGTTCGACATATGCATATTACTATAGGCCATATATTCTGGCGGGAGTAATCTTATCGGCCCAATTCAGACGCACTCGATGGCCAAGACCAAACCCAACCATTCCACGAACGGTGAGTGGAGTGGAGAGGATGGGAAAATTGACTCACGAGCTTATCGAGGTGCGGACGGAGCGGGGGTAGTGTTGGGCAACGCGCGCCACACGCGGTTTAATGGGTAAATTGGACGATAAAGGGGATGGGCAGGGCAGGGCCGCTGGCGGAAAGGGGCTATTTTCACAGTTTACTGAGCGGCTGACTACGCCCCAACAAAAAGAAATGCTCATGTGTGTGCGCCAGTTCCACGAAAACGTCATGGAATCGTACGGATTCCCATCGACCAATGCACGTACCGGTGATGTTCCAGGTGGTACTTCTTGAAGGAAATGCTCATGGGCAGACCGATGGGCAGGTTGCAAATAAATCCCAGGATACGGTTGTGCATCGGGCGGCTGTGGCCAAAGGCCAAGTTGTGGGAAATCTCGTGCACAGCCAGCATCAGCGAATGGTTGATGATTCCGCCGAAGCAGTAGGCGGCCACCAACAGCCACGACCACGACAGATCCTTCACGACGAACAGCGCCAGGATTTGGGTGAGCACCATCGCTCCGGCAACCCATTTGAAGTTGGGGTCATGTCCAAAGAGCTTCTTAATTTGCGGGTACTTTTCCAGGATGATCTTGCGCCGCGAGGCGTGGGGCTCCTCCGTGTACACCCACTCAAAGTCACTGCGCGACACTTTTTGACCCATCGAACTCTATTGGATATTGGACTCAACTGTTTACGGAAGAAGTCTGAGTCGTCAGCGCGTTGACATTTTTGTGTGAGCCGGCGAGCAGGGATGCAAAAACATCGATAGTAGTCCGTGATTTATAAACATATTGATATATCGATATTTGTATTTTTACTTTATGGATACATTTTATAATTTACACCGAGAACGTCTTTTTTGTTTTCTAACTTTAAATATTTGTTTGTATCTGCAGACAAAATAACAACATAGAAAAAATGGTATAAAAACACAAAACCAAATCTGATTTAATGTAAAACTAAAAAAGTTACGAAAAATTCAACAATTTTAAAATCTGGGTGTCATTTGATAGGACAATATCCTAACTAATGATATAAATATATATCATAAATATGTATACAATTTGTTAAAAATTGTTTTTTATTCCTTAATTCGATTTATTTATGGTTGGATAAATTAAACTTTTTTTAAGTAAAAAAAAAAAAAAAACTATGTTTGGCACTTCGAAGTTCAGGCGTAAATTGTAAAAATAATTAATATAAATTATAAAAACAAAACAAAATGCCTAATTTAAGTATTATATTTACCTTTTTACATTAATATTTTTATTTTTCCTCTACATTAAACGGTAGATTTAAATTAAAACCGCAATTCTAGATTAATACAAAATTATATAAATAAATAATACAAAATTATACAAAAAAAAGGATAAATATGTCATCAAAAATCGAAAAGTTATATATGATATAGTCGTCCGATTCGGCGTAGAAACGGACAGACGAACATGGCTATATATATGTATATTATTAGCTTCTAACCAAAATTAAAATACCCTCAAAGGGTATATAATAATAAATATGAATTTTAAAAATTCTACCAGTAGAATATTAAATTAAAAAACCGACTTCGCTAGATCTTTCACTTACCTTCAATATTAAAACGTTACCTAAATATAAAGATACAACATATTTAATAAGAAAAACGCGACTCTAAAATCAAACTTGAATTGTAAAATTACTGCATATATAGGCACTCTGCTGCACCATCACCATCATAGGCCTCAAAGGCCCATGTTCATCATTCCCTTCATATGAGCTCAAAAAATCCTTTTTCGAATGTCCCAAAATTAGAAACATTTTTCTTTGTACATATTTCTATGTTTGCTGACAATAACCCAGATCGCACAGCTACACCTCCACCAAGGTGGCCCACAAAATATTGACTATATTAGACTACAGCTGACACATTGATCTCTACGTATAGTTTTGGCGATGTGGGCGTGTTGAATAGTTTGTTTCTTAGACTTGGTATATTTAAACATAGTGTGTACATATGTATTTTTGTATTGTTTTTAATATATTTTTTATCAATAGTTCTAGAAAAAGCGCTAAAACAAAGGTGTGGCAAAAAGATGTTGTGGATGTTGTGGCTTTTGCGTTTAGTTGTTAGCCCGTTTTAGCGAGTGGTGCCTTGAATCTGTTTCTGTTTCTTTTAAATATTCTCTTTTTAGATAGATGCAAATTGTTTTTGTATATATTTGTATATATTTGTTGTTGCTGGTTGACGACGCAGTTTTAAAATTGATGTTACACAAGGAAGGACTAAATGTTTACATGGTCTTCTCTGCGGGCCTTCGGCGAGATGTTCGTTGCCCCAGCGTCCGCAAGATGTTGTTGCCATGGTTGCTTGATGGAATTGCCGCTACTGCTCTGTTGTTAATGCCAGCGGCGTGTCCTTGATCGTTGATTGGTTTGTTGCTCTGCTCTGATGCCTTTTTGAATTGTTGGTTGAATAATAAATATTTAACTTTATTAAATTTTTGCGCTCGGTTGTTTTCGCTTTCCGCAGTTGCTTGCTTGGTTTGCTGTTTTGTTGCTCACTCACTTTTTTATTTAGAATTTTATTTCTTAGTTGTTTTTGCGGCTCAACAGAAAAAAGATCTAAATCAAATCGGCAATATTAGCAGGCATTTCCTCGATGGTTGTGTGGTAGAATTGTTCAATATCCTTAAGGATTCGTCGATCATCGTCTGTAATGAAGTTGATCGCAACGCCCTTGCGACCGAAACGACCACCGCGACCAATTCTGAGGGAAGAGAAGCACATTTATGTTAGTCACTGGTTGGTCCAAGACATCGATGGGTCCAGCTTACCTATGAATGTAGTTCTCACGGTTCGAGGGCAAGTCATAATTGATGACCAGCGACACCTGCTGCACATCAATACCGCGCGCCAGTAAATCAGTGGTAATCAGGACACGAGATGAGCCTGAACGGAATTGTTTCATGATGACCTCGCGATCACGCTGCTCCATGTCGCCGTGCATGGCCGAGACGGTGAAGTTATGGTTCGACATCTCCTGGGTCAGCTGGTCCACCTGTTAAATAAAGTTGCGCCTTACAAATCTGAGTATCTGGTGTCGAATTTTTTTTAAAAGGTTCTCGAATGAACCTCGAAGAGCAGTACAAGAGAGTGCTACTAACCTTGCGTCGGGTGTTGCAGAAGATAACCGACTGGGTAATGGACAGCGTATCGTACAGATCGCACAATGTGCCCAACTTCCAGTTCTCTGTGAACTGCTTGATACCCTCAAGGGTCAGCTCCTCCTTCTTCACCAGGATGCTAACTGGCTCGCGCATGAAGCAACGGCTCACCTCGAGCACGTCCGGTGGCATGGTGGCGGACAGCAGAATAACCTGCACATCTGGAGGCAGCATCTTGAACACATCCTGGATCTGATCCTTGAAGCCACGGGACAACATCTCATCAGCCTCGTCCAGGACAAAGAGCTTGATGTACTGAGTGCGCAGCACCTTACGATTGATCATGTCGTAGACGCGGCCAGGAGTGCCCACAACAACGTGGCATCCAGACTCTAGAATGCGGGCATCCTCGCGCACATTGGTGCCGCCGATACAGGCGTGCGAATGCACCTTCATGTACTCACCGAGCGCCATTACCACGCGCTGGATCTGCGTGGCCAGCTCGCGAGTGGGGGCCAGGATTAGGGCCTGGCACTCGCGAATGGACGTATCGATCTGCTGAAGGATGGCGATCGAGAAGGTGGCAGTCTTGCCAGTTCCTGTAATATAACAATAATGATAAGGAAATGGGTAAGTCACAAACATAATTATGATGCCATGAATCGTACAATCATCGTTGTTGGAGGAGTGATTTATAGCATTAATTATGAATAAACAACTAGTTTTTTTTTGCAGGTGCTGCAGGCAGGCTACAACAAGGGTGGGCCTTTTTCCCTTCTTTCTTCTTTTTTCTTCTTTCTCTCTATACTCATTTTGTTTCTACCCAAAATTCGTCAAAGTGAATCAGTGCAAAATGGGATCGGTGTTTGTAGGTAGCTGGTGGGGTGGAATTGACAAGAAATCGGCATTAACAGCTAGGTAGAAAGTCTGACCAGCATGACTTTCTTTCCAGGAACTTTCTTCTTCTGCCCAGGCGGCCTTAAAACGCGCCACAAAACGCAGCTGGCTAGCGAAAAGTGGCGCGCAAGCGTAAAGACGCCAAGAGAGACGCACACACAAAGAGAGAGTGAGATTGGTAGAAAGAGAAACGCAAAGAGAGCGCGAAGCGCAACTCAAAGATAGAAATTCCAGACGCAGAGCGCTGAGTCACCAACAATGTCACTTTTATTTATTTTTTTTTTGTTTAAGCAAATTTCTCACATACTCAAATATTGCACATTCTCGAAAGATTTTCAATGGGGCGGGGTATAAGGGGATCTGGGAGCACACTTACCCGACTGCGCCTGGGCAATGACATCGCGACCCTTCACGCAAGGAATGATAGCGCGCTGCTGGATGGCCGACGGCTTCTCGAAACCGTAACCGTAGATGCCGCGCAGCAGCTCCTCGCGCAAGTTCATGTCATCAAAGTTGTCGTACACCTCATGCCAGGTGGACTCGATGACACCCTCGGGGTCCATGCCGGCGGGACCATCCTGAGCTATTTCACTTCGATCATCCCTGCAAAACGAGACATGGAAAATGCGTTAATATGTGGACTCCAGAACCGGAGGGGGGAGTGCTGGAAATTTTCCAGCCGCAATTTCTAGGTTATGTTGAGGCGCATCGAATCGCGCTTGGCAACCGTCGTCGGCCGCGAAACAGGAGCTGCACTCACATTATCAACGATAAAAAATTGACTAGATTGGTTTATATCCGGAATTTCGACGACTTAAACACCGTTCACTCAAACAATTTCCGTGCCTGCTGTCGTTTGGGACAAATGAGTAATGGAGAATTTGAGAGTTCCCTGCTCTGTTTTCCTGCCAGTCGGTCGAGTGACGAATCTGTTTTTGCTTTTCAGCTAAGTTTCTGCTTCTGTTTTCACGTACAAAATACGAAATGAGACTGCGAGCTGCGACGACCGCTAGGCGGCCTTTTGAGCGGCGAGCGCCCGCCCCTGAGCGTGTGTGCGAGCGAGACGACCCCAGTGTTGCGTTTGTCAATGTCAGTGGTTGCTGCCGCTGCGAGAGCAGTCGAGCGATATGGGCTAGGCACGTAACTGCGGTGCCAGTATTGCTTAACGTCCGCAGGCCGCAAAATGGCAGTAGCCGGTGGAAAATGGCAGTAGGAGCGGACGCAAAGCCGACTGGCGTACTTTTTCAAGGTGCGTGGGCCGCCGGAGAGAGCGGGAGGGGCAGCGGCCAAAGATGTAGCAATCTACTAAAGATAGAATCGACGACGGCATTGAAGTGTCCGGTGCGTCTTTGTCCAGTCATGGATGAGTCAAGCGGCAGGCAAATGGCCGCCGAGCAAAACGCCTTCGTCATCGGACAGCGGCAATAATTTCGCTTAATTCGCATTCTGGTATTCCATACGAAGTACGAAATCCACCCAGCAGAACGCCAGTGGAACAACCACCACGCTCTCGCTCGCTCTCCCTCTCTATCTCTCTCGCCAGCTCTCACTTCCCGTCTCGGTCTGTCATTCGCGGACAGCCGTCGTGTAATTTTTTCCTTTGTGTTTCACATATTTCCGACCGTCAGAAATTTTCGATTCGAATTTTCTCTATTACCGCACAACGCAATTCGCCTGAAACCGAGCCCCGCCGATGGCCCCCGGGTTGGCCCGCCCGCTTTTCACACTTCGGACGCTTAACTTAATGGTTATACTAACATTTTCTGAAAATTTTTTGGCACTTTTTATACACGTGCTGCTACTGATTTGTTAACCAAAAGCAAAAGAGCTAGAGCCTTGCCGATACATCGATACATCGACGATACTTCGATGTTCCGGGTAAACATTGAACATCGATACGATTTTGACATCGATTTATCGATGTTTATAAGCACAAAAACGTTGTTTTTTTTTATAAATGATTAATCTATATTTACGGTTACGGTTTATGTGCATGTACACAGCTATTCGAAACATATTTTAACTATGGAGTACAAGCTGGCCACACGGTACAGCAATTAAGGCAACAAAATGTAAACAGCTGCTCGTTGAGGAGTGAGTGAGGAAAGGGGGCTACACGAATACTGTTTCTATTTGAAATTGCTTTAAGAAACATACTGTTTTGATTGTTGTCTTGTTTATTCATTTTCATTGATTACCGTTGGGAAAAATATGGTACAGTTTTTTCCTCATTGTCCTCATTGTAGATAAACCCAACCACTTTGTCAATGGGATATTTATATTTGATTACACTTCTAGTGTTTTTCTCATCAAAAATTATTATTATTATTTATTATTTTTATTTTGTACTGCTCGTAAAAACTCGCATTCGTCATTATAAACAAATCGGAAAATGCTATCTTCGGTTAAGTCCAAGTCGAGAAAGCAGTCTGATTGGAATCACGTGAGCGAGCACGATATATCGATTACTTGTAAGTTAAATGTTTCGATAGTGTCAAGAGGAGGAGTGGCAGCACTGGAGGATCGATCCCATGGCGTTGCCACAACTTTTGAGTTTAGAGCTCTTTTGGGAATTCTTGGGAAGTAAATTAAAATTATTACAAGCAAACAAGTCATTTATAAGAAACACATAAGAAGGAATTTCCAGACAGATCAGGAGAATAACAGGCGTTCTAAAGCAAGCCGCAAAATCTGTTGCTGCTGAACGCTTCTGATTGGAAAGCTCATTGGCACCACTGGCCCCCATGACAGTTAAGACAGATTTCAGGAAAAAATTGAATAGAATATTCCCTTTTTATAATTTTGTATTATATTGTATGTTTTAAAAGCTTTTATAATTTAAAAATTGTGGTAACAAAATGTAGTAACCATTTCCGTGAATACAAATTGTATATTCAAAATCTTAATTTTTTATAAGATAGCACACGAAGTAAAAATATAAAAATGTTGTATTACAATAAATCGTTGATCGTCTCCAATTTAAATTGCTAGGAGACACTAAATAATTTTATAATGACCTATTTTTAAAGCTATAAGCTACGTAATTTTTTCCATGCCAAAGTTAGCCAGATCTAGCTCGAATTAAGCCAAACTATCGATGTGTCCAAGCATTAACGTAGAGGTGCAAAAACATCGATAGACGAAAACATCGATGATTTAGAAAATTCTAAATACATCGATGCATTGGTGTTATCATCGATGTTTACACATCTCTAATAAACAGTAGTTTTCTTGAACAGTGTAAGTGGGAATTTTATAAAAATCCAGGCTATTCTTGCAATTCAGTGTAATGGCCAACTGTTGGGGTAAATTGTAGAAACTAGGGCAACTGGTGTACGGAATTCGCGCTATGAATCGAGCAGCAAAACTCACACATGTCCGGCGGCGTTGCGTCGTCGCGTCCGTGTGTGTGTATATGTGTGTGCAAAAAGTCAAGTGGGGAAAAGTTCGGCTGCCGGTCTGTGCGAAAAAATTTGGTGTAGCACGGAACTATAAGTAAAATCGCCCACATATAGGTGTTGAAATTAAGGTCTATTTTTAATTTATGACACTCAGTGCCGGCCAGGAAAGGCGATTCATAATACACTCACCAACACCCGTTGAGTCATCGTCTGCTCTCTCTCACTCATCTGCATTGTCCGCTGCCGGCAGATTAATAACGGCCCGCCGCACACGCCCATCTCGCTCGCACACACGCACGCTCCAGGCGGGCTGCACTCGCTCTCTCTAGAAGAGAGTGACTCACAATTGAGTGCCTTGCGGCATTTCTGAGCTGGTTTTTCCAGATAGCGAGCAATCGCTATCGAGACATCGATAGTGGGACTGACGGTAAAACTCGACGAGCAGGGAAGTGGGGCCGGCAATAGGGGACAGAAACGGAGATAAAACCATATGGCGGTGACCAAGTTTGGGCAAATAAACCACTTCATTCATAGCGATTTGCGCTCACTATCGCTATCGAATCGAAGCACTCGATATATCGATATATAGAGAGTGGCCGCCGACCAGCTCTGCCGTCAATCCCTCAATTAAATTGAGTCAATTTCAATTTCTCACTTTGTGCAAGTCGGACGTGTCGTTGGAGCTGCCGTACGACGGTCCCTGTTTCTGTCTCAGTCTTTGGTCTCTACCCCCTCGCCGCCTGTTCGTGTCGTGTGGCTGTGCCTATAGTGTGTGTGTATATGTGAGTTTTTCGGAGGAATAAAATTCGATTCGTCGTTGTCGCTGGTGCAAAGTGTGCGCTTAGTTTATCGCCCCAGTCGAGTCCCAAAGTCAGTAATCAGCGTTACTAACAAAGTAAAGAAAAGGCCCAAGAGCGTACAGTTTGCGAAATTAGCGGGGGGCAACGATTGGCGATACGATATAAAACGATAAATGTTAATTTTTGTCTACCACTCTCTCCCCCTTCTCGTTGCAGTTCGAAATTAGTAACCCCGAGAAAGAAAAATCGTCAGCTTAGCGATTTTCCTTTGTCTCCCTGCAAATTTCGTGAGACCCCCGAAACGAAAGAGAGAAGAGACGCGCCGTGCGGTAAACCTGCGATACCAACCAATACCAATCCACTCTTAATCCGCACACCCACGACCACCAAAAACAAAGCACCATGAGCTGGCAAGATTATGTGGACAACCAACTCCTGGCCTCGCAGTGCGTGACCAAGGCGTGCATCGCCGGACACGATGGCAACATCTGGGCCCAATCCAATGGCTTTGAGGTGAGTACTGATACGCGGGTGTCCCTGGAAAAGCACCGCATAGTTGACAATGAATTTTCGCAAGTTCAAGGGTGTGACTCGCGCGCTCTCACTCTCTCCCACACAAAGGAGGCGCCGCACATGCATGGCCGCCATGATTATTTCGTTTGAGTTTCGGTTTGATAAAGCATCAGGCAGCAGCAGCAGCAGCTCAACTCCCACCCTCTCTTGCTCAATCACACTCTCCAAGTTCACCCCCTGGAGCGTTGCTCTCTGCGCAGGCCAGCTCTCATTCGACCCCCCAAGAGAGTGCGATTTTGTGTTTGTGTGTGTGCGTGATCGTGTGAGATTCATCTTCTAATCTTGGCTTAGTGCTACGATAAGAGCTGTCGCTAAATTGCTAATTTTAATAGAGCAATTAGACGTTTTAATCACTCGTCTATCAAATTGTCATTAGTGATTTTCGGTGAGTCATGCGGCGGACTTGGTCACAGCTTGAATTTAGTTAGCGGAACAACGGGTGATAGTGGAGGGGAAGGAAATGTGATATAAACAGTAGTTCCCAAATGTGCAGATGTTGACTTCTCGGTATTATTCAACACTGATTCCTGATAATGCATCCACATCCACTCCCTTTTTCTAGGAAGAGCGTAAGAAAGAGAACGAATACTGGTCGCCTTTATCAGTCTCAGCCGATATGATGTGTTGGTTTTTTATCTCCGCCCGCTTCTGTTGTTGTTCGCAAAAATCTCTTTATCGCAGCTAAATGAAGGAAACACATATACATAAATACATACATATACACCGATGCCGCGTCACCATGGGAGAGCGCCCTAAAACTTCTTGAGCATTTCATATGCGCGCCACGTTTTTGGTTTTGTATAAATGAGTTTGTGCTCTCGTCGAGTTTTTATATGTATATATATGTGTGTGTGTGCGTGCGACTTCCTCCTGACTCCATGTGCTTTTATCCTGCTCTCCGTCGTCTGTTGCGCTTCATTCGACTTCAGCCACTCCCTTTTGCTTTGTTTGTCGACGCTTCCAACAATATATCGCAATTGCACTATAAACCGATTTTAGCCATGAGTTGGCAGTCGTCTTGCCACAGCGTTTTTTCTGTTTTTTTTTCAGTTTTTAAGCCGCTTTGGTCCGTTGTCAACGTCATCATCTCTTCGACTCTCGTCTCTGTCTTATTGCTTGACATATTCTGCACGCGTATCACTTTCGTTCAATTATCTTTCCTATTGCTTTCCCATCTGCCTTTTGTTTATTTTTCTCCCTTTCGCATTACCTGAGTTACCTACTTTTGATTTTAGCTTTTCGATTTTTATATTTCATTCGCATGATTCACCACGACGAATATAGCAGATTTTTTCCTTTCGCGATTGATCTGATCAGCTGCTCTTTGAGCCTTGCCAGACTGTTTTTAGAAATCTCCAAAGCGACAGCCATTCTGGGAGCTTATCAAAACGACGACGTTTGTTTGTCCTCGGTATTCTGCTTTTTTGCAAAAATTGCTTGCCAAATAAAAACACACCTTAAAAGGCAAAAGATGTGTTTTATTTTGTGCAAATAAAAAAGGTTCGTTTTTGTTCATTTGTTAAGGTTCTAGCTATTTTTTGTTTTGAATGCTTGCCTACGTTTGCTCTGCTCAATTTAATTAAATATTTGGCATAACTTTGTAGGCAAAAACCGGCTTCTTACGGAACCTCTCTCTCTTTCTATAATTTCTTTGTCCCACTCGCGCCGCTCAATAGAAACTTCTCGATGCTGTGTTTGAGTGGTTTTGCGCATGTGTCACCGTTTTTAGGGTAAAGATTAATCACACTCACATTCGATTTATAAATTCGATTTGATTCCCTCCTCTCTCTCTCTGAAGAGCAGCTGTTTCCTGCATTCAAATCTAATGACATTGGAATGCTCTCCCGCGCTCACTCACTTACTCTCTTCCTCTCTCTTTTATATCTCTTTCTCGTTATCGCCCTCTTTCCCTGTGAGTGACTCTTTTTTTCTTCTTTTTTGGCCGGACAAGACATTCAAGTTTGCAAACTTGTTTTATCGGCAAGATATGAAGCTAAGTATTCTTAAGCCGAAGTTTCAATATCCTTGCAATATTGTTCCTGCTCATATTTAAATATATATACTTTCGAGGTGCTAGAACTTTTCACCACTTTCCTTTCTACTTGTTTAAATTTCTTTAATGGCTCAGTGGCACTCCCCTGGCACTTTCACCCCCTCATAGTCCTGTTTTCACCACTTGCATGGACCCGACCACCTTTTGTTAATGAGTTGGCAGGCCGTCGTCGATGTGGCCGCGCGTGTTGTTGCCAACTGTTGGCAAAATGGGTGGTGGTTTTCGCTGGTGGTTGGTGGTTCGCCTTTGCGTGGGCTGCCGCTGCGCCGTCCATCGCTTGATTACTTTGATATTTTAACAGAAATTAATGCTTTGTGTGTGCGCGCCTGAAAAGGGCGCGCCGCCACTACAGCGAAATTTATTGAAATGCGTGCGTGACCCGTAAGCCATTCCACTAATCCAAAACCCCATCTTTCCATATGTTGCAGGTGACAAAGGAGGAGCTCTCTAAACTGATTAGCGGCTTCGACCAGCAGGACCTGCTCACCAGCAACGGCGTAACACTCGCCGGCCAGCGGTACATTTACCTGTCCGGCACAGATCGCGTGGTGCGCGCCAAGCTCGGCCGAAGCGGAGTCCACTGCATGAAGACAACACAAGGTGAGAAATGTTGATATTAAGGATCTATGCCCTTTATTTCAGATCAGTTTTATTGCCTTCGACATCGATAAATCGAAAGATAAAAATTATATATATATATATATATAAGATTATGCCATTCATACAGCTTTGATTTATTAATGATTAAAAGAAAATTAAAATATATTGATTATCTAATCTGATTAATATAAATAAATATAAATATATATGAAGTGTAGCAATTCAAAAACTTGGTTAACTAAGCTTTATAGTCTCTTGACCTCTTTGTTATGAACCTTTTAATTTCAATATTCTTCGAAAAAATATATTATAAAAAAAGGTACAGAAATAATTATAACTTTTAGAAATTTAACGAATCTTAAAAGCTTTGAACAAATATTTAGGAACTTTATATGGATTATTTTAAATTCAGTTCTTGGAAAGTGTTAAATGTTTATAAGCAGAAATTCTATTATATTATATTGTTTTTTTTTTCGCATAAATTTTTTGTTGAAATTTAAAATCAAATAATAATTAACCATGCTAACTACATTTTCCCCTTTTTCTTGGGATCACTTAGAAATCAAAAAGATTTTAAAATATATTATTGTTGTTTAAAATCAATTGATATTTGCGATTTAGAACTCACTTAATTTAGTTTGTATTGTGTCTTTAAATTATTTTCATTATGGTACATCACCTTAGTTATCTAATTAATTTTAGCTTATCTGTGTTGAGGGTCCCTCTAGTTAAATTTAACTCCCAGAAGTGGGCTTCCTGTTTTTTGTTTAAATGATTATTCTTGACTCATCCAAGTGGTTAGCCAACTAATGACTAATTCATTAGCTCTAGCTCCTGTTTTGGACAGTTTCTATATGTTCCGCAAATCTGGTGCATATAGGTAGAGTTTTTCATCAAGTTTACTACCTAAAATGTCGAATTGCAAGAGAATTCACTAACCATTTCACCTTATCGATGGGATGTGTCTGCCCCGCCCTGATAACAGCTATCAGCTGTTTCTTTGTGTGAACAACGACAAATCCAAAAGCAAACGCACACAGACAACCAACAAAATGGTTTAATAATACTCATTTTCGTTGACTTATCGTTGGTGCAAAGAATTTAATCCAAAAAAACCAACCCCTATAAGGAATTTTAGTAGCCTTAAATGAGTAAAGTTTTGTTAAGAACTCACAATATAAGTAATGTTCCAAAAAGTTGAGCTAAATCACCAAGAGACAGAAAAAAAGAGAGTGGTAAACTAGGGACGATTATCATTATTATCATTATTTTATGTGCTGCTACTGCTGCTCCATTTTTTTTTTTGGGTCAACAAGCGTCGCTTTGTTTCGTTTTTTTTCAGCATCTTTAGCTAAAAACAAAAAAGATCTTGGCCATGTCAATGCTGTTAGCTCTTCCCCTCACACTCACTTCCCCCCAGATAGCTAGGTTGCCTCAATGGCAAGAAGCTAATTTTGATTTTTGTTGCTGCTGCTGGTGATGCCGCTGCTGCTGTTGCTGCTTCTGCTGTTTGCATTTACGACCAGTTTGTTTGCTGACGCGTCAGCCGTTCCGCGCGTCCATATTTGTACAGTTTTTGCGGCAACTGTTGCGCACCATACACACATTCACACACACAATACAAAATAACACAACACAACACAACACAACACACTATTCACATTACCCTCTCCGCTCCGCCAATGCAACGACAAGCTCAAGGTTATTGCCATAATCCATTTCAAGTGCAAACGACGTTGCACAGTGTATAGGAGCGGCATAAAAATAGGAAAATAGGCAAGAAATGGTAAAAATAATCCAAACTGGTCTCTGTCTGGCCGTGTTTCATGCTTGGTTCTTCACCTCCTCCTCCTTCTGCTCCTCCTCCTCCGTGGCCAGTTTTGCTTTGGACCCGGCCAACACACGCGGGCGCCAGTTGAGCCATTGAGCTGCCTCCAAAACAGCTGATTGGGTAATTTGAACGGTTGGCTGGCCTGGGGGCCTACGTATGTATGTATGCCACAAAATTGCACCTTTACACTCTACTTGAAATATCTATTATCTTGACCGAATGTCGTCGGGTTTGCCTTTTTGATGGTAGAGGTTTGCTGAAGCGCCGCCAACCCGCAAATTGGCATTGTTTATGATTTATTTTAACCGTCAGAGTTAAGGGTAAATGCAATTCGATATGACTCTGGTTATGCTTGAGAAACTAAACTGACAGCGGGGGCAACAATGTATAAAGAGCAAAATAAATATGGGTCTGGTTAGTCTTTCTCTCGTATCAAATTTGTATCTAAGAGTGCATTATAAGCAGGGCATTACAACTTAAATCGGAAGCTTTTAAAGCTTTGAAGGATTATATTCTTGATCACAGCATCAACAGCAGATTTATTTTATTTTTTTCTTAAGTAATAACAAACATTTGAAAATTAATTAATTAAGTATTTTTTTATTCAATATTCTATTTATATTTAATGTGTTCATTGCACCTTGGCTCCCTAATTAGATAGGACCAACAGCAGGTCATCGCAGGTGATACTTTTAATATTTTGCCTCTCTTATCGTCTAAGAGCTGGGGCCCGGTTTATTGACCCTGAGTCGCACTTCCATTCATGCTTCGATTTTGAGTTGAACTCGATGCTCTCTGCTGTGCGCTCAATCAATTAGGTCTCCATCACTTTTCTGCTCATTTGATTAATGTGCGTATTTAGCCACTCAAGTCGAGACTTGTCTCATTTGGAGCCCGAGTTGTTCTGGTTCGCTATTGACGTGTCGTCTGGATGGTGGTCGTCGCCTGTCCGGTTTTCACCTCTCCGCTCTCCGTGCGTTCTCTTTTTATTCATAATTTCTATTTCTCGTCGAAGCGATGCTGCTTGCTGTTGTAATATACTGTTAGTTTTTATTTCTCCACCGTTGATAGCGGTGGCTTTCTCCTCACTTTTGAGAGCATCATTGGCAACCGGATAGACTACTGGATTTCTACTGATTTTTACCACCAGCTATATATTATTATTATTACCTTGCATTGAATATAAGCTAGTAACAAAATATTGATAAGAAATTCAAATGAAATATTCTTAAACTGATTGATATATGTATGTACATAGTTCGATGGTTGGTGGATTACTTGATATTTTTTGTTTATTTAATGAAGCACTAGTCGGTCTTTGAATTAAATCGATTGCCTTTTACGCTTGAATTGGGGTTTTTACTTATATGATACTTTAAAATTACATTATAGTTACATTATAATATAATATAATATAATTGAAATAAACTAGTTATTTAAACTCCAAGTGATATATTGCTAATAAATTCATATATTTTGTAATATCCTTTTGCAGCCGTGATCGTGTCCATCTATGAGGATCCTGTTCAGCCCCAGCAGGCCGCTTCCGTCGTAGAGAAACTTGGAGATTATCTGATTACTTGCGGGTACTAGGAGAATAAATCAACACAACACAAAACACAACACAGCCCCATCATCCACATAACATACACACAACTACACACACACGCACCTACAACAACAGGATGAAGAAGAACAGCAGCAACAACAACAACACATTTGATAAGAGGAGGAACCGTAAATGAACTAATTAACAAATACATAAAAAGAAAGTAATTATTAATATTTAAAAAATTTATGGAGAAAAAGCAACAACGGCCAACAAGATAATTTGCGGTTTTTTGTGTGTAGCATCAGAAGAAATGGAAGAAGGAGTAAATGCAATTGCTAAAAAAATGTCAAACGCAAAAATAATTACCCAATTACAACAAAATTATAAATTTCTGCATTATTATATATTTAAAACTTTTGGTTTATACGATAAAAAAAAGAATAAAAGGAAAACTCAAAACTGAAGCGCATCATCCCCCATAATTAAGCGAAATCGAAGACGAATCAAGTCCAAAAACGAATGTATTGGAAACTTTCAATGTAAACAACAACACCAATCAGATACTTGAAAATGAGCAGGCAAATTTTTAAAGATCTTTATGTATATTTATACATGCAAAACACAAACACACATACGCAGGTTTTATACTAAAAAAAAAAATACGAACGAGAGAGAGAGAGTGAGAGAAGATTTCAATTTGACAGACGGACAGACAGCAAAGGAGGAGGGAGAGAGAACAACGGAAATAAAGTGAAGGGAAGGAGAGGCAAAGAAAGCAGAAAACACACAGGAAAAAATACCAACCAATATAAATAAATATGCCTATATATATATATTTATATATGTAAACTATTTGGAGATCCATCCCCGGTGCTCTATTTTTACTCTATTTATGTGGTTAGAAGGGAAAAACGAAGCAAAGAAAACATGAACACTGCTACATTTTTTATACAAAATAAGAAAGAGGAGAAAGAGAGAGTGGGGAGAACTTTGTCAAGCTTAGATATCACCACACATACATACGTGTTCACACTCCAAAATTTTGTGTTCCCCCACGCCCGTGTCTTCTCTCACTCCTGCGACAAGTCGCTCTTCTCCGCATCGTACCGACATCCTAGCGAAATTGTGCGGCTAAATGCATTATTTAAGCATTATAGCATATAGCTTATGTTATGTGTGAGCTGGCAGTTCTCCTGGAGGACCCCATTCTTTGCGTGAATCCCAAGAGATTGCCATTTAGCATTTACATAACGATAGCGATAACTAATTAACTGCGTACGTGTACGAGTATTATCCAGCATTCAATATTTAAACGGCTTTTTTTACGTTTAGCTAACACACTGAAAGACTTCTTTCGCGCTCTCAAACACTAATTCTCCTTTAGAGATCCATAAATCCCGCCATCGATCCCGCTTCCTCCCTTTCCCGCTCCCAGACATTTTTCGTAAAAGCATGAAAAAAGAAAAACAAAGAAGGAAAACCCCTGAACGCATAAATATATGGATATAAAAAGAAAACAAAAACAACATATATAATTCGATACTTTAATACTATTGAAATAAAAAATGCGAGTGAGACAACCGAAAATGCTCCTCATTAAAAATTAAGCAAAACATCAAATCATTATTTCTGGGCGGGCAATGTATGGATCGTATCCATGAGTTTTGGTAAGCTGCCAGAGACATTTCAGATTTTGTAACCTCGTAAATTTTCTGTGTATATATTGCATATATTTAATTTTATTTACGTTTTGTGCTTTTTGAATGCTTTTTCTTTAAATTTATATTGAAAGTCAATGCTCTTCTGTTCTTTACCATTTTTGGCCTATGCGGACTGCTGGCTATTTTTGTATTTCCAATTCACATAAAACGGCTGACGCAATGGCGCAATTATTTCTTTTGAAAATGTTATACATAAAAGAGAAATGTGTATTTATTAATTTTTCTGCAGTTGGCGTTATCTTTCGGCTGCCAGTGGAGGAGACGTGAGTAATTGTCGCTCTGTGTGCTTCTGCTCGGCTGGCATCTCGCAGAAAACATTGACCCACATCTGGTACATACCAAGGCATTTTCTGAAAAAAAGCCACCTAAAAAATCGTTATATATATTTTGTTTGCAATTATATACATGGGAATGTATCTCTAGTAAAAAAGTTTTAGAATACCAACACTTCTAAACGAATAAACAGCCCAACGGGAAAGCTTTTCAACAAATTAATTTAAAACAAAAAGGGAAGCTAACTTTAACACCCCTGCAAATTGCGTTCCATTATTCGGACAAAGCTAAATCGATTATACTTCTGAAAAGATAATATAGTAGTAACTATAATTAAAATACCCTGCAAATACTTTGAAGTTTTTCTATTCCTATACTATATCTTTTTCTATATCTTTTAATCCTATATTCCACTTGCACAGTTTCATTCACTTTCCCTTTCTTTTTCTAAAATACTAGACTTTTGCTCAATCTCTTGCAGTTTCGGTGAATCTTAAAATAAATCGGAGAAAGAGCTTAAGGGGCGGGTCAGGAAAGTTAAAGCCAAGGCTATAGCTGCTTGACAACTTTTATTAACTTAGCAATTAATCACAAACTATGCCGTTGGCCTTTAGCAGGTCTGATCACTTTGCAATTTGAGGCGCGTGTGCCTTCATTTCCATCTCTAACGGCGAAAAATAATTTCTTTGGCTGCGGGGCGAGATTGATTCATTCAATAAAATATGCAAATATTTTCCACAATTTATAGATGTTCGTCTAAACATAGCTTGTGTCTGGTTTTGTCACTAGGTTGCTGCACACAATCAGATATCAGAAATCAATCATTCCCTAATCATTTGATTTTGATATGATATTTGCCGGGAAAGTATGGTAACCTTTACTTTGGAAACACAGTTGCATATAAATAATAACATTCTTAATAATAATACTAATAAATTTACACAATCTTATAATGAATTTTACTTTAATTATTTTCTTAAAACCTTTAAATTAATTTTGCAAAAGATACTCTCTTGATGCTATCCCATATCTATACAGTCAATTTCAGTAAAAACATATTTCCAAAGAAATATTATGAAATTCTATAGTCCCAATTGGAATACCAAATTCCTTAGAATCCCACCTGACCCTCCCACTGGCGAAGCTGTTCAACCGAGAGCCAGAAGATGACCGAGAAGGGTCCAAGACGAAACCAGATGGGTATGAAGCCCTTGTATAGCGTCAACGCTCCCTCTTCCTTCACCAGCTTTCGAATACAGTCCAAAGAGCTCTTATAATATAGATTCTTTCCGCTTTCATCCACCGGCTGGTTCATCATCCGTGACTTGATCACATCAGCCGGAGTACTCAGCACGGATGCCGTGAACCCGGCACACATGGAGGCACCGAATCGCAATGGGATGCCCTCCTCCAAGCCCAGGAAGCGCTTCAGCATGCGCTTGCTCAGGTCATAGGTGCCCACATCACCGGTTGTCATCAGGCAGGCCCTCAAGCAGCTGGGTCCTACGCCCTTCCACATGCTGGGCAGACCTCCCTGCCTGTAGATGTCCCCAAAGGCCTGGACCATGTTCTTAACCCGCGGCTCATAGCCCAGCTGAAGTCGTCGGCCCTCCGTCTGCATCCGAACCTTGACAATGTCAAAGGGGTTGGACAGCCCTTGGGCTATGCAACCTGCCGCGAAGCTACAGCCCAAGGCCCAATGGGTTCCCAGCCTTTCTTCGTTGTTCTCGTTGACATATAGAAATGGGCGCCGGAAGATGTCGTATAGGACGACACGGACCGAATTAAATAGAAAGTTGCGGGTGACCATGGCCGAAAAGCCAGAGTATAACGATTTGAAGCCTTCCACCTGGATCATGTTCTTGATTGTGGCCCGAAAAGTTGGCATTCTAGCACCCGTTTTCTTAGCCTCCTCGCCTTCCACCTGCATCCGGGTCTTGGCCACATCCATCCAAAATACCCACGATTCTGCAAAATTGGCAGCGAAAAAGGTGTTGAAGTACAGCTGGACGAGATTCCGTGCCGTCAGTGGTTCCACCACATTCACAGGTGGTAAGCTTGGTACATTCTCATTGTAAAGGGGTCGGAGGTGCCAGTAATTCTGTTCATCTTTGTCCATTCTATATTGGATTATACTTAAAGTTTTAGGGTGTTTTTGTTGTATAAGCGAGAGTAATGAAAAGGCATATGCGATCGGTATATAATAGATCTTTGGAGCAGTCTATATATAGGATATATTCCTAAGAAAAGGCTAACACATTTATTTTAATAAGTTTATTTAAAGGTTAACTTAAAAGGTTTATAAAAATCGTCATTATACTTTATAGATATATATAGTTATGGTGATGAAGTGGGTTCTTTGCCTTGATTTTCTTTTTGATATGATATCTAACACCTATTGACCGACTGACCGTATTATATCCATAGTCTTCTTTTGTTTTAGGTTAGACACTCATTTCTTTAGAGTGTTCCAATCACACAAGAGTTCAAAACTGCTGATCATTGGTAAATCGGTGGATATATATATAGCTTTTAGAAACCTGAGGAGTTTGTTGAACTGACCAGCACGCGAAGTTATATTGCTGGACAAAAAATGCTAGGTTCAGCTAAAATCAAGGTAACAGACAATAAATCATGTTTGAAGAATAAAGAATGCTCTAGTTTTTAGCAATTAATTTAAAATGATATGGTTGAATTTGTTTATTAAAAGATAAATATATAAAACTATAAGTCTAAAGAGCTAACATAAAAAACAAAAATATATAAGGAATATAATCAATAAACTTATTTTGTATTTACATTTCAATGTATTCTATTTTCGATCCTATAAACATTTTAATTTGGTTTTCCCTATACAAAAAAATTAATAATAATCAAAGAACTAGGTACACTTAAAAGTTCGTTAGTTTCTTACCTGAAAGAGTATTACCTTTAAGTCCGAAAACCGCGCCATGAGGTCCGTTCGCCCGAACAGTGCCTTTTATTCAGTCAGTTGATTTTCAAGCAAAAGAAGCTCAGAAAAGTGTCAATAGAAGGCACGGGAAAAGGGAAAACTAAGCCAAGTGATTGAGAGATTGCAGCAGACACTTCCCAGGAACTGGGACATTGGGTAAGACATGAGTGGGAGCTCCATTTCCATTCTCTAATGTTGGTTTCCACTCCCCATACTCCAGAACTCCAGACAACTATAAAAGCACTGTTCGTCGCCGAAACGGAAGTTAGTGAGCGGAACTGCAACATGGAGACCCATCCACAGGCCCGGAGAATGCAACTAATTTGGATTTGTCTGTCCATTTGGTTAGCTGCAGGTGCAACAGTATCTGGAAAGCCAGAGAATGCCGTTTCGCAGGAGCCACGGCATCGCAGCAAGCGCACAATGACCACAATCTGTGTGGAGATCAGACCCAGTGGGCCGCAGGATGAGCCCTACTACATGTGCCGGGGTGCCAACTTCGCGGCTGAGAGCGGCCAACAGGGCTGTGTGGAGGTGAAGAATCAGGGAGGAGGACAGGAACCTGTCTACATGTGTCAGGGCATGGAGCCCGGGAAGTCTCTGCCCGGAGACGGAAGCCATCACGCTCCTAAAAATGATCAACCTGTTACGCAGCCTGGATCTGTACACACCTTTCCGTCCTTTCCCGCCTTTGGAGGCGGGTCTACCCAACAACACCCACAGTTTCCAGAGAATTCCTTTCATCAATTTCCCACACCGCCGGCATCTCCATCGCCCCCGTCGCCATACCAGGAGCAGTCGTCCTACCCTCAGCCTCTTCCTCAGCAGTCCCAGCCCCCAGCTTTCGGAACAAGCGGATTCCATGGACCCCCCTTGGCTGCCCATACATCTGCACCTGCAGCGCACTCATATGGCCTGCCGTCAGTACCTTACCCAACTCTGGGCAGCCCGTCAGCGTTTCCACAAGGAGCTCCAAATGGCCCAAGCCCAGCGGCCACGGCCCCTTCGTATGATCCTACAGCAGATCAGGGCCAGGCGAACCGTCCCAGCAAGGAATATGGGATAGTTGGAAGTAGTCGTCACCGCTTTGGTTTTGATGACGATGTTCTGGGTGTACCCGATGTGGGATTCAGGTCAGAAGAACTCAATCAGCAATATCGCAGACCAGTGAATCAGCCTCAGGATCAGATGATGTGGGTTCCCATAACGCATCCATCTGAACCCGAAAATGATCCCGTGATGAGAGCTTTCTACAGCAGTCTGACCGGAGCAGGATCACAGAGTCAGGAGGCCACAGTGCCCGCTGATATCCAAAGGGAAAGTGTATTAGGACAAGCTCCTCCAAACTATACTCCATACAACAGTCAATCTCCAGGACTGGCACCTCCACCAACTGCACCTTATGAGACACCTAATTCTACGCCGAATTGCAATGGATGCCTTGCCCCCTCATCACCGGTGCAATGTCAGACGCCAGCGGATAATCGGATGAGTTATAGCACCTCCTGTCCCAGCTTCCAGCCCGTCATCATAGCCATGCCATGCTATGGACAACAGCAGCCAACGCCCTACTATTCTGTGCCACGAAACGCACCTGGAATCTTGCAGAGACCACCTCCCACACTCGCCCCTCCTTTTGGCTTGTCTCCTGCCCCAGTGGCGGGTCCATTTGGCGGAGCCTTCGGAAACGGTGGCCAGATGGGAGGCAGTCCCTTTGGGATGTCCCAAGGCTATGGCATGGATCAGCAGGTGGGCGGACCTTTTGGCATGGGAATGCAGCTCGGTATGGGTCTAAATCCCTTCGGCCCCTTCGGAACCCTCAATCCGTTTAATCCCTTCAATAGAATCCTTGGAGCACCGGCTCAAGCACAGCCAGCACCAAATGGAAACTTCTTTCAGCGGGTTTTTAATTTCAATCCGAATGAGTATGCATTCCCAACTACGGAAGCAGCACCTGCCGTGGAGACATCGACTACCGAAAGATCTGGAAAGTTGAACTTCGCCTCCAGCACTCCGACCTCTCCGACACCTCCAATCAGTTCAACGCCTTCCAGCATTTCGACGCCTTCAAACACAGAGAAGTCACCTAGTGACATATTGGGCGATGCTCTCGAAGAGGAGGTGGGCGAAGATGACTCCCTTGAACCAGAGGATCTCGACGCCGACCTGCTGGCGACCACCGCACCTGAGGTTCTCGATAAGAAGCAACAAGCAGAAGTAACTGCTGGACAACTTGTTAGCAAGGCGACGGATCTTTTGAAGCCGGAAAAACGCAAGAGGCAACATTCCCGGAGCAGCAGGCGAGCTTCCCAGAAGCACAGATATCTCCAACAATTGTAATCTTACTTACAGTTTTGTAAATGGAACCCTTAAATTGAATAAAATTTATTTTATAGTTATCAAGAATAATATAATATCGTTGACCTGAAGAATTACTTAATGATTGGGTTTAAAAAAGTGGCTTAAAAAGAATTAAATGAATTCAAGCTGATCTGAAGCCCAAACTCTGTGGCAGTATTTTGAATCAAACAAAAACCTCTTAATGAATTGAGATAAAGGTGACGATTGCACTTTTAATTTCAACAAATTCGCTTAGACATATTGTTCATTATTACAACAAATAAATTATAGAATAGATTTATTTAATTATGTACTGAAATGATAGTTAAGAATAGCTCCTTTTATTTGCTGTTGATTTGTTTACGAAACTTACCAAGATAAAATAAATTAATTACATCTGTCCCAATAGCTGTTAATCCTAATTTCTTCTAAAAAAATAAATACATTTTTCAAAAGTCCGAATATGTACATTCTTTTTTCAAATTGAGACTTTGGGTGCAAGTCTTTACAATCGTAAAAACCTAAGGTGTGAACTTTAAAATGTAGTTTGCTTAAATATATAAACCCATCAATCATCTTAATTTGTATAAGAAACAAGAGTCTCTATAAAAGTTAGGATGCAGCAAGTTAAGGAAATATTTCCGAAATGATCGAACCATAATTTATATTTCAGTTTTCCTCATATATATATATTTTCATACTGACCAACCTTGTCGATTACCAAACGGACACGCGATGAATAAGCCAATCCCGCGATGAGTAAGCCAATGACCAGCCACTTTAGGAAGTATTTTACGAGGATATATACATTTATGTATATATATCTATATAATTATTATGTGTACAATGTATCTTTCTCTCTTTACTTTTCCCGGTCCGTACTTCCGTTAAGGCAGAGCTCCAGCCACGCTCCACGAATCAAACATAAAGCTCACATTGGTGGTTAGCAATTTTGAACACGTAAGAAAACAAGTCGAAAATAAACAATAAAGAAAACAAACACACAAATAAGGGAAATTCACAAGTAATAGGTCGAAGACGTTGCAATATATTTTAGAATTTTATGCTTATCCATATTATATGTTGATGTCTTGAAGTTTCTATGAAATGGGAACGCCCTACGGTTGGGAATTGAGGTGGATTGCAAAAGACAAAGCTAGGAAAAGAATTCTTCATTTTCATATTTCAGTAGTTTCTGAGTTATGCAGAACTCTCAATGCTCTGTATTCCTTTAATACATATAATTTTAAAATTTAGTATTTTAAAGTAAATTAAATATATAATCCTGAAACTATATTTTTTTCTCAAAGTTTTAAATTTTAAAATATAAAATAATTAGAAACTGCTGGTAAGCAATATTACCTACTAACCTGTAAGGAAGATGATTTTTCTTGAAACTGTAGAATAATCTTAAATTTCAATATTTTTTAAAGCTTTACAACTATACCCCATGGAAAGTATATCGAAATGCTGACCTTGCTTTAATCCAGCCCCTATTTGGGGCAACCTAAGTTGACCGCTTGGAATCGGACCTGGTCTGGTTGCTAGTCGCAATTGAGAGTTCACAACGCGAGGTTACCAGTTGCTTCGCAAAACGCAGAATAATGCTGGACTCTGGAGGCAGTAGCTCTTGGACTCTGTCCCTTTTGGCAGTGGCCCTTCTTCTGACCACGTCCATCGCACAGGACGTGGGCTCTACAAATCGCATAGCGGCACCGGGTCAGGCCCTTTACTATCAAATGGTGGATGCGGGTCGCTTGGTGGCACCCAAAGAGTCCCTAAAGCGCACCAATCGATCGCTCTTGAAGTGGTGGGATGACCTCTTCCCACGAAATAATAATTGTTGCAACAATAACAACAATAACGTGTTGTATCCACCTGCCGGAGTGCTGCCCAGTCCTGTTGTGAACAACAATTGCAACAATGGCCTGCAGCTTCAGGATCTGGATCCCTTCAAGCAAATGAAACTCTTCAAGAAGCTGCCTGAACTCTTTCCGGGCACTAATTCCTGTGGCGTCCAGTGTGGCGGTGGGTGTGGTCAACCTCAGGCCAACTATGCGGCACCATTGACTCCGACCTACGAAGGTGGTGATGGTTATGGGGTGGTGCCAGACGGTGGATATGCCAAACCCAATCCTGAATATAATGGCCCCGGGGATGGCGATGCGGGCTATGTGGCCCCCATTCCGGCTCCCGCTCCAGCTCCAGTCTATGATGCTCCTGCGCCGGTAGCTCCTAGTTACGATCAGCCAGCACCACCTGCAATAGACACTTATGCACCTCCTCCGGCTGAGCCTGCACCATTGCCTCCCGTTTACGATCCACCAACACCACCTGCCGTTAGCTATGAACCAGCAGTGCCCAGCAGCTATGCCCAAACGGAACCCGCCTCCGATGGTTATGGCAAGGGTGTCCAGCCAAGTTATGTTGCTGCCCAGCCACCACAAATTGTTTACCAACCGATTATCTATCTATCCGCTTCACCGGCACCCCAGCCAGCCGCCCATGTCGACAGTCAGAGTTATGCCAGCCAGGCTCCATCAGCGGCTCCTGTCTACCAGGCACCGATCCCACCCACTCCGAGCTGTTATCAACCCCCGCCGCCGCCACCAGCATCCCCCAGCTATTCCACTCCCTCATGCCAGACGCCCATTCGCCTGTCCCTGATCGATCAGCCTTATCGAGTGGCCCCGGAACTCTTTGAGGAATACAACTATCGCCTGGCCCAGAATCTCTTGTAGCTTGGGAATCCCCCAGGTCTCCGTCGAATTTGTAAATAAAAATAATCGATTAATTTTGTACAGTTTTGGGTTATTTGGGATTTAAAGCAAAACTTCAATATGTAATATGTATATGTGTTTGGGTCTCATTAATGATATTTACTGTTCACCAAAGGGGGTAAAACAGTTGTATTACATTAAATTATAATTATATTATAATTTTAAACTGGTGTGTTTTTAATAGATAATCCTCCTGAAGATTATTTACAGACAAGATTGAGATATCTTGGGAAAATAATAGAAACCCACAGTTTTTGACCTAGATCTCTTTTGATTGAATCAATTTGTACTAAACTATATAATAAAACTAAACTAATAATAAAATAAATAATATATAATATATAATAATATATATAAATATGTTAAGAATTCTTTCTCTTACAGTGTGTTCATTAACCTTAATTAAAGTCTTTTTGCTTGAAACTCAAATGGTATAAATTAGAAACAAAACTCTTTACTCTATACACTTTTTTAGACCGGAAAATCATCTATAAATATATATTATATATAATATATGTATATATATGTCAATACCCCAGGAAAAAATGGATAAGTAATAGTATAATATATTTTATTTAATTTAATCAGTGTTCCCTTTATCTTGGAAATAATTATTTTTCTATCGAAAAAGAAACAGATTTGGTAAACACATACTCCTATAAAACTATCAGCCCAATATCTGGAACATCTTATAATAATATCCTTTAAAATGAAAGCCACACTCCACAATGACAGGTGGAGACCCCAGGTGTCGACAGAATCTCATACTGGTAGTGAGCACTTTCTCTAAAATCTTAACTGATATTCAAAACTGGGGAGCACTTTCGGGCGCAACATTGTCAATGGGAAAATGTAAAAATTTCCATATATTTCGGAACCAGAAATGTAGAATGACAGAGTTAAACCTAGATAATACGATTTTGAAAGTCTAGGTATTTATGTTGAACCACAACGGAGTTGCATATATTTTATCTTTTTAAATTTTCCGATAGTGGCAAATATAAAATCATTCGATCATACTAGAGCCAGTTAATATACTACTTACAATAGAATAGAGAATAGAAAAAGGACTATCTTAACAGTTTTGTTCAGATAAATCCAATCCTGAAAGCCTTGTTTTTCTAGAAACTTACGGAAGGTCGGATAGAAGGACATGGCAAGATCGACTAGGATGTTGATGCTGATCAAGAGTATACATTATGTATTAGGTCGGTATATGATGAATTGGTTAATGCGTTTTAAATTTTTGTCTAATATTAAAATGGTCATCAAAGGTATGAAAAGCTTTCAATTGCTGACATAAAAATTATTCTTGAGACAAATCAGTTGATATTTGAAGCTGTCTAAGCTCAGTTATATAATCAAATAAATGTGCACCATATTGCGTTACATACTTCTTATCAAAATAACTGCAGTTGTCAGCCTGTGAAGAGGTTTAAATGAATCAATAAATCCAAGTTTACTTTCGCTAGAAACCATATGTTATTAAATCTGGTGTTATAATCTATTTTGTTTAATCAGCTGCATTCTTTGAAGGAGAAATGTGTGAAATGTACCCGCTTATTTGAACACAATTTCACTTCCGCCAGACTTAGTACTTATCAACATGTGTTTTACCATTTGGAGGTTTCTTGTTTCATTGGCTTGGAATTCTCGCTCGAGCTCAGTCCGTGACGTCAGGCTGAATGTTGGCCAGTTGGTCGCCTTTGTTTTCACTTTCCGATTCAAATTCCATGACAAATTGCACAAGATAAGCCCAAGCCCCCTCTACTCTATGGCGTTGTAAAATGTAATAATCACCCAGAAATAGAGGAGTCTGCAGAGTCAAGAGCTCATGATGACCATGACCATGACCATGTGAAAGTGAGTGCAGTCTGTTTATAACTCGTCGGAGGAGGAAGTCGGTTTGTGTGTATTATAATTAGTAGATTTACTATCCATAAGCTGTAGTTTCTTCCGCACTATCATGTGGTCACTCCCCCTTCAGCGCTGCACATTAACACTCTTCGTGCTCGGATGCGTGACGCCCCAAGTCAGCCAAGTTGTTGGGTAAATAATGGAATAAATAGTTGATAAATAAATACCTAAGAAATACAAATAAAAAATACAAATACAAATAAAAATATAAAATTTATAAACAATTAACTTAACATTTATGATGCAAACCACAGATATATTTACTAAGCGAAAACTTTTTAACTTTTTAAAGAAAATATGAATTTATATGATTCATAAAAATAAACATGCGATTTAATTAGGCCCTTCTTTCTATCTGTTTTGAATAAAATAAGAAAAATATATATAAAAAATAAAGGATAAAATGGAATAGCAAAATATCTAAATAGTTGCCTCTGGGTTCACTTAATGTCAGTCAAAGCGTACCAATAAAAAATGCACCACTTATTTGGTTGGAGGTTAGGGTATGGTTTAATAAATATGTAAATAATAATAATTTTGGGGTCAAGGTAAAAACTTATAATAAAATATATATCATTGTTAGATTAAGAATAATATACCCTTGCAGGATATTATAATTTCAGTCAGAAGCTTGTAACGCTGTGAAGGAGTAATTTCCGACTTTATAAATCATATATATTCTTGGTCAGCATCAACATCCGAGTCGTTCTAGCAATGTCCGGTAGAAAAGAAATTTTCGAAATTTGTTTAAAAATTTTATAAGGGGTTACATCGTTAAAATTGACAAAAACTTGGTAAATTTTTCAATTTTCTTAAATTTTTTAATTAAGTATGCAGATTTTTAATTCTAATAAAAACTAACATAGGAAAGCCTTCCAAATTGAAATAAAAAAATAAATTAAAAACTAACATAGGAAAGCCTTCCAAATCGAAATAAAAATAATAAATTAAAAACTAAAATTGGGAAGCCTTCCGAATTGAAATAAGGTAATTTTTGCTTAGTTATAAGTTTTTAAACTTTGATTTGTCTAAAAAATTGTCATGTAAAAATTTTGATTCAAAAAAGGTGAGTATTTTAAACGTTGTTCTGATCGATATCCCAGAATCAGATCTTTTATTAAACGAATTTCATGTCTAAAATCTATACATAATCTTTAACAAATTACCATATCACTATATACAGTTATTACCAATTAATGTTTTTTAAATTAATCAGAAAAATAAACAATACTTTTAATTAATCTTAAATTTGTTTTCTTATTATTAAACAATGTAAATTATCTAAAATATGATTATGAATTGATTGCTCTTTAGTCTGGCACTTCAATTCCACACCTTTTTCTAGAAATATATGCACACGTATCTAGAAGCAAATTTAAATGTTGCAATATATATAAATATATATATATAAATATTTGGTCTAAGTTGGAAAATATATCACGCATGCCGAGCACATATGAAAATGCACGAAATTTAATATATAAAACGAAGAAAACCTGCTTTTGAAAATTTTCCAAAAATATACACAATATAAATGTGTCATAAATTTATCTTGAGGTCGAATGTTTTACTGACCCCCTATAATAAAACCCAAAACATATCACAAAAATTACTTCTACAAAAATCGTTACAAATATCTGTGGCAGATCGGAATTCATTTATAATTACAACAAAAATCTAATGTCTTTCTCCACATAATTATTAAAAGGAACAGGAAATATGTTTTATTAAATAAACTTTCATTAACATTGGTATAATTCGAGATTTTTAATTTTGTATTAGACATTGCCGTCAAGAACCAATTAAAACTAAGGTTAAATTGAAACATTGTTTATTTCATTGAATATATTTGATAAATGTTCAATTTTGAATCATTGTCCTCTTCATTTCTTGTATTCAAACACATGTATAAATATTTTATGTGTTGTCTTAAGTGCTCAATAGTAAATATTTAAAAATGAAACAAAGACACATATATATTAATAATACATGATATAAATAAAATATAATGTTAAGAAATTAAATTTAAATTTAAATAAAAGAAAAATATATTTTCCACACCAAATACAAAAATTATCTTCAAACTCAGTTATTAAACATCAGGAATGTGATTGAAACTAATTTCAGACAAAGCAAAGACTTGGCTTGACTTCTGATGCGGCCGACTATAACTTTTCATGGAAATCTATACTTTTGGGGCCTTAAGCTCCCACAATTCAAGATATTATAATCGAGGGTTAGTCGACATTTTTGTCGATTTAACAAATTAAATTAAGCTTACAAATATTATTTTATATTATAAACTGAAAGGATGTCATTTAAATAGGTAATATTGTTTATATTATTTGAACTACAACCATTTGTAATTATATTATATTTGTAGAATAATTAATTCTTATTTGACATATTTAAAAATAAAAACGATAATAATTAATTATAGACATGCTCTTAGCAGGTAGTTTTAGTAGAATGATCTAATTCACTGTCACCTTTATATTACTTTAAATTTATATCTGAATAAAGCTTTGCTACATTGCAGATATATTTACATATCAGTATTGATTCCAGATAAATCAAAAAGATCTGCTAAAGTTGATGAATATCAAAAGAATAGATACTTTTAAAGACCTTTTCTGATGTATTTAATATATAAAACATATGAAATAATATGATGTCTCAAATTCATTTAAACATATATAACAAATTTTTTATATTTTAAAAAATATAATATTCAGTAAACTAAGTCTTGAAAACGTATCAAATTTTATATGTAGGCAAAGTGGATATTAATTTTTTGTAATCGTATTTTAACTCTTCAACACGTTCCATTTGTACGTACTTAACAGATTTCGAAACACCGAAATTGGGCCACATAGCATTAATAATTCATTACACCCACAATTGAAGTGCGATGCACTCAATTTTTTACATTTGTCGAACATTTTCGCAGACCCAAACGCTTTTCAGCCTCAGTGATGACCCCAAAAAGCTGACGTTGGAATATTACCGATGTCAGCGGTATATATTTTCGCATTGGGCTGATCGAGCATTAAAGCCACAAAATTAAGACAAAAACGAAGAATAGTTACAGCCATTAAAGTCTTCAGTTTGTGCTAACTAGACAGATTGATCAGCTATATAAACTAGCCGGTGGCTTGGGATTGGCATCAGTCACCTTTGGTAACTACAATCAGTCAAACCAAACCAACCCATCAGCCTCCAGCTCCAACTCCAAAATCATCAAGATGAAATCCTTCGTGTGCATCGCCCTCATCGCCTTCGCCGCCGCCGCTCTGGCTTCCCCCACCAACGTGGCCACTTCCAGCGCCACCGCCGGAGCCACCGGTGTGAACACCCAGAACTCCGAGCTGGAGGGCCAGGGATTCGGTGATCTGACCCGTCTCCGCAAGTCGGCCTATGGCGGCAGCTCCGGCGGCTATGGCGGCTCCAGCGTGCCAGCTCCTCCCTGCCCCAAGAACTACCTGTTCAGCTGCCAGCCCAACCTTGCCCCAGTGCCGTGCAGCGCTCCCGCTCCCAGCTACGGATCCGCCGGTGCCTACTCCTCCCCGGTGGCCTCTTACATCGCCCCCACCTACGGTGTTCCCCAGCAACAGCTCTACAGCGCCGCCTACGTGCCCCAGACCTTCCAGAACTACTACTAAGCATCGGCATCCAATAGATATCGCCCGATCCCCGCCCACGGACCATGAACTCCACTGCTGAGATATAAAAAACATTATGGATAAAAAATTTTACAAAAAATATTTATTGCAAATTAAAAAAACTAAAAAAAAAATATAAACATTTATTGTTATTTAATCAGACTTTAGAAAGTTAACTTTTCTCAGGACATACAACCAAATGACAAACATTTTGGCAATTAATAATAATATAATAATATATTATACCAATTAGTTGCCATTTCTTATGATACCAAAAATTCTAGAATTATGTTGCTGAGAACGATTTAAAACTGAATAGAAAAGTAATATGAATGATTTTAATCTTTAATTTTGAACACACTTACGCATACTTAATCTGAGGTATAATGGTTAGTTCAGATTAAAAACACGGCACATTGGCACATTGGCACATTCGGCACGCCGAAGTTTATATACCCTTGCAGATAGAACTTCGATGACTAGGAATCCATACAATAAAAATTATGTATATTTATGTTAAAAAACAATGAAGTAATACCTGCTTTCATTTCATTTCATTCACCTATACATATCATATTTGCATTTTTACATTCACAGATTTGTATTTTCGCACCACATCTAACGATCGTTTGTATGGCTCCTATGTGATATAGTCGTCCGATTTTCATAAAATTTGACACAAAATTTAAGACTGATTTAAAATGGCTATATCTCAAATTTAATGAAAATCTGCTGAAAGCTGAAAACGGTATAATTTTTAATTGTATTCATTTCTTGATCGTTCCTATGGCAATTATATGATAAAGTAGCCCGATTCATATAACTAACAAAATTGCAGATTAAAATAAAATGGCTATATCTCATATTTTATGAAAATCTGATGAAAACTGAAGAAGTTATAATTTTTAATTTTATGAATTTCTTGATCATTTCTATGGCATCTGTATTATATGGTAGTTCGAGTTTCGTAAAATTTTACACAAATTTGTAAAGAAACATAAAACTGTAATAACTCAAATTTCATCAAATTCTGTTGAAAACTGAAAAATGTATAATTTTTAATTGTATTAATTTTTCGCTCGTTCCTATGGGAGCAATAGGATATAGTACTGCTATATCTAAAATTTGATAAAAATCTGATGAGAACTGGAAAAGTTATACTTTTTAATTGTATTAATTTCTCGATCGTCCTATGGGACCTACATATGTATATGATATAGTAGTCCGATTTTCATAAAATTTTGAACAAAATTGTATTGATCAAATTCTATTGAAAACTAAAAATATTATAATTTTTTTTGTAAAAATGTTTCGATCATTCCTATGGCAGCTATATGATAAAAAAATACAAATACAAATATCGATAACATATTTAATTTAAATATTTGTAATATGTACATAATATGCATGCAGCTTTCATATAAACATGCCTGTTATTAATAGGAAAATAATATGAATTATTAAATATGATAATAATATGATAAATATGATTATTAAATTATTATTTTTTACTCTTACTGTGTGATAGGTAAACTTCTATAAATAATATATATAATTTTTTTGTGTGTAAAGTTATATATTTAGGTGCAGTATGTAAAAAACATTTACCTAGATTTTCAATATTAAAAAAATTATTGATATGGGGAAGCATAAGCCCAGTTTATGCTTGAACAAGCCAAAAATTATTGTCGTTTTTGGGATTATGTCGCGGAAGAATAAGAAGAGATTGCGACACATCCGACAGGCAATGAACTAACCAAATCGACAAGCACTGCGGAAAAGTGGAAAGTGCAAACGTTTCTGTAATCCGATATCGGATCCAATTAAATAACCTGCGTACACCTAGAAAAACATTTACTTTGAAATTTAAATGAAACGTATAGAAAAATAACTTAACTTAAATTAATTTAATTACATTTTCACGTTGTAATAGTTTATTTTATTATTTGTAAAGTTAGTTTAATGGAACAGCAACGGATGCTTTGATTAATGGATGCTGATACAACATCAACTGTATATATCTAGACTTTCTTTTGATATAAGTAACTTGAACTTAATTTTGCAAAAGGTTGTTATTTTTTAAATTAACTTTTATAAACACCAATTTATATAATAATTTTATCTTTGAAGTTTTGGTTAGTAGGTCGCTATATAACTTCGGGCTGTGGAAAGTCAAGAGTGTTTGCAAATCGATGACCTTGACATCCCGGTTTTCTTAATTTAAATAAAAATATGTATATATAAATATAAAACATTTCCTGAGTTCAGAAGTCTTTTGTTCTGAGTGTAAGTGTCAGAATAAACTATTCCCTAATGACCTTTTGAGAGAATATAGGTGTGATTTTCCCTGTTTCCGACCTATGTATCTTTAAAACTTTTAAATCTCAAACATGGTACTGAAACTCGTGGTTTCGACCTTATATATTTATTTTTAGTAATTTTCTTAGTAATATATGGTAATGGTTTATATAAACAATATATTTTGCCGAGCTATCTAACAAGGAATATATACAGGAAAATATAGCTTATGCCAAACGTAAATGTCAGTCTTTCCGTATGAAAAAGAATGTCGAGATTATATACTTAAAATTTAATGACAATCTTCTTTAAGGTTGCGTCCAAATCAGTTTTTTTTTAAACCTTAAATTTAAAAAAAAACATGTTAAAACTTAAAAATTAAATAAAAGATACTCTTCAGCTTTCCATAACTAAAAGAAAAATAAAATAATCACATCAAAGTTTATCTGAAAAAGAAAGATCCCCTCCCAAAACTAAAAATACTAAAATGTATGCTTCAATAATAAGTTCTATTTATTCATGGAGTTAATAGGCCAGTCATCTTCAATTGGACAGTTCCTTACAGTTCCCGGACGAAGGGAACGGTATACTGGGGCACGTACTGCGAGTAGGCACCGGCGGATCCGTAAGATGGAGCTGGAGCCGAGCAGGGCACGGGCTGCAGGGAGGGCTGGCAGCTGAACAGGTAGTTCTTGGGGCACGGCGGGGATGGGATGGAAGCGGGAGCCGAGTAAGCAGGAGCAGCCGGTGCCGAGTAGGCTGGAGCAGCAGGTGCCGAGTAAGCCGGGGCAGCGGGAGCAGAGTAGGCCGGAGCGGCGGGAGCAGAGTAAGCTGGGGCAGCGGGAGCAGAGTAGGCCGGAGCAGCAGGAGCAGAGTAGGCTGGAGCAGCAGGAGCAGCACCGTAGCTGCCGTAAGCAGAACGCGACACACGGATGTTCTCGGCCAGCGGTGCCGGGATGAGGATACCCTGAGTGGGCTGCAGCTGGATGGTCTCCGAAGAGACGGCGACGAAGGCCAGAACGGCGGCGATGAGGAATTGACCAATGAAGGATGCCATGGCGAAGGGTTCTCTAGCTGTCTCTACTTGCTGCTGAAGTGGCGAACGAAGGCTGTTGACTGTTGGTTGAACTCCCGGAGCCAACCAATTTTATAGCCCACTGCGAATACGTCGATCCCACTGAAGTACAGCGTCAGCGAGCTGCCAAAGAAATGCACATGGAAGCATCGACGGAGTCCCCAAAACTGCTGACCATCCACAAGCAGGGTGTAGGGTGTAGGGTGGTGCCGGACATTGGCTGCATTCGTTGCCAGTGGCCGATATGTCGACGTTCTGGCTAGTAGTGGCCTCCATTCTGATGACCTTAAATGTGAGCTGGCTTCTTCCCTTCGCCCAAGCCACATCGGCATCGATGTTCCAGTTTCTAGAGCGACCCAATGCCGATGGGGATCAGAGCTGGTCTCACCTGCTGCCCACCAATTTCTATTCCGAGATGAATCAGCAGTACTACAGGCGATTTCGGCGACATGGAAGTGAGATGGGAGTACACCGGCGACGTCACCAATTTGAATATGCTCAATATATCTAGAGAATGGAAGTACTTTCTTTTGAATAATAAATTAAAATGATTAAAATAGTAATTCCTTTCTTTCCACACAAATTCTCTAACCTGTACTAGTTGGGTTGATTTAGAAGGGGTGACATTAAAAGTAACTAAATAAAGTATATAAATAAAGGATATGGTAAAAGAAATTCTGACTGATGGTATTACACATTATTAATATACAAGTTTTGAACTTTTTTAATTTTTAATTTGTATAATATAAACATTTATTATTAAGATTATTATTTACAGTATATGAATAGTTAGTTTGAAATAACCGGTTTATTTCATCCCCATTTAAGCTCCTTCTTTAGTCTATCGATAACCCATTGGCTTAGTGGACAACAGGGCGCATGACCACGGTGTGTTTTGACGTCACTAGGACGTCAAGGACACAACAAACCCCTCAAACCCCAAGCTGGGAAGCAACAAACAGAATAAGCTGAAAACTCGATTGCATTAAAGTCCAGCAATGAAGCTAACTCTGCGACGTTACTCTTGGCTGCTGATGTTCCAGTTTGCTCTTCTGGGAGTGGACTTGTTCTTCAATGCCTTTGGGCCTTCCCTGGCAAGGAATCGCTTGCAGACCGCTATATTCTTCTTTGTGTGAGTAGTTGAGAGTGGCTCGGAAAGTTGCATTAAATGGGTACTGACTGCATCAAGTTACTATCGTAGCACCCAGGACGTCCTCATCATTGCCGAATATCTGTTGTTTGCATTGGCTCTGCACTCCACCTGCGTATACCAGGTGGGCGCCTCGCACATTATCCTGCGCCATTGTAAGCTCTTTCTGGCCAGCATAACCATCTATTTCCTGTTGTCCGCATCCCAGCACTTTTGGATCGTGTACCAGTACAGCCAGCCGCCTGATGCCGACGATGGCCAACAGTGGCCGCTCGGTCTGATTGCTTTATCCGTAAGCCAACGTATCAGTAAGTGACTATATAGATCGATCATACACAAAACGATTTCATAAATACTCCTTTCTTCCACAGTGTCGGTTTTCTATTATTATAGCTCTAAATCGACCGCACTTACTATGGCGGATCCTCGATTTAAGGAGGAGCATCTTGATTGGATTGCAGAGCAGTTGGGCAATAAGTAATTTCGCACAACTTATTGCCTTGCATAAGGACAAAGCACATGTAATAAATGTAAATAAAGGTCAGATAGTTATTGGAAAGGGGAAAAATGTGTATACTTATACTATTTACAAATGGTTGATATTAAAAAGGTCATAGAGTTGTCGAAAAGGCAACATGTATACCTCTCAAGTCCTGGAACCTATTCCCGATATATTGTACATACATTTACAACATTTATATTTCATTATAATTTGTATATATTGCAGAAGCTTTAATAATTAATAACCATCATTATAATAGATTACACTCATTAATACATATATACACTTGTTTCGTAGTAAGCACCATGTCTCTTATATTGTTCATACTTAAAAGACCTAGCTAAAAAAACAATTTGATAAAGCTTATCGGATTTAGATAACATAGTCCATTTTGGAGGATGGCGTGGGGGTCTAGCCTAGAATTGGTCCCTTCTTCGCTACGTTCCCGAGTAGCTGAATGGCACACCAAAGAGCTTCTCCCAGCCCTGACCAATGGCATTTAAACAGCGTTCGGCATTGTCATGAGTTTCGAAGTCCAACTGCCAGATCTCGCACTTACTTTCCGTATCGTCAATAAAGTTGATAAGATACTTTTCGTCCGTAGCAGGTTCCACGTCCACCAAATTGCTCATGGGTTGGGTGAGACTTATTTCGGGTGTGGCCTTCTCCGGACTTTTTTCTGAAAGCCATCCGAATTTTCCATTCCCTGATAGGTACAAATGCGACTCTGTGATTAAAAGTAAGCAGGGCGCAAAGCTTTTCTTCTGCTGGTCACAACTCCACTGGCAGCTCGGCAGCAGGGCACACATTTTTAACGGCTCACTGGAGGCTATAGATTGCAACTGATTGGTTGGGGATTGGGTCATCAATTGACACTGCTCTGGCAGATTGTTTTCTATAAAGAAATAAGAATAATGTAAAAATATTAATTAGGAAATCTACATATTTACAAAATCCAGCTACATAAAACAATGTTGTATGTAACTCCACTTACGTTGCAAGTTAAGAAGTAGGCTTTCTGTCCTTAGCATGTCGTGCAGAAACAACAAAAATACTCCCCAATCTTTCAGAGAAAATGAGAAACCCATTTTCCAGGGCAGCATTTCTATGGCCATTAGCCGATCCAAAGGCACACAGACAACCTGCCTTAGCCACTTGGACACATCGTCTTGGGGCGGGGCGAAGGAGTCCATGAGGTACAATTTACTGGTGGACACCACCACAATCCCTTGGCCCAGGGACTGGGTTGATTCGTTGTAGATGTAACCCTTGGCCAGCCATGTGAAGTGCTCTCCTTGCTCCTTGAACTTACACTGATAAAAGTAAAGTTTCAAACGATGATCTATCTCGTTGAAGTTAGTATAGTTGAATTTGTAGGGTTGAGTGGCTTCTGCTGAATCAATCAGCTTCTTGGAGCTGGACATCAGTAGATTCGTTGATTGGAAGACGGATTTGAGACCCGAGAGGCTGCCATTGGAGGAGGATTCAGGGAGAGCCTCTGTGTGGTTGCCTCCCAATGATTCGGTGAGCTGAGAGTTCTGCTTATCCTTGCTCTGCTGCTCGTAGCTGGTGCATATGCTGTCCGTTACGGAACCCGAGGAACTGCTCTCTGTCAACTGGATGTGTGCCACAGCGGGAGCTGATGTAGCCGCTGCTGGGGGTGCCTGCTCCGCTCTTAGTTGGGCAAACTCTCTTTCGATGAAGCTCTGCGATTGCACTATCACATTATCGCTGCCTAACTCCGGCTGAGGCTCCATAGATGTCTTGCGGCTTGCACTTTGCACACAGTTGGGATCTAGCACCTCTATGCTGGACTGGCTCGGGTTGGAGATAATGTCCACATCGCTCTCGTTGGCCCGAAACTCCAGATCACGATCCGTGTTCGAGCTACCCACCACCGACTGGTTGGAGTCGAAGGAGCTCTGTGAGTTGCTTATTTTCGAGCACGAACTGCTTTCGTTCAGTGAGTTGGCCGAGCCTGGGTTTAGGGAAGAAAATATTATTGAATCATCATTTAAGTATCTTTTTTGTTTTTGCAATTTCTAATGGAAGCAGCATTGCTCGCGATTAAATTTTGACAAAACCTAGTTAAGCAATTTTGTTAGTTCCAAACCATCTTATGAGTGTGCCAATGTGCCGTAAGGATTTAGTTTATATATTAATAAATTTGATATTTTAAATCTCGATACTTCCGGTATTATAATGATATTTTTGTCGATATATCATATCGTACATGCCAAGTTAGCCTGCTGCTTCCCATTACCAAAAAAACAAAAGGCCAAATGCAAATTGTTTGTTAGGCAAAAGTTACATAATAAAATGATATACTAATTGGCATATTAACTTCTTATTGTGGTCCTACGCTTGGGTGTATTTTTAGCGTTTGTTACCCTGCTTTGGCTCGCCACTAAAGTGTGTTAATTAAAATTTTTTACATAACAACCATTTTTTTTTGTTATTGTTTCCGGTTGGTGGGTAAGAGAAAAGTACAAGGGAACAATGTAAATATACAGAAGTTAGATATTGGTATTTGCCATTTCACGATTTGTGTTTGCATGCAAAATAAAGAAGAAAGAAATATAAATTAAATAATAAATGCACATTATTAATGTCCAAACATAAACTGAAAAATATTAGAGTGCAGAAACTCAATGGAATGCATTTGAAACCAAAAACTTGGCACTACACATACAAGTTCTTTAAAAGTGTTTAAAATCTGATCAATTAAAAAACCAAAGAGACTGGCCAAAGACTTGCCAATGCTATTGCTATCCTCCTTGCTGGCCGCTGTCGCCGCCACTATAGGCTGTTGCCTCACTGCCATCTCCTCTACGATCAAAGCTGGCGAAATTTTTGGCTCTGATGCCACTTCCAGCGATGCTTTATCTAAGGATGTTGATAAATCTGTGACCTCAGCCACATACACGCTGCGGCAGTCAGGACAACGCAAATCTACGGAATTAATCAAGTTTTAAGATGTTAATTAAACATAGTCGTATTAAAATCATACCATCCTTTTTATATCGCTTGCTCTTCTGCTCAATGGTGAACTGAATTAGACAATTCACACAGCGATATATGGTTATGTTCATATCAGTGAGATCGCGCTGAGCGAGAATGTCGCGCAGTTTCTTTTCCAATTCCTGACACAATGTATTCTCCACACAATATATACGCTCCTGTTTATCCTTACGCATTGTGTCAAAGTTAATTCGCAAAGTATTCGATTTCAAGCGCTCACATGACTCCAATATTTTCAGACTCCATTTGGTTTTGGTCCTAAAAAAAGACGATATTGTTGTTTACATTTTGATTTTTCTTTAATTCGACTTCTGAAGATAGTATTTTTTAAAAAAAATGCAGTCTAATAACTTTAGAAGACATACTAGTCTCTGAATCCGTCCGACAAGGTATCATAAAAAGGTACATCTTCACTTACCTTTCACTCAAAGTATCCTTTTCACGAATAAAGTTTGAGGATATGGTTAGGAACAAGGCCTCGCTGGGCTTTTGCTCATGATACACAATATATGTCTCCTCGTCGGGTTCCGCGTCAGATACTGCATGAAAGTGAAGTATTACATTTAGATTAATGAGCTTACTAATACTTACCTGGATCTTCATCTTCGGCAGTATTCGAACTGCTCGCATATAGATTTAACAACTCGGTATGCTTGTCAAGCGGTGGCTCCTCCTTTGCCGTTGGTGTTGAATCAATAGTGATATTGTTAATGCTCTCGTACTTGGTCTCCTCACTCTCGTCGCAGGTCTCGTATAGAGTTTTCTCAGCAGAGTCGTTTGCTTCCGCATCCGGCTTGATGGGGGTCAGAGTACTATCGATATGGGAACTCACTTGTTGAGTTGTGTTTGTCGGTGTCGAGCTGAAAACCTCCGCTGGCGGTGAGGTGGAAAGCTCACTGAAGAACTCGTTAAACTGCTGGCGGGCCTCGTTGCGCTCCGCCTCGGTGGGCTCCATGCCTAACATTAATTCGGCTTTGCCAGTTTTTAGCCACTCGTTGCCGTATGTGAAGCGTAGCGTTTCGATTTGTTTTTTCGTTTCCAAATGTGATGAATCGGTTGTATTCTCTGGCCTGATCGCTACGACTTGAGCCTTGGGAGCGACGACATCTCCGGGTTCTGACTGCTCCTCTATTTCCACTGTCCGAATGCGACTAGAACTTTTTCTAGAGATCTGCGAGGTGTCCATGGTCTCAGACTGTTCCGCCTCCGATGAGTAATCCTTGCCCCTGATCGAGACGGAACGCTGAGAGCCAAAGCTGGAGAATTGAGAGCCATCGCTGGTGTTAATTGAAGCACTGGAGCTATTAATAGATACAGAGCTACTCCTGGGCAGTCGATGGTTGTTAAGCGATCCAATGTATCGCCACTTTTGACTGCCTGTCAGGCTCTTTTCCGCCTTTGAAAGTGGCTCAAAGTCCAGAATAAACTTCACAGTGGCACAGTTCTTGTGCAGATACTGCGCCGTCGCCTGCCGATGCTTTGGATTGCAGGCCATTGGATTTCCTTGTAGGATCAATATGGTCAGTGTAACCAGAGCACTTAGCGGCAGCAGTTGCGAGTGCTCCAGCAGACAGTTATCTGACAAATCCAGATGGTTTAATGCGTCCAGCTTTGCCACATCTAAGAGCTCTTCGACATAGTTGTTGCTGATGTTTAGGAGCTGCAGCCGCTTACAGGCTTCCATGTGGAACTGCGGCACATGCGTGAGGCAATTGTAGCTTATGTCCAAGGTCTTTAGATGGGGCAGCCATTTGATAGCGGCCACGCTGGTCAGCTTGTTGTGCCTCAAGCTTAGATGCTGCAGGTGCTGAGCGAACTCCAGAGCCGTGTCTACACTGCGCAAGCTGTTGTAGCTGAAGTCCGCCGATTTCAACTCGTTCCACACGAAGCCATTAGAGTTATCGCCGCCGCAGCGCGTGATTATGTCGTCCACACTGGCCAAGCTCTTGATGCAGATCAAATGCTGTAGCTGACCGCGCAATGGCTGAATGCCGACCACCTGGCCAATATTGATCTTGTGCACTTCCAGTCGCCTCAAAGCCCTAAACTTGGCTATGTCAATGGCGCCCTCGAAGTGCAGCTCGCTAGGAAAGTAGGTAAGCTTGAGCAGCGTGGTCTTTTGCACAAAGTCGTGCAGCAGCTGCAGGTCGGGAAAGACGCTGGACTTGGCATTGATGGATTTCACCACCTGAAAGGACAGCTGATTCTGGGAATGGGAGCCAGCGCCAGCGCCGATCTCAGTGTCCGCAATCAAAGTGAAGGAGTCGTTCAGCGCCCTCAAAAGGGAACCTGTGAAAAAAACAGAGGAAATAATAAGTAATCAAACGCGGATCAGCCAGGGCCCGCATGCATGACCACCAACCTGATAACGTTAGGGTAAACTCCGAGCTAAGTATTTTGTCGCCGTTCTGGCGCATCAGGTTGGCTAACTCGGTGATTTTTTGTGGATCCATGTTGCCGCCAATCCCATGCGATTAATGACTGTGAAAATAAATAAATTACTTAAAGCACAGATTGGTTTCTTGGGCAAATGCGTTGTGCACCAGATTCGATTCTCAACACTAATAAACACTAATTTCTGCAGCCGTGGATGAGACAACAAAGAAAAATATGTATGACGACGTTAGGGACGTTATATTGACGCACCAGCTTAATATTTATTCTGTGGTTTGAAGCGGCAGCGGGATCATTGTTTTCCGTCCTTGGGTCGTCTCTGTGGTTAACAGAAGCGTAGAATTACTCTACTTTATTCCACTTTTACAATGCAAAAAATACGTTCGTTTGTTATGTGTCTTCTTCTTGCCTATTTGGCCAGTCACAGGTAAACGGCCTAGGGGTGGCGGGGCTGTTGGAGATGACAGTATCGTAAACGTAACAAACAAATTTTTTTGAAACTATGAAATTCTATTAATCTATTTAACTTTGAAGCTTTAATGTTTATTAGTGTGAATGTAATATGTTTACCTATCGCCAGTTGGTAACTAGTTACCACTTGATCAAAGAAATAAGAATGGGCATGGTGGCATATTCAAATTTGTGTGGATTTTTTATTTTATTTTATTTTTGCCTTTTAATCCACAAAAAATAAACTATTATTGATAAACTTGAGAAATATAGCAAGACACGTACATCATTTTCAAGGGTTCATATTCACATATGCCAAATATTCTAAAAAATCGTTCCCACCATTTATGCCTTCCACCTTAAATATTGTTGTACATTATGACATGGTATTATATATTAATACAACATATAAATGTCAGAAATATTTTTTGTCGTCTTTATTAATCCATATGAAAAATCCATGGACTTAGCAAAAATGTTTGTTCCTGAATTGTGGTGTCCTGAGGGAGAGTAGGATGGAATTAACCCTTGAGCGTTGCTTCGAGCTCATTGTTAGCCAGTAATTCCTTGATGATGTCCAGTCCGCCAATCAATTCACCCTTGACGTACACCTGCGGGTACGTGGGCCAGTCAGAGAAAGTTTTTAGGCCCTGGCGCACCTCTTCGTCACCCAGGATGTCAAAGGTTTCATACGGCAAACTTTTGAAGAAACAGTTTCCAATTAAAAAAGTGTGTAATGGAAGGGACGACCAAACCTTACTTTGTTTCGTTTACAATCCCTATAAGCTGCTTGGAGAATCCACAACGCGGTCCATTCCTGTCGCCCTTCATGAATATCATTAACGGAGCCTTGTTGATTAGGGCCTTTAGGCGCTCTTCCAGTGTTTGACCAGTGGCCGCAGCACTGCTAGCACTTTCGGCCAATTTCTTAGATTTGCTACTAATGGCGGCAATGTCCACACCATCGACGCGGTCCACTGCCGAGCCCTTCGCAAAGAAGATTACTGTGGGTACAGCTTCGATCTGGAATAGTTATTTTGGTGTAGTTATTTCTGTATACACAAGTCTGCGGTTAACTTACTTGATGTTTCATGGAGATCTCTGGGAATTGTTCGGCATTCAGGCTGATGAATTGCAGTTTGTCGCCTGTTATCTTGGACAGCTCCTCCAGTGCATCTTTGACCTGACCACATTGCTCTGCCCAGTCGGCGGAAAAAAGGGCCACGGTCGTCTTGTCCGCATTTATGCGCTTCTGGTATTCCTCGGCTTCAGTCACGACCTCAACGGGCATTTTTTATTTGTATTTTAATTAAATTTACCGAGAAAAATTAAATTGAATAAAAAAGCAGGTTATTATCAGCTGTTACTAGTGCTGGGAAGAGAGTTTAGCTTGGTAGTGTTGAAAGTGAAAAAACTACCTGCAGTATTTTTATGTGCAGACAGTATTTTATTTCTTTCTACTAAGGGTATTTTTAAGTGTGGCAAATTTATATAAATCTCTTAATATTTCATATTTATTTATCGTTTAGAAGATATGCAACGACAGTCACAATATTATATTATTATATAAATTTATATGAAATAATATTGAATATATATTATCATATTATTTGACAATAAATTTTATTATCGATCCATTCGTTGCTATAGTGCTCAATCTGGTATATTTTTCGACGACCGGCGGCGTACCTTAACGGCTATCATACGGTCACGCTGGCTGCAACACGTGCAGGCCGCATTCAATACACACAGCACAATAATTTTTCGCAAATTAAAGTTGAATTAGCCGAACAATGGTAACGCGCAAGAAGCCAGTAAAGCGCAGCGCCGAGGTGGCGGCTATCGACAACGACGAGGATGAGGCGGCAACACAAGCCAAGGTGCCCAAGGAGGTGTTGGTCGTTGCCCAGGAGGTCAAGATGGTCCGGGCCCTTGCCTGTAACGATGTGGTCCAGCGGAATCGCCAGGTCCGCAAGCTAGGCAAGTGGTTTAAGCTGCGGGCCAGCAGCTCATTCCCCTTTACCGAGGAGGACTTCATGCGGATCTGGAAGGGTCTGTACTACACCATGTGGATGTCGGACAAGCCGCTGGTCCAGGAGGAACTGGCCGAGCAGCTGGCCCAGATGGTGGACAGCTTTGGCGGTAACACGACATGCAGCTTGGCCTACTTCAGTGCATTTATGCGCACCATGTGCCAGGAGTTCTTCGGTATCGATCAGTGGCGCATGGATAAGTTCCTAATGCTTGTCCGTCGCATGCTTCGGTACATGTTGCGGTTGCTCAAGCAGAGTAAGTGGTCAGCGGAGCTGATCAACGCCTTCAACAACCGTATGCAGCAGTCCGTCCTTTCCGAGCAGCCCAAGAGTCGCGGCCTCACCATGCACTACTTGGACATATTCTTCGAGGAATTAGCTAAGGCTGCCGATGGCGAGATCAGTGCCGCCCAGGTCAATATCTTCTTGCGTCCGTTTGTCACCTACGTGGCCACGCAGCGCGATCCCAAGCTGGTGGCCCAGTGCCGAACAAGAGTGCTGTACCACCTGCTGTACCAGAGCGATTTGGGACGTGAATACAGTGAAAAATACAATGCCTGGAAGCTTATGGGCTTCCCCACGGCTTCCATTGATGACATTGAAAAACTTGACTCTGGCTTTGATGAGGAAGAAGATGAAGTCAACGCCGATGAAGAGACCCCGCGGACCACCTCTCTTGATCCCCGGGCGGGAAATGTGGACGTGCATATGCCAGAGTTGCCCCTTAACGCAGATTGCGTGCTTGATGAGCTGCAGACCCTGATCCGCACGAACGATTTAAACAGCAAGAGACGCAAGGCCTTGCGGAAGCTTATCCAGGTTTTTGAAACCTTTAAGGGCGGCGAGTTCCCACTGGGTGTGCGCACCATGCCGAAAGTGGAAGGCCAGACTCTGGCCGAGATGGTAGAACAGAAGGTGGCAGACATCGAAAAGCTGGAGGACGAGGTCTATGGCACCGGAAGAAAACTCAAAAAGCTCAATAAGTCGAAGCGTAAGCGGCTTCTGCAGTCCATTAACTTTGAGGAGGTGGACGAGCATAACTATGATGAGGTCATTGGAAAGGCCTTGCCCCCGGAGCTTCAGAAAAAGGTTAAGCATAATGCAAAGGTGCGTTCCAGCATCAACAGTGCCTGGGTGGTGGAAAAAGTCAATGAGCAGGATGAAGGAAACAAAAAGGCAGATGCCAAACCAAAGGCAAAAAAAGCGAAAAAAGACGAGCAGCTCAATGCCAAGGTACCAGAGCAGCCGAAGGCCAAGAAGGGAGATCAGGTGAAGTCCAGGAAGGAGCAGCAGACGAAGGCTCATAAAGAAGAGCAGTCCAATCCAAAAACAGAAGACCAGCAGCCGAAGCAACCCAAAAAAGAAGAATTGAAGATTACTGCTCCCACGTCTGAAATTGAGCCGGAACCACAAACAAAGACTGCCGGATTGTCAGATAAAGATATACCCAAGACAATTCAAAAGTCAGCCAACGGCTGGGACGCTCCTTTGGAGCAAGGAGAGCAGGATATCTTCGTTCCCTCGCGCAAGCAACAACTGAAGCAGGCCAACAACAAGCTGCTGCAAAAGTCTACAAATAAAACGCCAGTGACGCGACCTCAGTTTGCCACCCCACAGCCGGTAGGCAGTGTCAAGCGGGTGAGGATCATGACCAAGTGCAACAGCGAGTATACGAAGAACGACTACAACCGTCAACTGAAGTTGTCGCCCCAGGTACCCTACGATGCTGACCGGTTGCCCGGTAAGAGTGCCCTCAAGCCACATGTTCTGCCGGGCCCGATTCATCCTAATTTCAAAGCAAAGCGCCTTTTCAACGACACTCTGTGACATAGCGTGGAGTGGGCGGAAATGGGGCTGGGACTAGATGAGGATCAGGAGCATTAATAATAATATATCCCCAGAAGTGCTGCAGTCCGGGTCTCCTATAGCTATCAGCGGATTAACCAGATGTGCTTGGAGAACAAGGAAACAGCTCTACTCTTCACAAACATGTCTTATGGGGATCCCATATACATTCTTAACTTTTTTGTTTTGTACGCAAAGCTTTCTTTCATGAAATAATATAATGATATATAAACACTTTTACACACAAAATGAATGGATGTATATTACTTTTTGCTGCTTCTTGGCAATATGTAATTGTTTGTATGATTTGCTACTTTTATGAGATCCGCATAAGACATGTACTTACGTCATCCCTTAACCTCTTAGTAGATACAATTTACATCTTAATGTACCATTGCTTGTAGGCCATTTTATGTTCAAGCTATCCTCCAAGTTGATATTGAAATAAAAGCAAACGTAGTATATGTAACATGAGATAAAAAGTACTTGAGTTTATTTTAATTAAAAAAGAGCCTGGTAAGTAATCTTTAAATCCCTGCAAAGGTGATATTTCCGGTTTATTTAGAGGTATACAAATGAAACAAAGGAAACAAATGAGTCTACATAAAGAATAAATAAGTGCATACCAGATAGGTTTACATTTAATTCTTTATTTCAGTAACAAATAATCCATTCAAAAACGTATCCAAATAAAATTTAAGTTAAATTTTTCAGTAAACACAGAAGTATACAATAATCATTATTTCATAAGCTTTTTAGTTATTTGTATTATAAATTTATTAAAGAAACATTTTCATAAGATTTATTGTAGTTCTCATAAAATAGTAAATATTTATTTAGCAATTAAACGAAAATTTGCTTTACTTTTAAGAAGATATTTCGCAAGGAAGAATAAATATACTAACTTAGTTTAAGTTTCGCCTATTAGGGAAAGGATTATTAGGGCACAGTAAGGTATGTTTTGATTGACTTTTTATTCTAAAATTTTTATTAGTTTTTTTTACATTCATTGAGTCATTTTTAGTGTTCCTATTCAAAATATATTTATGTCGCTGACCTTTTTACTTAAAATAATTTTTTAAATAAATTATAAGCGAGGCTTGTCTGAAACATAAAGAAAGAAAAAGTGGTCTGCATAATTTCTGGTGTTTTTCGCTTAAAGATTTTAACATTATCTGTTACCTTTTTATGTAAAAATAAAATTCTAACTCACTCGGTCGCACTCAATGTTTACTCGGTAGTCTTCGAGTTTGAGTTCACAGTTTCTGTCGGGAATTTCTGTGAGCCATTTATTTCATATACGACTGAGTTGACTCAAATGCATTTAAGAGAGTCATTTTGATGCAATTGGTAAGGGAGTCAGAATGCTTTCACTCAAAACGAGAGCTCTCAAACTGAATTTACATGAGCCAATCCTTGCATTGAGTGATGACCTGAGACCAAAAATCCCAGAAAATTCTCTCGATTTAAAATAGAAAAGCTGTGGTGTTTAAACTGTGTCTCTTGGTTTATCTGCATCTTGGTTTAATTTAAATTTCTGGATTAAAGAATCAGTAAAATATCCTTAAGCTTAATATAACATTTGCCTAATATAAAATACAGTAAATAATATATAAACAAAACGAGTAAAAATATATCTTTATTTCCTTATGAATACATTTAAAATATACATTAAATTTTATCCCTATATAGACGGTATATAATATGAGGAAAGTCTGAATAATTTATGGACTTGTATACAATATTTTGTATCCTTCTCCCATTTATTGAATTCATTTATTTTCTCTCAATTGATGAACTTTAACTTATTGATTCAGATTCTAAAGGCAAAATAGTTTTATTGGTTCATATTCATGCAAAATAAACTTCCGATCCATTCAATTGAGTTGTTCGTATAATACATTTTCAAAATAATTGAATATTTGCCAAAGCCCGAATCATGGGATGAGACGGATGAGTGGTGTGTGGTGGGCGCGACATGTTCATAAATCTGTATAATTTGATAGCTTGCAACAATATGACTATGTGCGGACAATAACAGAATTCATTTCCTCGAGGATAACATCTGTTCAGAAGTGTTGCAACACGATTGAACAAATTAAGTTTCACAGGGACAGCGAGAGGGGGACAGGGATGGAGGTAGGGAGCAGGACAGCAGGCACAGGACACGTTAACTTTCTACACATTTGACGCGTGTTTTGCCTGGCTTCCTTCTGGTGTCCTTCGTCCTTCAGCTGGCTGAATTCGATCCCATCCTTCACAATTCCTGTTGACAATCTGTTTAAGTTGCGTAAATCTCAGCCAAACAAGTAAGTGCAACAAATATGTCCAAGTACACACACACACACACACACACACACCGAGGACTCCACATGAGTTGTGTGTCTATCGAACTGCAAGGAATCCATTTCCATTCCCACCCGCACACTGCCTCCAGTTGTGAGACGCCATGTCGCCACCTTGTTTCCCTCCGAGTGTTGTATGCATGTCTTGTGTATTAAAACTTGTCGAAATTTTATTCAATTTACGTGCACTTAGGCGACGATTGTGCATTAAGATATGACGCAGAACTCGAGCCATTGCACAGCTGATCCAATCCAGCCGTAGCATCCTCCGCCCTCCTCATCTCCGCCTCCGTCTCATCCGAGTGCTTCGTAATAGATGCGGATACGTGTCGGTGTCGGCAGACTGAGGAAAGATACATCTAAGTAATTGAGCCCAGAATGGCTACCCTCGGTTCCCATGGTGCCCATAGGTATGTATATACGATTATCTGGATTTTTTGTAATAAGAGATTTTTTCTTAATAATAAAATAATACAAAAGAAATAAATATATAAATAATTTATATTTCAAAGAAACCACTTAAGTGGAAATTAGTTTAAATTCATTTGAAAATACATTCCAAATTTATATAGTAAATATATATTGTAGGTTCTAATAATAAGTAAACTTGTTTTTAAAGGTTTAACCGTTGTACTACTTTGCAAAATCTAAAATATCTAAAATGTATTTAATGCAGGCAATTAATATTAAAAATTAGAATAGTTATTTTGTAATATTATTAAATTTTGATCTCCTTGTTTCTATTAAATATACTTTAATAAAAGGGTGCAAATAGATAGACTTATTGTACCCATTTCCAAAATCAAGTATTTGATTGCTCTAGGCAGTGGCGTACACAGAATTTTGTTTAAAGGGGCTATCAATCTAACCGGATACAAATCAGAGATTTAATTAATAAATTGTAGATTTTTACTTTATCAAAATTAGGGGATTACAAATTTCTTAAATTTTACAAACCCCTTTCTTATATACCTTCATACGTCAATGTTTTGGGGACCAGCCTCCTTTTCCCAGTAAATTCCCTATTTTTAGCTTTTTAATGGGTCACTGTGGGTGCACTTAAATCTATTTTTAAACAATCAAGAAGAGGCCTATAAAAGCCTAAGCCAGAGGCGCAGTTTAAGTCAAAGATTCCAGATCAGGGATGGATTCCATTGCTATGTGGCTCACTAAGGTGGTGGCTCTATCACTTTTTTGCTCCATAACACCATCGCCGGAGGCCTTCCAAAATTGTGGACAGGATAAGCAGTGTGTGCCCTATGAGCAATGCAACGAAGGCTTGTTTGTTGATGGAAAATTCTATCCGGATCGCAGTCGAACAACGTTGGATGAGAACTGTCATTACATGGAAAAGTGTTGTAATAACCATGATACTGTGAGTAGTATAATGGTTGTATTTTTGTTACAATAATTTCTCGAAAGTTTTTCTGATACTGTCTTTAATAATAACCAATAGCTTCCAGCACCTTTGATGCCGCAAGAAGGTCACAACTGGACATGTGGCGGTCGTCATGATCTTTGGTATTATCTACGGCCATTGGGTTACAAGCAGCAGGAGGCAAAGTTTGGCGAGTTTCCTTGGTTAACGGCTATATACTCCAAGGAAGCTTACCTGTGCAGTGGAGCTCTTATCACACCTGTGGCCGTGGTCACAACGGCTCATTGTGTTCAGAATGAGAAATCAGAGAATCTACGTTTGGTGGCCGGAGAGTGGGATGCCGCCGTGAAACTGGAGCCCCAGCCGCACCAGGAGAGATTGGTGATGGAGATACTGCTGCATCCCAATTACACACAACTTCCGCTAGTCCACAACATAGCGGTGATCCTGGTGGCCCAGGATTCTCCCTTTCACCTCAGCCCCAACGTGCAACCCATTTGCATGCCGCCTCCGAAAATGGTGTACAATTACAGCCAGTGCTATGTGTCCGGTTGGCAAAGGAGCGACTTTGGTGGAACTGCGATCCTGCCTAAGCGATGGACCCTCTATGTCCTGCCACCCGACCAGTGCAGGGCTAAGATGCGACTCTCTATCTTGGGACGACGTCACTCCCACAACGAGTCTTTGTTGTGCGCCGGCGGTGACAAAGGTGACTTTGTTTGTGGGGATGTTGAGATGGCCGGAGTGCCTCTTATGTGCCCTCTTCCTGGTCACGATGACCGCTTCCACCTGGCCGGTCTGCTGGCCAGGCCAGTTCGCTGCGATGGTACCCAGTTGCTGGGCATTTACACAAACCTTCAGTTCTACCGACAGTGGATCGACCTGAAGCTAAGGGAACGGGAACTTGACATAAGATACTATATGGTTTAAGAATAAATAAAACAATCGGGACTAAATAAGACAAATTTTCTTCTTTAGGTTAATTACATTTCCATGAATTAGAACTTGACGATTATTGTTTATTAAATAACAAAGCACAGGTGTAAGATCTAGAATTCTCTCTATGTAGTAAATCCAAAGTGCAAAGCCTGGCAATTCGCTTTGATCACATTACATTTTCCCCTTAATTTGGGAAACTGCATGACCAGGTGGAAGTTTTACAGGCTTATAAAAGGGCTGGAACTTAGGTTGCCTGAGACACACCTGGTCTGGACTTCTCAATGGGCGGCCAACGATTCTGTCTGCTGGTGCAGTTTCTGGGAATCTTATTGGCTCCTTCTCGAGGCCAAATGTTCTTCTGGGATGAGCATTACGAGGATGACTTTGTGGAGTTGGACGTTGAGGACTGCCCCCAGTGTGCGCAGAACTACCGGAATTTTGTCTTTATTTTAGAGCACTCTGAAACGACAGAAGAGGCTGCCGCTTCCATTTATCCCTATGTGGCTGGCATAATGTGGATTATCCTGGCGGCATTGGTGATTTGTCAACGATGGATGCAAATAAAAAAAAAGCTGTAATCATTAAAACTATATTTATGTTTATAAAGCAGTTTTAAATAAAATGGCCAATAGACAATAGTTGCAATAATTAAATAAGAGTTATTTCATTTCGGAAAATTTTGAGCATTTTGTATTTTAGAGCAAATAGTACTTAAAGATGATGAATAAGAACCTCTTACCCCATTTTTATACTCCTTTTTATACCCCCTAAATGGAGACAAAAGGCTGTGCAAATGAAGTTTAATTAATGGTAAGTGTGAAGGCATTTCTTGTCTGGTTGACGTTTCGGTTTTCCGCTTGAGAACGCTCATTTGTCCAATGTGCAGAAGAGAATCGGATTTGGACAACTCCTGTTTGAATTATGGCTGCGCGATATGTGGCCGCTGTTTTGCATATCCTTGTCCACCCGTGGCCGTTGTCCTTGGTTGCCTAAATTGAAAATTGAAAAATTGCTTATTGCAAATTTGTTGCCCGCAATCGCTTGGCCATTCGACTCGGGGGAAAGCAGAAAAGAGAACCGAAATAGCGTAACATGCTCTTTGCTCTTTTGAACTTCCGTTTGCCATTTCGGGGGCAGTGCACGTGCCGGACAGCAGGACTCCGGCCTTTTGGATTCGCCACTCTGGACTAAGGACTGCAGACCCGGGGGAGCTGGAGACTGGGGACAGCGAACAGCGGACTACGGACTACGGAAGGGTCCTGCCCGCTGTCCACCCGCTGGCTGTTGCTGCAACCGTTTCCTGTGCGAGAATTTAGCAATATATTTTTCTTACTCCGTTTGACGTCCCTTGTATCTGGGCAACTGCAACAGCCAGCCAGCAGCAACTAGTGATGCCAGCAAGATATTTTATATGTTTATATATATTTCCTAAATAATTTGCACTATTAAAGTAGAAATATTGGAAATTATAAGTGTTTTAAGCAATCCTCTTAAAGCTTAATTCATTAAACTTAAATCTTACAGTGCACTTGTAAACTTTTAATAAATAATCTACTTCTTAAACTGTTAAAATGAGAGGCATCACAGTTTTTCCGCCCTTAAATATAGTTTTATTTTCAAGTTCAAATAAAAAATTAACACTTCTGATCTGCATTTTCCAATATTGTCCCCAAGTCCTTAAAATGGGACACATCTGTCCTGGTAAATGCACAAATTGGCAGCACTGGATCCGATCCAACTACCGTGGCATTGGCAATGGCAATAGCAATGGCCAAGGCGAACACAACGTTAAAGGAAAATAGAAAACTTTTGCATATTTTGTACTTTATGCTTGAAATATTTATGATCTCATGCAATTTGTGGCTTACTGCTTGGTCTTGGCAACTGTCTGGGCGGGCGGCTGCTGCCCGGCTCTCTGGCCGTTGCAGTCTGGTGTGCTTGGCTGGTTCCTTCCCGGCTGGCCACGGACCACATCTAGCGACGTGTCTGCCAATCTGTGAAATATGCTGCTAATGCACTTATTGCCATCGTTCTATTGAATTTATGTCGGAATCGCCTCAGAGTTGCGGTCCCTGCATTTGATGGTTTTCCCACCCACCCTTTTCACACTAATTTGCAGAGAATTTTAGTAGCTTCCGCCGACTGGCACTCAGCCTAATGGCCAAGTGCAAAAAGGGCCTAAAACTACGATGAACAGATGAAAAAAGCCGGGTTAATATGTGGAGAAAAGTAAGTAGGGTCAGGTGCCTCTTTGGTTCCTACATATTCCCCTCAATTTGTGGCTTTTGTGTCTAACCAGAAAGTGTTAAATCAATTCAAAAGTGTTTCTGTGGGCAGCAATCAAAACTCATTGGCCACGGATTCAAGATTGGTTGGTTTATGTTTTCAAATCTAAGGAAATGTGTATGTGGTAAGTTTAGATATACTGATGTATGTAACATACACACATTTTTAAGCACACTGCCTGTCGAACACTGACCATATCCAACTTGGTTGGTCGAGGCAGTCAAAGCGCCATATCCTGGCTCTTCCTATTATGGTCTTGCAATTGCATGCACTTCCGTTAAGGAAATTACCAAACAACCCGCGCATCCGGCAGATGTGCGCCCGCAGTGCTGTAAGCCATTTCCAGACATCATTGTCCTCATCCTTTTCCACGGATAACGAGAGCATTAAAATGAAGTGAATTTAATGAAATGCCTGGAAGCATGCTACGTAGTTTTCTCCACGGTATTTTCTACTCTATGGCTAGAACTCTCCTTTGCCTCACATTCAATCAAAATATATTTTTTTTACGCTAACCTGAACCGATCTTCTTCTTTTTAAAGTGTTTGCTTCTTATCGATTTCTGAACTTGCCACAATTCCGGAATGACGTGTCCATCCTTCTGGAACTTGAAACAGTTCTCTGTGGAGAAAAGTTTGGAGTAGCGGTATAAGAGTTTGAGTTGGTTTAATCTTTACTTAATCAATAAATTGATCTATCGAGGGTGCTACAGAAATCACTACAAATTATAAGCCACTTGAATTTGGTATATCTGAACTAGAATACAAAATTCAAATGTATTTAAAATAAAAACTGATGGTGATTATTTTTTAAATTGTTATAATAAATTATACTAGAAATTCCTATAACTAAGCAAATATAATTTTCAATGTCTAAACATCAGTGTACACTTATTTATTTCTTACCATATACAATTTTTTAACATTATCTTCCACACTTTTTTTAACCAGTTTTTAAACCCCTACTGATGTCTGTATTATTCTCAACAATAAATGTATTAATTAAAGGTGAGAATAGTTCCAATATAATAGATGACAAATCGGTTCATATTTATCTGTAGCTCTCGTGTCTCTCTATTGCTCTCTCGTTCTCTCTCTATATCACTACCTTATTCGGTATATCGCTCTCCCTCTCTAGAAATATTCCCTTTCTCTGTATCTCTCTCTCTCTCTGGTAATCTCTAGAGATAGCTCTTTCTCTTCCGCTCTCACTCTCTGTTCTCTTTACTCGGACACTATAAATACAGGCACGGACGTTGCGCTTGCCTCAGTCTGTCCGTGGGGTACCCAGTGTTAACATCTGTAGTGATAGTGGTATGTAGTGATAGTGATTGCCCGTCGACTCCAAAAATATCACCTGAACAATGGATGACCAGGAAGAAGCTCACTTCGATGGTACCATGAAAAGCCTTATTGAAGCCACCAAGAATAGAACTCTACACTGCAAGGAACTAATCAATGACGAAAAAGGATAACCCTGTCCTCTACTTCGGTAAGTCTATTATTTCCTGTATGTAGATGCTATATGAGGGATCAGGCCTAGAATCAGCTGAGCTAGCAATGAATTTAATTTCCAATAAATTTCCTACTTGCCATGTCCCTTACTTCATTTTGATTGAAATTTATGAGTTTTGGCTTAGTGATAATGTTTGAGAAACTTTGATCTTTAAAATAATTAGCATATAACAGAATATAAGTAATTGCACACACTTCGGCTTCATAAATGTATCTTCGTTTCTTGCTTATCATCCTCCTGCCATAACTATTGTAATATTATTAATAATATAATCTATATATTCCAAATGCTTATTAGGTTTTCTAATTTTCCAAGGATTATTTGAAGCATTGCCTTGACTTCTTTTCCCTTGTTAAACATACCCCCTTTGACTTGCTTACTTGATAAGTCCAAAGTTACTTTATTTACTTCCAAGCAAGTTAATGCAAGTTAATAATTTACTTTTCAAGTAAGACGCTTTGTTGGATGTGTAAGTACCGCCTTATTAGTTTTTGGAAGTACTTTTTTCGGGCTACTTATATCAATTCCTGCCACTAGCTACCTGCAGACGGATCTCTTATTTTTGGATATTTTAATCATCGCTCTACGCACGGCAGCAGAGTCTGCCAGGTGAGGTGAGTCGGTCCTTCCACCATTTTACTTTGCAAACTCATCAAAGTTAAGTTGTCTGTGCCTGCGAAATATTGGAGAGGTGCTGAGACGGCCCGGCAGTAACTTAAGCTGCCGCAACCCACTTCGACGTGGAAGTTGCCAGCAAATATATGTAAGTGGGTCTATCTGTATAAATGAAATATTTTCGGCAACCAGCAATGGATTGCGGCTCAAGGGCTCAGGGGTGGGCGGTGGAGCCATCTCATAGATGCTGCTATAACTTGTCTCGAATTTGTGTTTGCCCTGCCGAATTTTCATTTCAATTTTCCTTGCAGTTTTATTTAATCTCACTTGAGGTGCAGCAGCGGACGTCTTCGAGTGTTTGCCTCCGAGTGGGATTAGCGCCGGGTTTGGGGTTCAGGTTTTGGATTCGGGTTTGGATTGGAGTCCTTATGGCCACTCCAGCTGTTGTATTTTGTATTTGCCTCCGTTGGCAATCACTTTTGTTGATTCTTGCTCAACTATTTGGTTTCGTTTCGGCAGGCAAAACAATTTATGCAATTACATGTATGCACAGCATCTTAATAACAAGACGATATTTAAGTTTGATTATGGGAATTGTTTTGGATGGGGCATAATTTCTTCATTAATTTACCAACGCCTTTGCATATATTTATCTAATTTACATTTCGCAGGAATGAATTCTGCCTGTTTTCGTATTTGCTTTGAATTAGAAGGCACACACTTTGGTGTGTTATATTCTCTGAGTTTCTCAGGACTTTAAGCTTGGCTCAAATTCGACTCTCCTCTCTTAGCCAGTTCCGGCCATTACTTTGCCATTGTGATCGTACCCCAAAGTATGCAATAACAAAAGTTAAACAAACAAAAGTGTTTGTTCCCAACTGTGCCCAGCACCTTTTTCTTTGCATATTTGTTTTTCCAAACTTTACAATTGCTTGGCGAAAATGTTCGCACAAATATCAAGTGAAAAGGGGAATGCCATGAATGAGAGTGAATACGTAGCCACATATTGATACATACATCCATATAAATGTATATGTACATATAAGGACCTAGCCAAGCATACATTCCATTTCCACACCCATATCAATTGGCTCCCTTTTATCTGTCGTAGTTTTTGTCTGTTGCAATTTGTTCCCAATTGATTTCCAACACTTGGAATTTATTGGTTTTCAAAAGTTTTTGAAACTTTATTGCTTCCGCTAATTTCTTTTGTCCAGTCGGGGGTGCTGAAGGAGGCAAAGGTAAATCCATAAATGAGGCACAGGCACAATGTGGAAGAGTCTTGGAGAATTCCTTAGTTAAGATGGAAGGCGGGGAATGATGGGGTTTTATGTGGCTCTGAGGAAAGCAAAGGAATATTCTAAACTGTTTTTGTTATTTTTAAACTGAAGTATTAAAGTGCATGCTATTAATTATACTTTTGTTTTCTTAACTCTAGACAAAAACAAACTCTTTGAATATCATTAGTTTACCTCGACTTTAATCTTTTAAGAATTTATTCCTACTTAAAAAGATTCAGATAATGCAATTCTAATAACATAAAAATTCATTTTATTGAATAGACGCAATGAGGGTAAGCTAGGCTTATCATTATTTCCCTAAAAATATAATTTTTAGTATTTTATTATAACATAACATTTTTAATATTATATAATATAAATTTATATATACATTTAATTGACTATAATAAAACTTAAATATGAGCAGTTACTTTGAATGTCTGTTAGTTAATCTGCAATTAGTTTAAAAAATATAAGAAATAAGATGTGCAAGCATTAATCTAATGCATCTCATACCTTATATTGCCTTTGAGTAGAGTAAATACTCTCCTGCGAGACTTGACGCTCAACTGAAATGATCCCTGTTAATATATGTAGCTCGGTTTTACCTATAATAATTAAATTAGTTTTACTTTTTTATAATATTGAATATTATTTTTCCAAATTAAGGTGCCAAGGGGATGTCTTAAGGTTGTTCTTATCTAATTTTCTTAAAAGTCTGGCAATGTTTTCGGTCAGCTGCTTGCACCTGATGTCCTGTGCGCATGTCCTTCGCCCCGAGCCTCTCAGCTGTGCCGCATTGTTTTCCTGCTGTTGTCGACGCGAGTACAATTTTCGTTCTAATGCTATACAATTGCACAAAATTTGGCAAAGATTAATCTAAACCATAGCTAGGACTAAGGACTATGCTTTATAAGAGTGTGTTACAAAAAGATACCATACAAAATCAAAACTAAAGGACACCTGCACATTGAGGAAGTGAAGGCTTTCAAAAAGGTGATGAGTGTGGAAAGGTGTCAACTGCGGCAAGACACTAAGTGAAAATGAATGAAAATGCGGGCAAAACTTAGCCAGCCCGTGATCAATGCCATAAACGTAGCCTATTTCAATCTAAAAGTACCACAATTTGCAATATAATGCATTTCAGTTTAGTTGCAAAGATTTTATTGATTTTTCCTTTGTAATTGGCCAGGAAGAAAGTGCCCAGAGAGAGAACTTTTTCGCCGCTCTCAGCTTTCCCATTTTCTCTCTCAAACTAAGCCGCTCTCCTTTCACCCTTTTGTTTTGCTTAGCTCATTCGCAAATAAACAATTTGGAGACACAAATTCCCTGAAGCCTCGGCGCAAAATGTAAATAAAAACAATATAAAAACAAAAACACTAGATAAATGTGCCTCAATGATTCGCTGCACAAAAAGTCTTAAAATCCGACAAAGAACAAAGGATTAAGGTATTAGCTTGAGACCAGACACTAATCCCCTGATCCCTGCACTCCAACATGCTGAATAGCCGGAGCCCCCCTCAGTATAAGCAGCAATCCCCGGGGGGCTCCGTCGGCTCCGTAGGCTCCGTCGGTTCTGTATCCTCCGCCAGTTCCTCGTCCCTGCTGGTGGGCCACTATCAGTCGGCCTACGGGCAGCAAGGTCACTCCCACGCCTGCTATCAGCATCAGCTGCATCAACATCAGCAGCAGCAGCAGCAGCATCAACACCATCACCAACATCATCACCACGGAGGACGCACCTCGCTGACACCTACGATGAAGCGGGGCAAGAAGCAATGGGGCACCAGGGAGCGCTCCGGGATGAGTTTCCTCATCGTCATCACCTTCTTTGCAGTCTTTGGATTGATTATCCTCACTGAGGTTAGTTAAATACTATACTATATTTCTGGTGGTTAGGGTCTCTTAATAGTATGGTTTGAAGGATGTATGTATGTATATTTTAACTCTAACTCCCAACAAAAAATATAGATTTTATTAAGTATCCTTGACAAATAACAGTTATGTTAAAGATGCAACTTAAAGCTACTTAGCCCTCAAAAAATAGGAAGTTCAATGTTTGGATTGTTTAAGAATTAATCATAAAGTTATTTTAAGACAAATCCTATTGAACAAATATGTTTGGTTTCTGGTTAAGTCTATTAATGCTATGCAGTATATGAATATATAACGGACAAGATATTTTCTTAAAAGCTATTTCTCTTTGAAGGTTTATAAGCTCTTATATTTAGGAAACAAGAAGAAGCGTTGCATTTAAATTATACTGCATCCTATTTAATATATTTTATTTGGTATTACTGGTTTAATAGTGGTATAGTATTGAATTACTTAACACCTGTTCTGTCTCAATGATTGCCTCTATACTAAATGGCTAGAAATTAAAATTCTTAATTTGTCCCGCAGGTCTTCATGATCGACGAGCGCACCCACAATGGCATGGTGTCCATGAGGGCGGGCGGAGGTGGAGGAGCCAGCTTGGGCGGACGGATGGGCGACTCGATGCCGGATTATGATAATGTTAAGGTGAGTTTTTCTATGCAAATCTGGTCGCCAAAGGGCCACTTAGGCGTGGGGGACAACTCGTTCCTTTTCGGCCTGTGGGAACACCGAAGATGTGCTTTTTGGTTTGCGAGGGATTTGAATACCTAATTGCAATAATAAGGATTCATACTTTGTTAGTTTTTTTTTTGATGGAATAATTTTAGCAGAGTATAAAATTTACTGTATATTAATTCAATGAATAATTTTAAAGAGAAATCATAAATCGCAGACACTTTTTTTAAAGGAGAAGAATGTTATAAGCGAAAAGGAAAATGTTAATATTGTTTTATTTGTGGTCTTTAATTAAACCTTGCTTAGTTTTAGTTTTCGTTTTAATTCAGTAATAAAGTTTGTATTTATAATCTAAAAAACAGATTTATACAAATACTTATCAAATAGTAATAACATAGTATGGTTCTCTGAGTCTCAAAAAATATAAAATACATTTATAATAAACTAAAATCTTATTACAACTTCCATTTTGATGCAGGACGATTACGATTTATTGGATGCCAGCATTTTGAGTGATAATAAATTAGGTTTTATACAGCTGCGTGACAATAAACTTAAAATTCAAGGTGAGTACCTCACAACTGCGATTGATATCCAGTGCAATCAGGGAAGCACAATAAGATTTCGAATTGTCCGGCAAACGTAATGCGATTCGATAACAAAAGAGATGCTTGTGACAATGGGATATTACGTATACGCCGCATGTCTCATGCATTTTTCAATTTCACAGAAGCCGCAGGCGCCGATGGCCAGCGCTTGGCAGGCATGCTCCTCAATGGCGGCGGTGGAGGTGGCGGTGGTGCTGGGGCTTTTGGTGTGAATGTACCCCTCATACCCTGGGGCCAAGTACTGCCCGACAAGGTGGAGGAGACACTGCCCCATTTTCCATTTGGCACGCGGCCCACCGACGGCGACTGGCAGGTTGTCAACGGCACCCGCTTCAAGTTCTTTGTCTACTCGGCCTACTTCGATCGTCGCGATGGAGCCCGTCTGGTGCGCGTGGTGGGAGCCACAAAGACACGGGGACCGGAGCGGGTCTGGTGCCGGTTCTGGTATGGTCCCAGTTCGGCGAATGCCACCGAGGCGGGCTCATCCTCGGCACGTGCCAAATACACATCGGCCACTGTGATGGCACGCGTCAAGGTGAGTTTGTTTAATGTTATTATATAAATTTAAATATTGCTAGGAATGGAAAATATTTAATTTGTAAATATCTTTCTAATTTACAAATACAGATCATTAGAGAGAACTGGAATCTGAAGTATAGCGCCTGTTTTATCCTCTGCCCGGTGAGAGCTCCTCCTCTGACAGTGCCACAGTTTGTGAGCGTGGTGTCCCGACTCCGGGCACCGCCGGGCAATCTACTGACCCTGCGTAACACCGACCAGGATGTTGACTTTGCAAATCCAACAAGAAATGGTACTACCAAGAAAGGAGCTCCGGTTCCGGCTCCTGCAGGGGGAGCACCCCCAAGTGGCGACAACATACCCGATCGCATTGCTGTCTGCGTAAAACCATTTCACTTTAACTATGACCAGGCCCTGTACCTGATGGAGTACTTGGAATTCTATGCCCTGCTTGGTGTCTCCCACTTTACCTTCTACAATCACACGCTGGGACCGCATGCTTCCTGTGTGCTCCAGAGTTATCAGCAAGGACTGGTGCCCGGGAACCTAACAGCTCATGATCTGCAGCCGTTGCTACCAGCGGAGGCGGCACGGAATGCTACGCCTCGCGTACTCACCTCGGAGCACTACCAACGACCCACGGTCAGCATTCTGCCATGGAATCTGCGCATGCGTAGCCAGAAGGAGATCCGCACTGAGGGACTCTTTGCGGCACTTAATGATTGCCTCTACCGCACCATGTTCCGCTACAAGTATCTGGCCCTGGTTGATCTGGATGAGTTTATTGTGCCACGCTACTCGGATACGCTAAATGAGCTCATAGGGTGAGGGAAGGAACCAGAATTTCCAAATAGATATACAGTATCGATTGTGTCAAACTTTTATATAAGTATAGATTTAGGAGATCGTTTTTATATATTATATTCCTTTAATCTAATCTTTAATCCCCTTTTTTAACCTTTTCCCTTTCTTAATCATTTTATTATATTTCTTTAGTTCCTTGAATCAACGCTTTCGCAATCGGAATACGGGAGCCTATTCCTTCCAGAACGCCTTCTACTATCTACAGTTTGCGGATGATGTTCTGGCCAGCTCTGGGATTGATGGTGGCACTGACCAGCTGGCCAGTGTTCGGGCTTCCCTGGTCACTCAGCGCAAGACTCGGAGGTGAGTTGGTCACGATCCTAACCCTATTGCCAATGTTATCCATGTTATCCTTCTTAGGCGTTACAAGCTGCATCCCCAGAAGCAACGATCCAAATACATTTGCAAGCCGGAGGCTGTGGTCGAGGCAGGAAACCACTTTGTGTGGGAGTTTGCTCCCGGCAAAGGCTCCCTCAATGTGCCGCCCAAGGAAGCCATCTTGCAGCACTACCGGGTGAGTACAATGATTGAGAACTTTATTTATTTACCTTCTAAAGAAACCTAATTAATCCATTTTCTCTACTCTTACCAGGTCTGTGAGTTCGGTGGCAACGATTGCATCAAGGCACCTTCGATTGTAGACCGCACCACCACCAAGTATGTGAATCGCTTGGTTCAGCGGGTGGATGCAGTGTACCGTCACTTACGACAACGCTGTGATCTTCCGGCCCTTCCCCCGATGCCCAAGCCCAAGGCTAAGCAGCCAACCTCCCCGGAAAAGCCAAATGAGAAACCCAAGTTAGTTCAACAGATTCGTGAAATGGATACAAAGGATTCAAAAGATCAAAAGGTAGTGGTCACGGCCACAACCAAAAGTACTCCCAAAACTACTCCAAAAACTACATCAACATCGACAACGACAACAAGCAAGACAACAACGAAAAGAGCGGCATCGAAACAACAGGAAAAAGTGAATCCTACAGAGTCTCCTAGGAGCAAACCGACCACTAAGGCAGCCCCAATTGATAAGCAATCCCTTCCCTCGGCCAATGTCCGTAAGAAACGGAAACTGATCGTGTTCGAGGTCAATGACTTTGGGGTTCCTGTGGCCCGGGTGGAGTATCAATGAGTGAGGGACTTGGCCGGGAACATTTAGGCGGCTAGTTTGGTTAGTTTTTCGTGCCAATCGGTCGGAGAGTTCGTTTAGGTTGTGCGTTAGCTTTATTTGGCCACAGAGCCAGCAGAATGCTCAACAATTGAATTGACCCTCTCGGTTTAAGTATTCTTTAGTTGCTCACCGTACAAATAAATATTTCTGAAGGATAGCTGCACACAGGTAAAACCAAAAGCAATACTGCAAGATTTAAATAAAGGTAGTCTTGAGGTAACAATATCATCTAAAATATAAATACAATCCCTTGGACATTTCTTGAAAGCAGATCAGCTTTTCCGCAACTTCAAGGATTTAAACTTAAGTGATTTTCCCATAACCCAATCTTATTTTTTGCAGTATAACTCTGAGCAAATTAAACATAGGATAAAGTAGAGCCATCAAAAAATCAAAACCACATCGAAAAATTCAAAATAAATCTAGATAGATAACTAATGAAAGATTTAAGAAATATTAAGGTCAACCTTTTAGTTAAAATTTCGGATTTTGTTCTCCATTTTGGTAATCCTAATGCAAAATTATTCCTAAGTCAAATTCAAAAGAATTCCTAAGCAAAGCCATTAATTCGTGTTATAGAATAAGCAATAAAATACACAAAGTAAAAAAGTAAAGAGGATAAAGCATGTCTCTTATATAAATAGCAAACATATAAACTATATGTAAGAAATCATATTTTCCATATAAACTGCTTGCCAGGAAAAATCCTCCGATCTAAGTTGGCTATCATGTAGTCCTTAAGCTAATCCCTTCATATAAAAATAAAATTAAAATCATATTTAAGTTAAACAGCAACTGAAACGAATTTGTAATGCTTCGAACTTCGAAAGCTTTTTGTTTTGCTTAGCGCGCAAAGAGCCTAAAACACTAAACACATTAATGATTTAATGATGCAAAACTAAATAAATATATCTGATAGTCGATAGCTCTTAAGAGAATACATATAGTAAAGATACAAGACAGTCAATAAAATTGTGAACAGGCAAACTGAGATGCAAATACAAGATCTCGAATTAATTTTAATAATTCTGGGGTTTATTTAGATGACCTTTTCGTACAAGTGATTGAGGGGAGCTCATCTACATGTTATACTGGGCGTATACGCTATAATTCTTTCACTTTTCGCATTACTGAATTAGGGGAATAGTTGTGTTATACTGAGCGTATACGCTATAATTTTTACCCCTTCTTCTTGTAAAGGATTGTTATACGGGTCGAATACGTTCTAATTATTTCACTTTCAGAAAGGGGAATTGTTGTGTTATACTAGGCGTATACGCAATGATTTGAGTCTCACCTTATAGAGGCATAAAGCAATGCATTTCCTTACAAGCTATTATTATAATCAAGCTTTTGAAGGCCGGGTTAAAAGCATTTCTCTTATGACAGTATACTAAATTTCCTTTGCAAAGCTGTGCTTTTTAAGTTAAGTTAGAGCTATAACATTTCAAAAAGCTTCTAGCATCTGTATGTATAATCTCTTTTAAGGGGTATCGAAACATGAAATGCTATTCATTTTGAATGAACATTTGGGAGGAGAAATTTTTGAGTGCAAACTTGAGGTGCAAACATTTTAATTTAAAAACTATAAAGGAAACAAGCTTCAGGAAGCTATTCTATGTGAATTCCTTAAATCAAAGTTAAAACCTATAACTAAGCCAAAAAAACATAAATTTTAATTCGGAAAGCTTTCCTTTGTTACTTATTATTAGGTTAACAAGTCTGCATACTTAATTTAAAATTTGAAAGAACTAAAATTTTTGGAAATTTTTGGAAATTTTAACGATGTAACCCCTTATAGAATTTTGAAAAAAAATGAACAAATTTCGAAAAATTATTTTTCAACCAGATATGGCCAGATCGATTCAGCTTTTGACGATGATCAATAATATATACGATTTATAGGATCGGAAATGACTTCTTCACAGCTTTAAAATCTTCTGACTGAAAAATAAAATACCCTGCAAGGGTATCCTAATAAATTAAACACACCTCAAACTATAAAATTATTCATAAAATTTTTATTTATTTGCTTAGTAAATATCATTATTATAAATGAAATCAATTAAAGGAAGAAGAAGTTTTTAAAGTGCATACAAATGGATATTAGATTATCATGATGCAAGAAAAGATAGAATAGTTAAAGATATCCACACCCTGAGGGTTTAATTTAAAAGATGCATGTGTACATATATCGGGCTGCATTGATTTTGATTCTGTGTTGAATTGAATCTGTTTATCATTAAGCTGGGCTCTGCTCCTGAAATTGTAAATGTTGCTATTAAAAGAGCAATAATTTGCACTGAAATTGTATACGTAAGCAAACCACAAAAAATGTGTTTTTTCATTGACGAAGTTAATCGATTTCTGCAAGTCAATCTGACCTTTTCAATTGCATTTTTATACAAGTTTAATTGAATATGTTTTACTGGGGAAGCATTTTTTCTTTTTGTTTAAATATTTAAATTCCATTAATTTTGTTTTCAGTTATTAAAAGACTTTTTTTGAAGTCGATATAGTAAGTATTGTCAACCATAAGATCTTCATAAATGGTTTAACATTACATTTCCATCTTTATATTAACAAATTTAAAGATTATAAATAATAAAGACTTTTCCAGGGAGGGATCTTATACCTAAGTTAATTAAATTAGTATTAAACACATTTGTTTTAATTTGTTGCATTGAAAAGAAGGTTTTTATTTTGCTGCTTATACCCCACACCAAGATTTATGTTTAAGTTTTATGTGCTTAGTCTGATTACTGGTTGCCTCTGCCTCGGAGCTCTATGCGGACTGAGTGGTTGTTTCCTCATCTGAGCTCGAGTCGGAGTCCTCTTGTGAGTCCGATTCTGAGCCAGCAGAAGTTGTCTCTTCTTCGGAGCCCGAGCCGGAATCTTCTTCAGAGTCCGATCCTGAACCAGAAGGAGTAGTTTCCTCATCTGAGTCCGAGTCAGAATCTTCTTCTGATCCTGATCCTGAGCCCGCAGAAGTTGTCTCCTCTTCCGAGTTCGAGTCGGAGTCCTCTTCTGATCCCGATCCTGAGCCAGCAGTAGTTGTTTCCTCATCTGAGTTCGAGTCCTCCTCATTCTCGGATGAGCTGGTAGAATTTTGCTCCCGATACCGTTCAATGATCTCGTCCAGCTGGCGCTCCACGCTCGGCCGCTCCAGGGCGTGCTCCGCCAGAGTTTGCCCCACACATCCGGCTTCGTCGAGGTTAAGGGCCAGCAGCTTAAGTCCCTTGAGCTTCAGGTTTAGTAGATCTCTAGGAGCCGTCTGGAGCGCTCTAAGGGCCTTCTTGATGCCGACGCGACAGGAGATGGGTCCAGTTAAGAATTTCTGGCAGACTTCAATTTGGGCGACTAGATCGTTGGTGGCATTCTGGTAGCGGGCAACGGCGGTGTGCACTTCCTGCTCGTAGGTGGCCAGGCGCACCTGCTGCTCCTCCAGGCAGCTGTGCAGATAGCCGGCATATCGGTTCTCCAGCTCGTTCAGGATCTCCTGGGCCTCCTCGACGCCTTCGCCATTGGTCTCCTGATCGACGCGCTCCAACTGAGCAGCGGCCCAATCGTTCCATGTCAGCTGAATTTCGGCTCCATATTGTTCCTTCTTCTGCTCCAGCTGATCGGTGATGTTCTGCAGGGCAATCTCCAGATCGCTTACGGAAGCATTGATACCCTGCAGGCCGGCAAGGGCATCCTTCAAGGCCTGGCGCTTAACTCGACTGGAGACCCGGGCAATGGCATTCCTCACAGCCGCAATGTTAGCTCGCAGGGCGTCGGAGAAGTCCCGGAGTCCCTGTGCCACAGCAGCGTGCAGGGCACTGGCGATCTGATCGGCGAACTGAGCCGACTGTTCCACAAACTTACTTGTGGAGTTCTTCAGACTTTCAGCGAGTTTTTCGGCATTGGCCGTTCCATTTTGGCTGGCCTCAACAAGACCACTGACTATGGTCTGACCGGTCTTTCCGAGCTCATCCCAGAGCCCCTCCAGCAGACCCGGATGCGGCGTGGCCGACACACAGCCAGCGCTGATGGTCAGGGCGAGCAGGAGCAGTGTTGGCTTGGTCAAGTGCATCGTCGCTCGACAGATAACCTAATCATCGCTCCTCCCCTGGGTGCATTATATATACTTTTTGCCTCTGCACATTGGTAAATAGAAATAGCAAGGTTCAATATTGGTAGTGCGCTACATTTTATTAAATTAGTTAATATTTAAACAGCCGCTTTTCGCCATTACGTCACGACTGGCGACAATAAGCGCCCGTGTATGGCATGCGGGTTGGATAACTTTTCAAAGAAAGCGAATGAAAACGCTTTTTATACTGGCAGCAACGGCATACTACGGCATATTAGTTTCAGAGTTATAATATATTTATATATTCTTGATTGGCTGATAATATTGATTGATCCCACCCACAGTTTATGTTATGCAACTTAAAGATATTTGGTATTTATGCCATCTAAATACAAAGGTACCTGATACTTAATATTGAAGACAGGAATTATTTATATTTATTTTTTATATTTATTATTTATATTTTCAAGCAACATATTTAAGAGGGAAAATCTTATAACGCAGATTATTATACAAGTATATATAAAAAGGAAACCTCAGACCTTGAAGAGCACTTTTACTCCATTTACTCCTGAAACTCTCTCAGTGTGCAAACTAAACCTTTGATGATATTTGCCTGCCTGTATGGTAATTAATATAATTATAGTATTAATAAACAGATGAAAAATAATTACAAAACTCACGACATGTTTGAAAGCGTTAAAATGTAATGAATTAGCTGTTTAACGTTGTTAAATTAAAGTATGTTTTATGCACTATACGGGCATACAATCACACACGCATATCCATAAGGCACACACACACACACTCGGCCACATTTGCACAAAAGACAAAGGTTAAACTTTGCTTTAATTTTGAAATTTATATGCCTGCCAAACAAAAGGACGAGAAGGCGCCACGACAGTCGGCATGTTTACGTTCAGGTTATACCCCTTTGTGATGAACTTTATGCATAACTAACCGAAATGAAAAGGAGACGGGGGGCAGTGGGAGGCCGAAGGATGCATGGATCCTTTTTGGTGTACAAGGAGGAGAGAAGGAGAAGGAGGAGGAGGAGGAGGCGTGATGATTGTCTTCTGCTTGCTTTTATTATGACTTTAATTGTCGCTTGACAAACGCCAACGCACACGGACGAGGAATACTTAAAAGGTAAAGATATATGTATATATACATATATAGTTGTATACAGACATAATGCGAGGGGGTGACGATGTGACGAGCCCTTGAGCGACATGCAGTATAAACATTTTATTAGTCTGCTGTTAGTTTTGTTTAATTATGCTGTCATTAACTTTGTCACACAGATACACGCATAACGGCAAAACAAAAGCTTACATGACTAAACGCAATTATTGCCCGGGCGGTGTGGCCAACAAAAGAAGTCCGAAGGACGCAGGCCGCAGGACGGAGGACGAAGGACGTGGAAGGACGAACCTGGGCACAAACAGTCAGCTAACCATTCCCTCTTTCACTTGCACTGTCTCTATGCTCTACGATCCCTCCTCTCCGACTCTCCTCTCTCCTGTAGCCGCGCACAGACATTTAATTTTGCATTTTCCACTAATTGGCTTGCATACTTGCCACATTCTCGCTTCGCTTAATTAATTTAATTAGAAATATGTTCCAGCTCAAAAGAAATTCAAACCTCAAAACCGTTTCAATAGCATGCAGTGCCATTTAGCTTATGATAATTATGCGGCCACTGCAATTACTTCTATGTACAAGGCTTCCAAGGGTTGGGGGGCAAGGATAGCTCTCCTGGACAGTACCTTGCTCACTTTGTGGCTCATCATCCTGCCGATTCAAAGGACTAAATAAGTATGGTGTGTGTGTGTGTGCTTTATTGAACGCAAGCAATTTTATAGAAACTTTTCAATAAGCATATTGATTCAGAGGAAAGGCTTGTCAAAGTCAAACTAAATACAACTAAACACAATTTAAATCAAATTGTATCTATCGGTTGTAAGCCAGAATCACATCAGTAATCGTTAACTTAAAGATTTCTACAGGGTACTAAAATTTTTAAAGCTTACCTTTATTTTATAACTATTTTAAAAGCCTTAATAAACCTTAATAATGGAAGACTCTTTATTGTATCTTATATTTTGCATAATATAATACGATATTTATAGCTTTACTTTCTTTATGATTGTTTTTAATAAGTTTTCGAGCTCTCAACAAATATTTATAATCTTTCTTTATGTGGTGACAAACAAGTCATTTAAAGTATTTATATAAAATATTGTTATGCAACAAATAACGAGAAATAAAGAGTAGCAATTTATACATACTTTTTGGACAAAATATTGGTTATAAAAAGTTATGACCTGGTCACTTAAAATTAAAAAAACATAAAAATCACATTAATATTACACTTTATTCTCTACAATTTCATTAAGAACATTTTTCATATTCCCCACAAACTATAAATATATTCATTTCAAACTAAAAACCATTAAGTAAAACTATATTTCGACCTTTTGAACTACTGAAATTTCTGCCACACTGAAATACCAATAAATTATTATATTTGTTTGATCTGCGAAAGAGCATTGCGACCTTCACATAGAGATAACCTCTCCTTTATGCTTTTATGCTGACCTCGGCAACTGCAATGAATGGCCAACAGGCCATGGACCAAGGACCAAGGAGGAAGGACCACGGCACGATGCCTGAAACGATTCCATGCCGTTGCAATCGCGGCCATTAAGTCATTTTGTTTCCTGTAACATTTCCGGTATCTTTTTAGCGTCGTCGCCGCTTCGAGTATTGCCGGCTGCCAAATGGTGGGAAGACGTAGAGGGCGGGCTCCAGGAGTTTCCCGTAGGTTCCTGGCGGATCGCTACCAGGTCGTCCTGATTGGAGGCGGAGCGGTAGGATTGGGTGGCTGGGCGGCTAGAAGGCAGCAAATGCTTTTAAAGTAGATGATGGCGTTGGCGCTTGGTCAATTTATTGCTTACCAAATGTGTGGCTGTGCCGGGGGCCCGAATGCAACTGAAAACTCTCCAAATTGCACCGCGTAAAGTGTTCTCTAAAATTAACTCGGCCCACTTTGGGCCTGCCTCAGATAGCACAAAATATAAATAAGAGAACAAAATTGTAAAATAATGGTTTTACATTAATGATAGCCCTGGGCTTCAGGAGGTCGGTAAAATACTGTACCGTAATCTACTCAGTAAATAAATTATATTTCCTTGGGGTTGTACATGAAGCTGCACTTTAGATTTTGTTATTCCCTTGATGGTAGTTTTCTTCACTCTTTGTTTAAACTATTAAAACTTGAAATGTATAAGATGCTACATTACAAAAATCTGTTATTAAACTATGACTTCGTTTTTTAAGTATCTTAAAACATGATATTTATTGTATGCTTTCAAATCTTGCATGTATAAAATGATATTGCATTGTCTTATAAAGACTTCTGAAGAATGAAACATAAATTCATAATTTCTACAAGTTTCCCCATGCATATTTGAATGGTAATTAATTTTACTCTTAATTTAAACACACTTAAATAATGAACAACCTACTGACAGGTCTATGAAAAAGTTAAAAAGCCCCACTCAATAATTTTTAAAATATGTTGCAAAGCGGTTTTTCTGCGCATCGCCATAAAAGCCAATAAATAGCATTTTGTGGGTAAAATCTGAATGAAGTGCATGGTGTAAAGCATTGCACAGATTGCGCTTATTTATTTTATAAAAATGCATTTGCTCTAAGTGAACCCAACGAGCGGAAAAAATTTTTGAGCGCATTATTTTGTACATGCAAGAGACCGCAATAAGGCCCAGTTGCCAAATCCACCAGGAGTTCCATCCTGCCAGGCAATACGATACGGGTGGCATTGCTCATACGCAGCGTTGCCAAGGAAGCGGTACGAAAAACGAGAATGAGAATGGGAACTGCAGTGGAAATGGTTGGCTGGAGCTTGGCTTGCCCGCCGGGTCCCTGGACGCACATACAGCAGATTTAGTGGGGCTTGCTTTTATCTTGTCGCGCTCCTGGTCGCTCTGGGGGACGACTCACAGTGCCAGGTGGGACCAGGAGTCGGGATCCTGTACATTTGTTCATATGCGAATGCCGACTCACCGACTCTCAGCTCTAACTGTAAACTGTAAACGTATCTGCAGCTTTGGCCGTATCTGCTCCTCCATATCGCCGGGCAATCCCATCAGCCCCGGCTAAATGTGTAACAGCAGTCACTTAGCGTACTGCTGCCATCCAACCTCCAACCTGGGCAACACTGTGTGCGGTCCTTACTTCATTGGCACAATCCCCAGACGCGTTGCTACTACTGCTGCCTTTTCGCTCCGTTTTCATTGTTTTGCTGTGCATTTTATTTTATTTTTTTCCCCGTTTCGCCACGTATTTTCTTTTAATGCGCTGCGGATTTGCTGTGAAATATGCACAGGGGGACGCAGGAGGCTTTGCCCGAAGTGTGGGGTGTGGGTTGGTCGGGGGAAACTTTGTGAATCGCCACCCACCTGGCCCCTATCTGTCTCCCAGTTGGCCCAGCACTCTTATGCTAATTAAGTTTATGCTAATTTAACTTATTGCCACTAAGTTGGCCCACATATGCGGCCAGCCACAGGAGCCATCACTTTATTCTGCGGTGTCCTTCCCCTAGTCCGCCGAAAATTTGGTAAAACGATCTGCTGCTGCTGCTGCTCCTGGCTGTCACAGAAGCACAGGGACCAGGCCGACACATCGAATAAAGCAGAAACCAAGTTAATTTATATAATTAAAAGTAACTGTAATCAAGTTGCAAATCTAAGTGAAGCATAGACTTTGGGTGTTTCATGTGTAGGGGGAATTGGAGTTAAACCAATGGATAGGAAAGAGATTTGTGTATTTAATTTATAAAATATATAATAATATAATATAAAGCTTTTAATTCTCATTTATTGAGTAATTTCCTGCAATGATAAACATAAAAATCATTTTAAAACTTATAACTTACATAGCATGAACCTGTAATATACTTAAATTTGGTTTCATTTTATGGCT